CGTGTCGAGGTACCCCGTGAAGCCATACACAGCCTCGTGGTCGGCGCCGCACGCCAATGGCTTCAAGGCTGCGTCGACCTTGTTTGTGATCTTGGCATTGCAGTCTTCACCGCCCCAGTTGCAGTTTTTGCCGTCGGTCGCCATGCACTCGACGTCGCCGTCGTCGTTGATGCGCATCGGACTTGAGAAACCGGGCACGCACGTCCAGTCCGTGCCCTTGCCTTCGACAAAGTCCTTCTTCGTATCCGCAAAGAACTGCGTGCACTTGTCGTACAAGTTGACCTTGGCCGTGCCCTCGTCCGGGGAGTCGCCATAGACCGTCTCGCCGTACGCGTGCGTGTTGTATGCGTCTTGCTCGGTCTTGGCAAAGTGGAAGAGCACCGTGCTGATGTCAGTACCGTCTTTCGCGTCCAACTGGTACTCGGGCAGCGTCACGGCGCAGACGTCGACCGACGTCACTTGGTTTGTAAAATCATACTCGGTGTTGACCGTCTCGACGAACTGCGTCGACTGCTCCATGACGCTGAGGAGGACGTCGGTGATCGCCTTGTCGATGCCACGCTCGTTCGAGACACCGAATCGGTGCTGCATCGACGACACGACGCTGTTGAACGCCAGCTGGCCATACGTCTTGAGGAACTGCGCAAGGTTCCACCCGTCCGCGGTCTCGAGACCCCACTCGCACTTGCCGTTGTTGAGCGCCTTGTCGAGGCACACGAGGTCGCGCTTGGGTAGCACGGACGACGTCGCACACCCGTCGAGGTAGCTCAGGAACCCCTTGATGACGCAGTCGGCGTGGTTGCGCGTGCTCGCGAGCGCCAGTTTGATGGTCGTGAACGACCACTGGTCAAACTGAGGGGTGACGTCCAGCGCCGTGTTGACGTCGCGGAGCAGCTTGTTGTACACGAGGAGCGAGTCGGCCAGCGCCGCGTCCGTGCACGTGTCCGCCGAGCACTTGACGTAGCCGTTGTCGTACGACTTGGTCGTTGTCGTCTCCAAGTCGGAGCAGAGACCCGTGATGAACGACGACGTGCACTGCTTGATGCGCGCCGCACTCATGCAGTCGGCGCGCGACGCCGACGAGATGATGCAGCTCTCGAGCGCGTTCTCGGCCTTGCAGATCTTGAGGTTGTCGTAGAACCGGTGGAAGCGGTCTTCGTCCGAGATCGGCGCCAGGTCGTAGTCGCCATAGCCGTTGTTGTTGCCGTAGCCGTTGTTGTTGCCATAGCCGTTGTCCTTGCCGTAACCAGTGCTCGGCTGCTTGTTATAACCTTGGCTAGGCTGCTTGTAGCGGTTGTCATAGCCGTAGCCAGCGTCGGGCTGCTTCTTGTATCCAGTAGCGGGCTTGTTGTAGGCGCCGTTGTAGCCGCCGTCGTAGCCGCCGTCGTAGCCGCCGTCGTAGCCGTCGTTATCGCCGTAGCTGGGCTTTGCGTAGCCGCCTTTGTTCCCGTAGCTGGGCTGCTTGCCGTATCCAGCTTGGTTGTTGGCGGGCTGATTCTTGTACGCAGGCTCCGATGGAGGCTGGTACTGACCGTAAGTGGCGTCTTCTTCAGCGGAGAGCAGCGTGGCTGCAACGATGACTGCCGTATCTACAGAAGTCTCGCTGACCTGGGGCTCAGACGCGCCAACCGCCTTGTAGTCAGCCGGAGCGTCGTCGGGCTTCACAACCGGGGCGCTGTAGGACTCGTCCTTGGCCGGCGCACCAGCATTCGGCTTCGGCTCGGCCGGGGCACCATAGGACTCGACCTTGGCCGGAGCATAAGCATCTGGCTTTTGCTCGGCCGGCTTGGGCTCGGCTGGCTTGTACTTGGGCTCAGCTGGCTTGGGCTTGTGCTCAGCCGGCTTGTACTTGGGTTCAGCTGGCTTCGGCTTGTGCTCGGCCGGCTTGTACTTGGGCTCGGCTGGCTTTTGCTCGTGCTCGGCTGGCTTGTGCTCGTGCTCGGCTGGCTCATGCTCGTGCTCGTGCTCGTGCTCGTGCTCGTGCTCGTGCTCGTGCTCGGCGGGCTTCGGCTTGTCGGCGTATCCTTTTGGCTTGATGTCTTTTTGCTTGGGCTTCGTCGTCGCCGCGTAGCCGCCCGAGACCTTTGGCGCCTCGTCGTGCGCGACGTTTGAGTAGGTTCCACTGGTGGCGGGCTTGGTGTCTTCCTGGGGCTTGTTGTAGACACCAGCGGCGACCGCGGGGGCTGTCTCCAGCTGCTCAGCAGCAGCCAAGGCAGCCAAGAAGAGTAGAGCGACCTTCATCGAGTGGAAGGGCCAATTGAGAACTGAGATCCTTCCCGCGCTCCAAAACTGAAAAGTCGCGGCGGTTTCACAAACTTTCGCAGCCAATCACACGGCAGATGGAAAAACTTTGTAGCCAATCACCGCCGAGTTGGTTTCGCCGAAGATTAGCTCAACGGTCGCAGGTTTCCGTCTCGCCCAACGAATTGCTCCGTGAGGTGTCGTATTGCTTGAGCCAAGAGTCGTTTATTAAGATGCTTGCTTCAACGAGGAAGAGCACCAACAAGTACTAGGACGCGGTTAAGTGCAGTGGCCACCTCACCAGTCGAAGCGTCGTGTTTCAAACATGTTTTATACATGTTTTAAACACCGGTTTCCTGCGGTTGTGACCGATTTGGAGGGTCCGGGTACCTTATTTTAACGAGCCCTTGATATTCTACTTGTTTTATGTATAGTGAGGTCGTGCAATAAAATAGAGGGACCCCCGCTACGCGTGAACGCCATGGAAGGTGCAGTCCTGTAGCAACGAAAATGGTGTGGAGGTCGTCGTACCTGCTAGAGCGGGCCAAGGCGCCGGCACCCACCGACGTCGGCGCGGGTCCGTCCAAGGCGACGCCGAGCAACGTGCGCAAGCTGCTGCGGCTGCTCTGGCAGGAGTGGCCGACGCTCTGTGCGGGTATCGCGGGCTTGTCGGTCTCGTCGCTGACCAATCTGCTCTTCCCCAAGGTGCTGGGCACGGCGCTGGACGTGGCGTGCGGTCGTCCAGCCCCGCGCAACATGTCGACCAAGGCCTTTCTCCTCAGCGTGCTCTCGATCTTCCTCACGGGCGCGTCGGCGTCGTTCGTGCGTGTCTACTGCCTCGGGTCGGTCGCCGAGACCACGACCAAGCGGCTCCGCGATCGCTTGTACAAAGCGCTCCTGCGCCAAGACCTCCTCTTCTTCTCGAGCGCCGAGCGCACCGAGCTCGTGCACCGCCTGACAAAGGAGTGCCAGGTCGCGGCCGACTCGGCGGTCTCGCTCCTCGCCGAAGGCTACCGGTCGCTCAACTCGTCCATTGGCGCATCGGTCATGCTCTTCCGCCTCTCGCCCAAGCTCACGCTTGTCGCTCTCGCGACGTTGCCGTGCCTCGGTATCTCGGCCATGAGCTTCAAGCTCTTTATGAACCGCCTCAGCAAGCAGTACGAGGCGGCCCTCGCGTCGCTGCGCGCGTCGACAGACGAGAAGCTCGCCGGCATTGCAGCCGTCAAGCTCTCCACGCAAGAAGACGCCGAGCGCACCCGCTTCGAGGCCGAGACAGCGCTCGTTGCGGCCACCGCGCGCAAGTACCACGCCGCTGAAGGCTTCTTCATGGGTGGCCTCTCACTCTCGGTGAACGCGTCGCTCTCGAGCGTGCTCTGGGTCGGCGGCTCGATCGTCGCCGCCGGCGACCTCACGACCGGCGGGCTCACGTCCTTCCTTCTCTACTCTGGCTTTATGTGCCTCGGGTTTTCCCAGCTCTCGACGCTAATGACCAAGGTGCGGACAACCAACGAGTCGACAGCCGCGCTCTTCGACCTCATTGATACTGACGGTGTCGCTGTCACTGCCGCTCGCAAGATGCCGCTTCTCGGCGGCCCGATCGTCTTTGACCACGTCTCGTTCCAGTACCCGTCGCGGCCCGAGGCGCCGGTGTTGACGAGCTGCAGCTGGACGATTCCGCACGGGTCGATGGTCGCGCTTGTCGGTGCGAGCGGCGTCGGCAAGTCGACGATCGCCGGGCTCCTCACCAAGCTCCTCACGCCAACGTCCGGTGTCCTCTCGATCAACGGCGTCGCGCTCGCCGAGATCGACACGACGTACTTGCGCCAGCGCATCGGCATGGTCCGCCAGGTCGTCGACAATGTTTCCATCCTGTGCTCCTCATGCTGATGGGATACTTGTTGTAGGAACCGGCTCTGTTTTCGATGACGATCCGTCAAAACATCCAGTTTGGCTCTGCTGCGGCAACGTTTGCCGATGTTGTGAGCGCAGCGCAAGCCGCCCACGCCCACGACTTTATCGTCGCGCTGCCGGACGGCTACGACACGATGGTGACGCCGACGTCGCTCTCGGGCGGCCAGAAGCAGCGCCTCGCCCTCGCCCGCGCCTTGGTCAAGCGGCCGCAGCTGCTCGTGCTCGACGAAGCCACGGCGGCGCTCGACGGCCACAGCGAACACGCCGTCCAGTCGACGCTCCGCAAGCTCGACAACATCACGGTCATTGTGATTGCGCACCGCCTCTCGACGATCCAGACGTGCGACTCGATCGCGGTGCTTGAAGGGGGCGCCATTGTCGAGACGGGCACGTTCACCGAGCTCCAGCGCGACGGCACGGCCTTCAGCGCCCTCGTGGCGTCGCAAGCGATCCAAGACTCGGCGTAATTTGGCCAAGTCGAAGCCGTATTTTGGCTTGAATTCTAGTGTTGGCCTATGCTGGAACGATAACCCTAGTCCCCATTTGGCGACTTGAGAGTACAAGACAATATTGTATACAGCAACAGACTCAACCCTAAACCTTGGCTGCAACGCATCGGCTCTGGGAACGGCGGTGTCGTTCATGATGCCGGTGTCATCCGGATACATTAAAATCCGGATACGCACAATAACTGGAAGGACGATGCTGCGCCAAGCCACCACCGCACGCTGGCTGCCTGCCACCGGAAGCCGCCTGCACCGCGCGTTGCACCGCATGGCGCCGCTACACATTGCGTCCGAGGCTCCAAGTAGCGCGCCGACGGCCAAGCCGCCAGCGTCGCCCGAGAACATCCGGGCCACGATCAGCAAGCACGTGGCGACGATCAAGAAACAGGCGGGGCTCACGCCGGCGTTCTGGGGCAACGTGTCGACGACGTTGGCCAAGTGCCGGACGCCCGAGCAGTTGGCCGCGACGGCGCCGCTCCGGTCGCTGCCGATGGCGTGGCACTCGTCGACACCGGCCGTGCAACACGAGATCGTGCGCATCTTGCTGGCGACGCAGAACGTAGAGACGGCGATGGCGCTCGTCGAGAGTGCGCCCGAGTACCCGCTGCACAACCGCAACGTCGCGCGCTTGCTCGGCGCGTGCGTGCGGCACCGCAACCTCGCGTCCGCAGGGTTTGCGCTCTACGAGCGGTTGCTCGCCCAAGGCACCGTGCCCAGCCTTCCCGTCTACCACGCCGTGCTCCTTCTGGCGTTGAAAGCCAACGACCCGACCCGATTCCACGACGTGCTCACGCACATGGAGACCGTTGGCGTGCCTCTGGATGCCATGTGCCATGGCCTTGCCGTGCGCATGGACTGCCGCCAACGCCGCTTCGAGTCGGCCCTGGACCGGTACCGGCTCATGCAGCGCGACCAAATGCACCTCAACGTCATCGTGCTCAACGAGCTCCTCGACGGGCTCTGCGAAGCAGGTACGTACACTGACGCACTCGAGGTCTTCGAGTCGGCGGTCGCCAAAGTTGCCAAGCGAGGGTGGAACCAAAAGCCGGATGCGAAAGTGAATTTGAGTCCGGAAGCCAAGGCGAAAGCCGAGCACGACGACAAGCGGCCGGTGAACGAGGTGACGTACAACATCATGATGAAGCTCTGCGGCCGCCAGCAGCGCCTCGACGAAGTCTTCAAGTGGTACGAAGACATGAAGGCGAAGGGCATTGCGCCATCGACGACGACCATCAACACGCTCATGCACGCCGTGTACCACGGCAAGTACCGCAGCGTCGACTCGGAGAAAGTGTACGCCGCGCTCGCGACCGTCGGTGTCGTTGGCGCCGGCACGCTCTTCGTCTCGGACCTCTCGGAGGCGACGGCGTCGGTCGCGATCACGGCCAGCGTCCTCATGTCGCTCGGTCTCGGGATCTACATGAACCCGTTTGGCGTTCAAAAGTCCATTTACCCGAACGAGACGACGGCCAAGGAGCCCGTGCCGGCTGCGATGCTGCGGCGCCTCGACGAAGAAGAGCACATTGGACGACTTGTCTACCTCTGGCACGAACTTCTCGGGTACGGCCTCCGTCCCGACGACGCCACGTATGACATTTTTGTCCGCACGAGCGTCCGGAAGCGCCACCCGGACATTGCGGTGGCGACGCTTCTCGACGCCAACAACCCGAATTCGTTTACGGCCCGGCGGGCGGTCGAGAAGGATGCCTTTGTGCTGCCACTGCCGCTCGAAACAACGATCCGGCTGCTGCAGTCGCTCGTGAGCCAGAATCTGCTGCCGCAAGTCGACGACGTGATTGCGCTTGCGTACACGTCGCGCGGGTTGACGAGCATCACGTCGACGTCGCCGGGCCGGCTCACGCGGTTTCGACTGGTGCCGTTCGGGGCGCCCAAGGTGACGGCGCTCGTGCTGAGCCGCTTGCTGCGACTCTGGCTCGACGAACACTACCCAAAGGACAAGCTCCACGCGCGCATTCATGATACCGTGGCATTCGATGTCATCCAGTGCCACACGGTGCTCGACTACCTCGACACGATCGACCCGGAGATCCGCGCATCCTTTGCGTTTGAAGAAGTCCAAGTCGCCGGCAACGGCAACGGCGTCCTCCACTTCAACCGCGCGCGTCTGCAAAAATACATTGTCAATTTGGCCTAAGACACAGGTCTACATACAAGTATATCATGTATAGATCAGACGAGTTGTCCACACGTTTGCATAAGCTTGTGTATAGGACAGCGTCGATGCTCGCATGTCGTGCCATGGTGGCTGCTTAAGGTTTGGCACAGGTGAGCCAATACTGCGGGGGGGCGGGGGGGTGAAACCGTCATTCAGGGAGCATGCAAGGGGGGGCGCAAACCGTCCAAGTGAGTTGTCGCTTCCGCGGTGGCAACGACGATGCAAGTGCCGTCGGCCTCGAGTTTCCCGGCCCGACCACAGTTGTGCTCCCGAGTATGAAGGGCACGCAGTTCTCCTTTGACCGCGTCTTTCCTCCCGAGACGACTCAAGACACCATTTTTGAACACATTGGCGCCCCCGTGATCGACGAGCTCTTGAGCGGCTACAATTGCACGATCCTCGCCTATGGCCAGACAGGTCTTACTGGAGAATATGATGACGGTGCCGCGTCACTACACACTGCGCTAGGAAGCGGCAAGACGCACACGATCCTCGGGTCCAAGACTGAAAAAGGCATCCTTCCGCGCCTCGTCCAGCGAACGTTTGAGGCAATCGCCGCGCGGCCAAATGGTTGGTTCTAATGCACGCGGGGTTCGTGAGACGTAGTTGTCTAGACGCCACGACAGAGGTGTCGACCGGTCTCTTTGAAGTGTACCAAGAAAAAATTCAGGACCTTCTCAACCCGTCCAACGCCCACCTGCGCATCCGCGAAGACAAGTTGTCCATTTAAAAAAATACGATTAATGGGTGTGCTGTAGAGAGCGAGGCATTTGGGTGCAAGGCGCGGCCGACATCGTGGTCTCCGACCCGCCGTCGGCGCTTCGACTCGTTCAAAAAGGGCTTGCGGGCCGCTCGATGGGGGCACACTTGATGAACGCCGAGTCGAGTCGCAGCCACTGCATCTTTATGCTCACCGTCACCCAACGCTTTTCATCCGGTCTCAAGCAAACAGGTACCAGAGCTCTCCTCTCAACATCGTGGAATGGACGCTGTAGGCAAGCTCTATCTCGTGGACCTTGCGGGCTCCGAGATGGTGCGCAAGACCGCTGCATCAGGCAAGCGCCTCGACGAAGCCAAGCACATCAACAAGGTTATACAATTGCAAGTGGTATCTGGTGTGAACAGAGACTTGCGTAGTCGCTCACTGCGCTTGGGCTCGTCATCAACGCCCTTACGGACGGACGGTCCAAGCACATTCCATACCGGGATAGCAAACTCACGCGGCTACTTCAGGTATATCCAACTTGTCATAACGCTAGGAATAGTGTACAGACACCTGCGTAGAACTCGCTCGGGGGCAATGCAAAGACACACTTAATCCTAACCTGTTCGAGTAGTGCGACAAATTTGGTGTGTCTCTTATATAGAGGAAGGACTATATATGTAAACTAGGAAGAGACGCTCTCGACGATTCGATTTGGCGCGCGGGCGCAGCACGTGACCAACTCGCCACAAGTCAATACCGAGCGAACCATCTCCGAGTATAAGCAATTGCTACAAACCCTCGAACTCAAAGTGTGCGTCTCCAGCTTTCAGTCTATGGAAGAAGAGACAACTTGTCCACTAGTGCCGCGCTGTCGGTCTACGTTGCCTCACTCGAGAGCAAGACGACTGTGTGTCCGCGCTGCAGCTGCTCCAACTCCGCGACAAACCCGCCGCCAATGGCGCGCGCCACCAGCGACACCAACCTCCGATCGACGTGCCATGTCTGTGGCAGCAGCGACCCCGAGCTCGTGCTCTGCGACGGCAACTGCGGGCGCTTCTGGCACCCGTCTTGCCTTCCGTCGGCCAGCAACAACCCACTCGAATGCATCTGCCCCGACTGCGCCGACGACGCATACAGTCTGCAGGACGAGCTCTCGGCGCTCAAACGGGCGCTGCAGACCATCAAAGCCGATCGCGATGAGCTCGAAGAGCGCGCCAGTGTCCAAAAGCAAGTGCTTGACGTCGCCGACCACCACAATAGCTCGCTTCACCGGTACACACTCTGTACAAACTGTACCATTTGTCACCAACAGCACTGTATTCGCAGCGCGCTGGAGGAACGCGTCGTCGGCCAAGAGCTCCGCATTCAAGTGCTTTCCAACCAGCTCGAAGCCGCGAGTTTGCAGTACGCATCTGCCCAGAGAGACATGGATGCGCTGCGTACTTCGGTGACCAAGTCGTCCGAGGTCCACCAGAGAAATGCCGACGCGGCGCAAGCGGAAATCGACATTGTACGGCGGTCACTGGTCTTGGCGGAGAAGGAAAATGCTGCGCTCAAGGACCAAGCCCACGACCTTGCCCTCCGCGCGGCCCGTAGATACCAACACCTTCTCTGTAACAGCAGGACGCCTTCTCATGGAAGGTTTCGTCGTAGAGTCGGAGAAGCGGGCGCGCGAGTGCCAAGACCAGCTCGACGCCTGTCGACTGCTCTTGGTCCAACGGGACGACGAGGCGGCGCGCCGGCACTCGGTGTCGACGTCGCCCATCAAGGTCGCGCTCTCGCCCGGCAAAATCCGGCCAGCGACCGCGATCGATATTCTCAACGACGCTCGCCTGTCGCTCCAATCCCGCGGCAACATTCAGCAGTGGTGGTCCGGCAGCGACGGTCCCCCCGAACACGCCTGGGAGCCCAAAACCAACAACGTAGCAGAAGACAGCGGTACTCTCAATGAAAGCACCCTTGATGCACGACTCACCGAGCGGCTTAGGCTCGGGCGATGGTCCAGCACGGCCGTTCAAAGCGCGGCTCGTCGGGCTGCTCACGTCGCTCCAAGAAGAGACCGATGCGTTCAAGGATCTGGGCGACAAAATTGCCGAGCAGGCCAAGCCCAAGCTTCGAAAAGGGCGACATCGAAGCCGACTACCAGCGATGGACGACCCGCCCCTCGGCGAGGCCGTGCTGTATTAGCTCCACCGACCGGAATTGGACTTTTTTCTAATTGGAGACCAGCCACGATTCAACGTTGAACAAGGGTACATGACTGTACATATATCCTAGCTAAAACGCGGCGCGCAAGATACTATGTCGCCGTGGCGTAGCAGGGGCCACGGTCGGCGCAAAGACAACGTGGCGACTGCCGTCATTGTCCTTTGTCGTAATCATTTTGCGCGGCTTGCCGCAGAGCACGCGCTTCTTCATATCTTCGCGCGCGGCGTTGACGCGGTTCTTGAAGGAGGCACCAGTCGTGTAGCGCAAGTAGAGGTCCCCCGTGTGCGGAATCCGTCCTTGGACCCAGCTCAGCGGCAGCTCCCAGCCAAATTGGTCGTTGAAGCGCTCGTCGACCCAGTTTTCGCCCGGCTCAATGTCGCCGAGCTGCGCCAGCATCGATGTGACTTGATATTCTTCCCAGACGCTCAAGTTCAAGTGGTATTCCTACAGTTGTGCGGGTTTGTATCAATGTATCAACTACATATGTGCGTACCATTTCGGCAAACATGGGGTTCCACAAGTTGAGCCAGCCAATGCGGTGAATCGCCTCGCCGACATTCTCGCGTGTCCAGTCGGCCGCCAATGCAACGAGCAAGTCGTCGAGATCGAGCACGCGGTTGAGGAGCATGGCCACAATCTCGACTTGTCCGAACGCCACGTCATGAAAGCAATGGGCGAGGCGCACCAACTGGGCCGAATGAATGCCAAACGCAGCGTCGGAAAACGTTTGTCGAACCGCTAAAAGACCATCATTCCGTCTTGAAACATTGAAACATTGCAAGTACCGAGCTTGCGGTGCTCAAAGCCCGTGTCGGTATGGGGCGCGTGGACCACGGGCGCCACGGAGGTCGGTCTGGCTACGATCACCGCCTTCTTGCCATGTCGCTTGAGAGGAGCCGGTGGCTTCTCGACGGCGACCGGAGTCGATGCGAGTGCCGTGACGCTGACACAGAGTTGATCCAGCATCTACATTCTGTTCATTCCACTGGATGCGACCACCAAGGGACACTACGTCATCGGGAATTGCGTCGCTGCCACGTGGGATCCGCGTCGTGAGCACAAAATCAAATGCAAACGTGCCACTCGACGGCAGGCCATGGGCGCGGGAAACACTGTACGGGGCGCCATCCAGCGTTTCATTGCGAAAACATTCCCAGTTGCCTAGTCCCATAAAAATATAACTCGTAAAGTAGTTGGTGGTGGCATCGACTGCGTACCGTTCTGGCTCGTGTTGAGGCTGGCGGTCTTCTTGTTCTCGAGGCGGTCGTCGGCCGAGAGACGCACGAGCGTCGACGCCAAGCGCTTGTCGACGGGCGCGGCCAAGTCGAGCGCGTAGCGTCCATTGGGAAGCCGCGAGTCGAAGAAGAGAAGTTTCCCAGCCCGTTCCTTCAGCACTGACTGGTGCCGAAGCCGTCGCGTGCGGTTGAAAAGGACTGCGGTGTCGGCGACCCGCTGCAATAGTCTAACATGCTTATCATCCATGCGTCTACAATACAAAACTCGAGGCGTACAGGGGGGCGACGTGGGCGTGGGCCGCCTCGGCCGTCATGGACCCGAGGAGGTACTGCGCTTGGGACGCTGTGATGTAGTGGTCGTGTAAGAAATGCTGGATGTACTTGGCACGGTCCGAGTCAAACTCGAGCTCTGAGAAGGCTTGCCAAAACACGCTGACCGCATCTGCGTAAACCACTGTCGACTACAAATCGAACGCATTGGCAATAATGTACCGGGGGCAATCTCGGTCACATGCGGCACCTGCGGCTTGTACGTAAACTCAAACCGCAGCCGGCCGTGCAGAGGGAGACGCCACGGCGTCCGTGTGCCGTCCAGCGCCAGCAGCTTCTGGACCGTCTCGGTGCCGTAGCTGCTACTGGTTGCTCGCTCAGCGCGGCCAAATACGAGCTTGGTGCTGCCCGATGTGGTGTAGGGCGGTAGTTGGTACTGCACATCGCGCCACGACGCCGCCGACGGGTATAAATTCAAGAGCCAGAGGTACTCGAACCCGCGCCAGAACGAGTCGGCATCGTCCAGATCCACCTCGACGTGGCCTATATGGACAAGAATCGTCCACAGTATAGCAGCCAACCATCCAAGCTACATTGTACCCAGCTGCACGGGCGCGAAGCGCGCCGGCTCAGTATGCAGGCCGCAGTCGTCGTACTGCACAGTGCGGCCTTGGGTCATCGAGAGCGGGTCGCTGTACGCGCGAAAGATGGCGCGAAGGCCTTCCGTACCAATCGGGTTTTGCGCAATGCAGAGAATCTCGAGCGTCGTCGAGTCGGCCCACGCGCGGACAAGACTTAACGCACTCAGTGCGCCCAGCGAGTTGCCCGTGAGGTCCAGCGTGTGCAGCGTCTTGTTGTGACGCAGCGAGAGCGCGATCGCACTGGCCCCGCCGCCGCTGCCAAAGCCGTTCCACGCCGCTCGCAGGGTTTGCAGCGTCGTGTTGACCGCGAGGGCGTGGGCGAGCGCCGTGCCCGTCTTGGCGCGAAGGCAGTTCCACGACAGGTCAAGCAGCGTTAGGTGGCCGTTCGCACAGAGCATGGCCCGCAGTGCGTCGCCGCACGCATCGTCGAGCTTGTTTTTGCTCACATCTACCGCCGTGAGGCTGCGACTGCGCCCGAGGACGGCGCCAAGCGTCGTTAGCCCTTCGATCGAGAGCCTACACATCGCATTCACCATATTGTGAGAAAAATGAGAGATAATGAGAGATGATAAAAGACATCAAGACGACAGATTACCCGCAATCGGAGAGGACGAGCGTTTGGAGAACGTGATGGGCGTCGAGGAAGTCACTCAGCGCCGCCACCGTCGCCTGCTTGACTTCGTTGTTGGACAAGTTGAGCGTCAAGAGGCGTGTAAAGTCCGAGCTCTTCACCACGTTGGCGACGGCGACATCCGTGAGACGGTTCTCACGGACGACTAGCGTCTGGAGCTTGGGAATCGACGCGAGGCTAGACCCGGCATTTTTAAATATGATTAACGTTAGATAATCATTTTGGAGTCGTACCAGCTCGAGAGGGCTTCGATTGGTCGGTTACCAGCGCCGTAGTACGACAAGTCGATCGCGCACGCCTCGCGCTTTGGGATGATGAACGGCTCCGGCACCAAGTGCTTCTGCAGGCACGTGCGAATGTAGTCGTCCGCGCACTTGATATTGTCGTCCGTGATGTGTTCCTAGTTGTCATCGTGACATAGTGTACATTGTACGAGCCGCCTACCGAATCAGCGTCGACTTTGGTCGTACTTGCGGTGCGCGGCGCGGCGGGAGCTGTAGAGGACATGTTGACCTTGCGCAGGCGCGCCATAAAGTGCTGCTTGCCGCCCTACAACACGTTATGCGAGAGGCGATGCAAGCAATATTGTACCCAGCCGTAGTTGTGCTGCACATCCTTGATGCTCCAGCCGGTGGTGGATGAGTTGTCTACGAGCCGAGGATCCTCATGCTGGATACAGTGTAGCGCAAGATAACTACGGTCCGACGCCTTGGGGGGCACGAACGAGGCGACGGTGGCCAACTTCTTCTCGTCGTCGGCCCGAGGCGTACTCGGTCGGCCTTCCAAATCCAATGGCGGATCCACAAACAAATGTTGAAAGGCCTAGAGACTTTCAGAAGAATACACCGAAGTGCGCTCTACCATGATAGCCAACTCGGTCTCGGTGCGCGGCAGCGTGCGTGTGATCATGTTCTTCTTGGACGATGCCTGATGGACCAATGGGGGGCGCGATGGCTGCCGCGGTGTCGTGGGCTGCCGAGGCGTCCTACGCACTCTTAGTTCAAGATTTACTTTCTATGTGTACCCGCGCGGTGTTGCGGGGGCTGTCGTCGCGCGCACGGCGGGAACTCTGCTCTTCAGGTGCACGTCAACTTCGGCAAGAACGCTCGTTACTGTGAGCGTCGGTAAGGCCGGGTCGAACGGCTGCGAGCGTCGCTTCACGCGGGTGGCGTGAAGAACCACCGAGGGACTCGTCGCCTTGCGGTGCGACGGCCGCGCCATGGTTGGATTCGCAAGCTGTTCGTGTCACTGTCTATTTTAGGGCTATAGACAGGCATCACGGGCACCAGCTTGGATAGATAGATAGATAGATAGATAGATAGATAGATAGATAGATAGATAGATAGATAGATAGATAGATAGATAGATAGATAGATAGATAGTAGGGGTAGGGCATGTAAGTGTCGAGGGGGCGACGCTACGCGAATACTAGCCTGCACCGCTATGCTAGACATTCCTTTGATCCAACGACAATGGTATTGTTCTATCGAGTATCGTAGTATTTGAAATGTACAATAGCTTACACAGACGACTGGACCAGAACGACGTTCTTGTCTACAAAAGCGAGGTTGTCGATGGCCGCGGGGCGGGTCGTCGAGGATGGGGGCCGATGTGGGGGTGCTGGTGGTTGTTGCGCTCTGGCTCCAAGACGTACGCTGTCGTGTGCGTCACATCGTACGGCTCGCCGGGCCCGAGGATGCCGTCGTCGACGAACTCGTGGCTCGACGCGCGCCCAAACGTAGTACGGAACGGGCCCCCCACCCACTTGAGTTTGCTTTTCTGCATATGACAATAAGAACTTAGTGTATCCACGATCGAACGCACCTCGTCGTCAATGACTTGCTGCTCGTACGAGCCGCGGTACGGTCCGTCGTTGACCACCGAGTAGAAGCCGCCTTGGGTTGCATCGCGAAGCCGCAATTTTTCAAACTTGGCGTGGGCGCAGTATGGTTTTTTGGCTTCTTGATCGACGAGCCGACGCACCGGCAGCGTGAACGTGGGGGCTTGCGTCGCACCGGTTTTGGGGGGTGACTAGTCATTAACAAAAACAAGAATTGACGACAAACACAAGAGATGTATGTACGCACTTGGTTGGACGGTCGTTGCGGCGCCGCATGGGTGTGGGATAGCGCCGAGCGCAGACGTCGAGCGTAAACAGGTCTACGCAGGGCGAAGGTTTGCAGAAGCCCTGCACCGTGAGACGCACGGTTGAGTCGTCGGGGCCGCCGAGCGTGGCCGTAGCTTGGCCGTCGAGACAGCCACGGACTTGCATTTCTTGGGCGACGTACGACCTTTTGCGGTCTGATCCAGACTCATGGCAGGCAGCACTACACGTCGGTACATGTATGCTCCACACGGTGTCGAAGCGCGTACCGCTCGTGCTCTTGAACGGGCCCGTGGGCATGTTGGCGTCGGTCGGTACAGCGCCTGTGATCGATGCGACATACGTGCGGTCCACATGTTCGTGGACGCGGATCATGTCGAACTTTGCTTTGACATAATTCGCCAAAATCGTGCTACACATCGAGATACGCGATATACAAAACTGTAAAATGTCGTACCACGTAGCAGGGTACGCTTTGGCGACTGTAAAGTGAGCGCAGAGCGCATTGCCAAACTCGATGAGGAGTGGGCCCCGCTGGCTGTCGAGAAACACCTTGTAGCTAAGGAGATCGCATGTCAACTCCGACCAGACACTTGTTGATGGACCGGTTGCCGCTGGTGTGCGTGATTGTCTCATCGAGATCCCACTTGCTCGGACAATTGACGACGAATTGCGCCAGCTCGAGACCCTGGAGGTACACGTGGGCGCGCTGTTCGATGCGGCCGCAGCATTGCACGTCGGCGAGTTTCGAGACCAGCGCCTACATCGCAAGTTGATAAGACAACTTGTGTGCTCTCCACGAAAAAGAGAAGCGTGTCGTACAGAGCTTGCATGGTTGTTGGGCTTGCGGGTGCCCGCACGGGCAGAGCTCGGCCGCGCGCCGTACGGGCGGTCCCGATCGCTCGTGTGCATGACAAGCCCCGTGTTGCCTGTTCATATTCCATTCCGAGAGCTCTAAGCTTGTTCAACCGTACCCTTGGGCTCCCACGTATTGTGACGGACGTTGTAGCTAAAGTAATCGCCCGTCTCGCTGTCGAGCAGCACAATGTGCGAGTTGATGTCTACCCCATGCACTCAATTGTCTAAAGTGTAGAGAGATCAATGTTTGGTACCGTTTTTGGGGGGCGGCGCGCTCGGCACGGCCCGGAGGGGGCAGCCGCGGCCGTGTCCGTTCACCGCTTGCAAGAGCTCGCCGCCCGTCGAGCAAAGGTACGCGAGGATCGCGGCGCTAAAGCCCGCACCAAAGAAGCACTTGCCCGTCATCATGCACATCTTGAGCAGCGTGCAGAGCTACTCCCACCAGAGGTTAGTGTTCAATATTGTCCTAAAATTCGATCGCCAACTACCTTGCGCAACGGCGGGGCCCACGGCGGCATGGTCACGTCGCCATCAACAAACACAAAGTCGAGCTGGTCAAAGCGTGTGATGGATTCCGGATCCGCAGTCACCGAGTGCACTTCGTAAACGAACGCATCGAGCTCACTCCGGTGTCTCTCCTAGCTCACACACGTCTTATTGACTAAGAAATCCAAGCACACGTACGAGAATGAGCGGCGCGATCACGTCGTGCACGTGCAGTGTGGTCAACGCCGCCTCGACGGCCGCTTTGAACTGGACGTACTTGGCGGGCGGGTCGTCTCGGGATGCGTATCCGTTCACGAGCAGCACCCGCATCGAGGCTCGATTAGACTATAATTAGCAAGAAATAATGTTTCCCTTGATTATTCGCATAATGGCGGCGTACCCGTCGTGGCCCGAGGACCTCTTTGGTACGCCCGTCGATTGCACTGCGCCGCTGCAAAGCGTCGGCAAGCAGCGACCGCCGCCGCCAACGCTCCGGCCTGTCGTGCAAGACGTTGGCGACCAGCGCCGGCTATGGCAAGGGCAGCCGCACCTGAGCGACAGCCAGCGCGAAATTCTGGTACGATGGACAATACGACAATGTGTGCATCTGTGCACCATGCGTAGACGCAACCGCGCACCTGCGCATTTCAAATCGTGTGCAAGCAAGCCAAGGCGACGCGCAAGTGCTACCACTGCACCAAGTCGACTTGATGTTTATCGTAATGGCTTAAACGATCCCGACTAGGTTTGACCCGACCAAGACCGGGCTCTACTGCGATGCGTGCTTTGACGCCCGTCACCCGCCCGTGCGCATGGACCATTCGTGGAGCCTGCTTGACGACGATGGTATCTCAGTGATCCGCGAGCAAGAGACATATGACGCTGTAGAGCTAGACGAAGAGAAGCAGTGGCTGGCCCACCTCGCGCGGTACAATACCTTGGATGAAACCTGCCATATGCAAATCGTAGGCACAAGATGGCACAGGACTACAAGGAGCTCGAGCTGCTGCTTGGCCACACCACGTCCTTCCTCGCATCGTCGACGCAACAAACCCGCAACAACAACCGCGACGAACACGTCGAGAGAGCGTTCAAGGACATGAAGGCGATCGACCACAACATTCGGTACAGCTATACCAAAGGCGACGCCGAGCCAGCTACTATATTAGGGAACTCATGCACGATGTGGAGACGCAGCTCCGCGTGCGCAACTTGCCACAAGCCATCGCTGTGCGCAAAATCCAGGATATGTGGAAGGTCCGGAAGGCGCGGAACCGCCTCAAGCTCATGATCCAAAGCATCTACGCCGAGATGGTCGACCCCAGTTCCGGACAAGTGTACGCCAACGCTACGATCCCACTACGTTCTTATGAACCGTAGATACTACCTCAACAAGCGCACCCACCAAGTCCGGTGGGATAAGCCCAAAGCGCTGCAAAGCACGAGTGTTCCCAAGCGCAAGCGAAGGCTATGCGAGGCCGACGCCGCTCTGTACATTCAGCGCGCGTTTCGATCGATGCGCGCTCGAAAGGCCGTGCGGCGGCTCTTGCGCCGCGTCTACGTCAAGCTCCAAGACCCGGCGACCGGTACAGTTCCTTTGTGTCTCATGGTGTGGCAACATGACACAGGCATCTTTTACTACTACAACAAGCACACCAAGACAACGTCGTGGACGAAACCTAAGCTCTTGGGCAGTGAAGAGTACGACGCGCCGCGCCGCCGGCCCTTGACGCCAAATGAAGCTGCCGCTATGATTCAGCGCATGCTGCGGTGCGCGGTCGCTCGGCGCCACCTGCGACGGCTCCTCTCGCGCGTCTACCAAAAGATTTACGAGCCAAGTCTCGGACGACACTACTACTTCAACGTCAAGACCAAGCTCGTCACGTGGACAAAGCCGCGGTGCATCGACGACGCCGAGCTCCTCACGCCCCGGTCGTTTGCGCAGCTCGCGGCCGACGAAGACGCGGCGGCGCGCCTCCAGCGACTGACGCGCATACGGGCCTTCTCGCTCGAGGATGCGGCGTCGTACGTGCAACGCCGGATTCGGGTCCACCAAGCACGTGCCCGCCTGCGCAAGATGGCTCAAGACGCCTACGTTGCCATTTTCGATCCGACTTCGGGCGGCTACTTCTACCACAATACGAGGACTGGCGTCGTCTCGTGGAGCCGCCCAGCCATTCTCGGCAGAGACCCTGGTCCTTTTTAAACTAAACGTATTGTTCAGTTCTACTTGGATGTTTAGTTTGTCTCTAGTCGCAAGGACATGACGAACCGACTTCCATTTCCGAATTTGCGCAGGTTGCAGTTGAAGCAGACGGCAAATCTTTATCCGGATGTTCATGTTATCCGGATGGCGCCGGACCATCGTATCCGGACATGGATGTGTGGATTGCCCATCATTCTCCAAGATCTTGGTCAGCATGCTACGAGCGGTTGGCCTCGGGCAGCGCATGGTGCGCCCTTCGCTGGCGCGCTACATGAGCTCGACGGCGGGCAAGGTCATCCAGTGCAAGGCTGCGGTGGCGTGGAAGCCCAACCAGCCGCTGTCGATCGAGACGGTGGACGTCGCGCCGCCCAAGGCCGGCGAGATCCGCGTCAAGGTCATCGCCAACGCGCTCTGTCACACGGATCTGTACACGCTGTCGGGCGAAGACCCTGAGGGCCTCTTCCCGTGCATCTTGGGCCACGAGGCGGGCGCCATTGTGGAGAGCGTCGGGCCTGGCGTGACGTCGGTCAAGCCGGGCGACCATGTCATTCCGTGCTACACACCCGAGTGCCAAAAGGTACGGCGCGTGCGACGCATGACCATGTCATCTTATGCGGTATGCGTCTAGTCGGATTGCATCTTTTGCGAGTCGCCCAAGACCAACTTGTGCCCCGAGATCCGGGGCACGCAGGGCAAGGGCGTCATGCCCGATGGCACATCGCGCTTCTCGATCAACGGCGAGCCCATCTACCACTTTATGGGGTGCTCGACCTTCTCCGAGTACTCTGTGATTGCAGAGATCTCGGCGGCCAAGATCGACCCGACCGCGCCGCTCGACAAGATGTGTCTCTTTGGCTGCGGCGTCTCGACGGGCTTTGGTACTCGACGACGTCCAGAATAAATTGATGAATTTTGCGGTAGGTGCTGTCTTCAACACGACCAAGGTGCACCCCGGGAGCTCGGTTGCTGTCTTTGGCCTCGGCGCCGTCGGCTTGGCCGTCATCCAAGCGGCCAAGATCGCCGGTGCCACGCGCATCTTTGCGATCGACCCGAACCCGGCCAAATTCGAAATGGCGACGTCGCTCGGCGCCACCGACTGTCTTGGTACATCCCACTTCTCTTCGAATGCGTAGCATGCATGCCCTTTACTCGTAGATCCCACGGCGCTCGACGAGCCCATTCAGAACGTCTTGGTCCAAAAGACAAAGTGGGGCATCGACTACACGTACGACTGCACGGGCAACGTCGAGGTGTGGACCTGCTCCTGTGCGCACGAAGCGCTATCTGCATGTATGCTGTAGGTCATGCGGGCGGCGCTGGAAGCCTCGCACCGCGGCTGGGGGCAGAGCTGTGTCATTGGCGTCGCGTCGGCCGGCCACGAGCTCCAGACGCGTCCATTCCAGCTCATCACTGGTGCTCTCTTCGCTCGTCATCGGCGTATCCATACTAATGTAATTAGGGCGCACGTGGAAGGGCACGGCGTTCGGCGGCTACAAGAGCCGCAGCCAAGTGCCCAAGCTTGTGGAGCAGTCGATGGCCGGCGAACTGCCCATCGGTAGGACGATAACCCTACCCCGTCCATCGTTCTTATAGCAGCTATGCATAGATCACTTTATCACGCACACATTCCAGGGCGTCGACACGATCAACGACGCGATCAAGGCGCTCGAGAGCGGCAGCTGCCTCCGCGCCGTCGTCACGTACTAGGCGTCGTCTCTGTGCGAGAAGACAACTTGGTGCGTTTTCGTTTGGCCAACCTTTTAGTCGTCACTCACGGTGCAACTGCAAAGACGTTGATCTGCGCTGCCTGCGGTGGCGGTGCTAGTATAGTCCTTGCGAACTAAATACGAGCATACCAAGCCAAATAATAATCTCGCAGTCTACGCGTCATCACACATTACATCCCTTATTTAAACTACTATAGTAGGTCTAGTAGGTATTATTTGCGTGTACCCAACTACGTACTAGGCGGTTCTGGCTACATGTGAAGCCCTAATCTCCATTGCGCTGTCGCGTGTTGTCGCAGGACGAGGAAGGTCGAGTTGTTCGTTGCTCACTCGTCAGCCCCCGTGCCTGCAGTGCTCGAATCTCAACGTCAAAAAGTCGGCGCACCAGGGACCAAAGTCGACACGAATAAAACGTAAGAGTTAGTTGTACTTGGCGATCGCGTCGAGGAGCTCGGCCGACTCTTGCACATAGTTGAGCGGCTCGAGGTTGACAATCTGCGACTTGACGCGGAGGTCGTCCATGTGCGGCTCGGCCTTGCAGCGCACGCGGAAGAGGTACGTCTTGAAGAGCGCAGCCTTGAAGTGAGCTTCGTACAAGCTCACGTTGGCGTCCTTGAGCTCAAAGAGCTCGTCGGCCGTCTTGCCCTGCATGATGATCTTGCCCTGGTCGTTGAACGCCGACGCCCACGTGCTACCGGCGCAGTCTTGGAGCACAAGCGAGAGAATGTACCGGTTCTCGCAAGTCGGCAGCGACGCCTGGCACTTTTCGCAGCTGTAGTTGCCCGCCGCGTCTTGGACGACCTTCTTCTGGCACTTGGGACACGCTTGGTAGCTCACATTCGCATCGTGCTTGATGTAGCTCACGGCGCCCTTGAGCGTAATGTAGTCGGGCTTTTGGCCGTACCCGAGGCGGCGGTCCTTGATGTCCGTCACCACCGAGCGCTGGTCAAACGTGCCCATGCCCGCGCTGACGCCGCCGCCACCGACGCTGAGCGACTTGGTCGCAGTCGACGCGCCGCCGCCACGGTACCAGTTGAGAAGGCGCGCCGACTCGGGCAGCGGCGGGTTGAGCACAAAGCCCGTGCTGCTAAAGGTGCCAATCGACCGGCCGTTGAACTCGGAGACGCGGCAGCCCTTGATCGCGAGCACTTGGTCGACCCACGTGTCGCAGGTCGGGTCCTGCGCGCGCTCGTTCCAGAGCGTCACCTTGATCTCAGCGAGCGTGTCGTCGACCATGGTAAAGTCGCGCTTCTGCAGCTGCTTGCCCGCCTTGGACGTGAGCTCTGCGCACGGTGCCACGCTCTTGACGATGCCAATCATATCGATCGTCGACTCGGGCGGGACCGACTCGATCGACGTAATCTAAGGCTCAAAACGTGAGCTTCTTCGAGAAACGTCGCTCGTCTCTACCGGCTTGAAGTTGTACTGCACTGACTGGATCGCATGGTCTTCGCCGGCAGGGACAATGTCCGAGGACGCATCGAACGTCACTTCGTAGTCGTTGTTGATGGCCGAGTACTTGCGGTTGGCCATCTTGATCTTGCCGCCCGAGAAGAAAAAGACGCCGTTGGGCACGAGCCGGTCGTAGAACGCGTCGACTGCGTCGTTGAAGAGCGTCGCGCGGATCTCGCCGCCCTTGGCATCGAGCAAATCGAAGCTGCAGAGCTTGCCCTGGCCGCGCGCGTTGGTCCAGTTCTTGATGGGCGCCCGCGCCGTGACGCGCGCCTTGATCGTCCACCGACCGCCCGAGTACGGGTTCAGCGACGCAATGTCTGAGATGCGCATGTTGGGGTCCTCGCGCACAACCGGCGCCTTGTTCACGGCCGGCGCCGCGTACGGGTTGCGCGTCATCGTCGGTGCCGGCGCCGCTTGCGGCAAGTACGACGGCTGCTGCACCGCCGCGGGCGCTTGGTACGTCGGTGCAGCATACGTCGGTGCCGCCGGCGCCGCATACGTGGGTGCAGCATACGTCGGCGCAGCATACGTCGGTGCCGCCGGCGCCGCATACGTGGGTGCAGCATACGTCGGCGCAGCATACGTCGGTGCCGGGACCGGAGCCGCGCCCGCCTTCTCGATGCTTTCGGGCGAGCCAATACGCTCGTAGCCGGGCTGCACCTCGCCAAGGCCAAGCAAAATCAGAATCCTACGCAGCGGCATGAGCACCATGTGGATTGTGGGGCGTCCACGCACTTGCGGCCTTGGACCGTGTTGCCGACGTAGTCCTTGAGCTTGACGAAGCAGTTGATGCTCAGCGTGCCATCTTCAGTCACCTAATGCATGCGCCATGAGCTGCATGGCCAGAGGCGGCGCGGCTACCATCGAAAGCTGCGACGAGAGCATCCCGCTCATGTAGAACTGGCCGTCCGAGAGCACGAGGCGGTAGCGGTCGCCGCCCTTGCCCGAGGCCGACGGGATCTTCTTGATGTCGATGAGCTGGAGCCACGGCTCAAAGCCATCCGGGCTCTGCCGCGTGTGGAGCATCTGGACCGCGTTGGGCGTGAGGGCCACCATCTTCGCAGCTCTGTCTTCTGGGGCCAAACGGGAAATGGCCATCCGGTTAACAAAACCGGCCAAACCGTTCGCGCCAAAATTAGCCGGCCGCCCGAGCGCGGCATGTGCCTCCTTTAGCAATGCCCACACGCTCTCACGCGCGCGCGTCTCTGGGGACATCATCGCACTCGCAAGGACGCATGCGCTTCTGTCTATCTGCCCACGGACACAATACAGCATCTGGGCAGTCCAAGCAACGATTCCTTTGCCAGGCGCTGGCAAGATGGCATATGCCGAATTTAAGCACTTGCCCGTTGCCGCCCATTCGCACAAAGTGCGCTCGTTCTTACGCGAATAGAAAGGCCAAGGAGCGTCGCACTTGATCGGAACGGCGCACTTGGTGAAACGTGCTGCCACGTCAGTTACGGACAGGCGGTATGCCGCGTCCGCGCGCTGAGTACGTGCCTCCGTTCGAGCGCTCCAAGCTGTGGATATGGAGCACCGACACATCCCGTATTGGTATTATGGCTCCGCAACGACCCCAACGACCCCAAACCGCCCGGCCCAGCCGCAGCAACGAGTCGACGACCCCATGTCGCCCGCAGACGGCACGGCGGACGCGTGCCCCGAGCAGCCCCAAGCTTGGTCGACCACAGACGGCGCGGCGCTGCCGTGAAAACGGTATGCTGAATAGCACGAGGACGACCCAGCAAAGTACGGGGCAGGCCGCATCGGCTGCACCACCGCGAGGCAAGGGCCCAACAGGAGAAAGCAAGCAAGGCTCTTTAGCGGAGGCCAACAACGAAGATACCCCGCCCGTAGTCGTACCGACATCCGTGGAGCCCGTGGCGCTTCCGTATGACATTGCAGTCGCGCCCGAGATGACGGTACAAGTGTCCATGGAGCTGCCGACCTCCGAGCCGATGGTTGCAACGTGTGCTATGCCCGAGCTCTCGCAGCCAGAGTTGCCGCCCACGCTGCACAATGTTCCGCCCGACAAGCCACCGGAGCCGCGACGTCTCTCGGCTGCCGAGCAGGAAGCGTGGACGTTCTACTCGATCTGCCGCGCGAGCGAAGCGTCGGCAACAGCGCGTGCCCATCAGTCGCAGCGGGCGTACCTCAAGCGGTGTTCACAGGTGCTTACGGTACCCAAGCCATTGTCGCTCGCTGAGGATTTGGATCTGACGGACCGCTGCCACGGCTATGCGAATGCCTCTGCTCTCGCGAGTCGACTGGCCAACGGATCGGAGGTCTCCCGCCTCGCACTTTCCAAGAACGGTCTGCGCAGCGATGCGGTCCGTGATCTCATGACAGTGCTTCCGACAACGGCGATATCGAGTCTCGATCTGAGCGAAAATGCCATCGGGCCCGTTGGGATTCAAGCAATCGCGACGGAGCTCACGTCCAACGTGTCCAAGCTCGTGCACCTCAACCTCGCGGGCAACCACTTGATGGACCGCCATGTCCTGCCCCTCGTCTCAAAACTGGATGAAACCTGTCTTATGTCGCTCGACTTGAGCTACAACAAGCTGGGGCACGGCGCAATCGTCCCGCTCGGCCGCACGCTCATGCGCACACGGGTGTTAAAGCGCCTCAACTTGCGCTGGAACAACGTGCACGGTCTTGGCCTCGACAGTCTCGCCGACGGGTTGAAGAGGAACCTGGGGCTCGCGGACTTGGACTTGAGCTGGAACCCACTGGGGTCGGCGGGCGAGGCCTCGCGGCTCCAAGCCCTCGCCAACTTTAGCTTGATGCTGCGTCGCAACACGGACTTGCACCACTTGGTGCTCGAAGCCAACCACTTTAGCGTCGAGGACCTCAAGCTCCTCGAGTCGGGCCTTCGACACAATTACACGGTGATTCTGCATCTGCAGTCGGACGTGGCGGTGGTCAACGCCCAGCAGCACCTTCGGTTCGACCATTTCACGCGCGATGTTGGTGCCAATGTGACCTTGGACAAGGCGACCAACGACATCAACTGCTGGCTCTGCAGTGGCTGGTACGACCACGTTTTCCGAACGAGTCTTACATCACGTTACTAGGCGGGAGCATACGTTTACGTGGCGGCCGCTCAATGCACCCAGTGTCGAGGCCGCGTCGCTGTGCCTGTCGATCGACCAGTTTCAAGGTAGCCTTCGTACCAGACGCGTCTGGTCGGTAATGTGGTGACGTAGGCGACGCGATGAGCAGGGTTGATACGGATCAGAGTTTTGTACGGCATCGAATGGTACCACCGACACCGATCGAGTACTACTTTACACGCCCTACGACGTCGGTGACGACCCCAAAGGTGACGTTGCACTCGGGTGCGGCCAGCCTGACGCAGTCGGCGTATCCGCGCTGGAACCCGATCGAGCACGACCCGACGGCGCTCGTCTCGGCGTGGTCGATGCACCAATCGCTCTTCCTCGCCCGGCAGTCCGACTACCCGTCGAGCGCTATGTTTGACACCGACAGCGTCCTCGCCCGCGCCGTCGCATGCGATTGGGACCGGTCCCGCATCGGCCGCGTGGTCAAGCGGGAGAAGCAGCAGCTGCAGTTGCGAGCGCTGGCGACGGCCCACTACCGAGAGATTATTGAGATCTACCACTTTTACGCGGCCCAGACGCTGCCGCGCAGCCTCTCCGAGACGATTCACGGCTTTTCGCTGCACCAGCGCGCGTTCATTCAATTTTGCACGGTTGAGATTGCCTTTTTCTGCAAGTGCAATCTGAGAATCTGAGTTCTGAGGCTGGGTTGTAGGACTGCCAGGTGTACGATGCGGCCTTTTGTAAGCCCGTCGACGTCGACCGTGTCTTTTACGAGGTCAACGCGCACCTCTCGGAGCTCGGGTTCGTCGCAACGGGCGTGACCAAGGGCCTCGCCCGCTACGAATTCTTGGAGGCACTCGTGCGCATTGCGCGGCTGCGGTTTGGCCATGTGCCTGGCCGCCACAAACAAGCTGTCGGCCTTGACATTGGCGAGTCGTTCCAAGCACTGCTGATCCATCACATACTGCCGTTTGCACAGCGATCGCCCGGCGACAGCTTTCGGGCCAAGATGCTGTATACAAAAGCCACAGAAGACGTCCTCGAGTGTTACCTTCCGACGCTCCGCGCTGTCTTTGACGCATACGCGACGCCCCGCTCGCTGCCACTCCTCAAGCACCACCACGCAGCGACAAAGACCAAGCCGTTTCTCGACTTTGCGCGGGCCATCGATCTTATGCGCGACGGCGGCCTCTTGCCGGAGAAGCCTTCGAAAGACGCACTCCGCACCGCCCAGCGCCTCTACCTCTCGAGCCAGCTCGCCGTGCCCGAGGACTGCACAGTGGTCTGCGCAGCGTGGCTCACTTTTTACGGGTTTCTCGAGTTTCTCGTGCGGCTCTCGCAGTCACGCACACCGCGGGCGACCGACGCACTTGCGTCGCTGCTCGCGACCTTGTTTGCCAATCTTCGGGGCACCAACCCGGCGCTGGCACCACGCTTGCGCGGCGTCGTTCGGTTTCTGGAGGCGTCGGATCCGGTGCGGCCCGAGTCGCTGCACGCGCGACTCGCTCGCATCTGGGCGGCCCGACGCAGTGCGACGTATATGGCCGAGAGCATTCAAACAAAGGATCTTAGATAACGTTTGTTAAAAACTCATTAGTGCGTGGGGATTACATGCACACGACAGCACTCAACGGCGTGAGCGAGTCTTCATCGATCGGGCTCTCATCCCCGTAGCCGACCGGGAGACTCATCGGCTGCGGCGGCGTGTTGGGCGACGCGGCCATGGCCGCGGATTCGTTCTTCTTGCGCGCCACGAGGACGCCGCCGACAACCGCAAGCGCGGCGGCGCAGCAGCCGACCGCGAGAGCCATCGTGGCCGTCGTGCTCGCCGCACCGTCGTTCGCATTGGTGGCACCGGCCTTGCTGTTGTCGGTCATGGCTTGGCTTTGGACGCGCGTGCCGTTGAGGGGCAGCGCAGCGTCGGTCGTTGGCTCGGGCGTCGCATCCGACGGCGCGGGCGTGGTCGCATCCGTGGGTGCGGGCGTGGCGGCATCCTTGGGTGCGGGCGTGGCGGCATCCTTGGGTGCGGGCGTGGTGGCATCCGATGGCGCAGACGTGGCGACATCCGTGGGTGCGGACGTCGTGATGGCGTTTTGGGTAGCAGGAGCGGCCGTCAGGACCTCCGACGGCGTCGACGGCACCGACGGGTGGCCGAGCGACGCGGCGAGCGCATCGCACGTGTCGACCGGGGACCGCAGCGGCATGCAGCCCATGACGACGGTCGTTCGCTCCGGCAGCTGCACGCAGCACGAGCCGTAATGCAGGAATTCCTGCGGGCCGGGGCACATGCCGACGCGGGTCGGGTCGCTGCCCGAGCACGGGGACGTGCCGTGGACTGTAAAGACACGGTCGACGCCGTTGACGCTGACAGTGACGTCCGAGGCGGCGGCGAGCGCGGCGAGCGCGAGGAAGGCAAGGGCGGTGGACTTCATTTGTTAGTCGTAAGTACTAGTACGGGTGTACGTAGTCAGGCGTGAATTCTCAACTGAGCGCCTGTTACTGCTCCGGCGCGGCCCATTACAGCCGCGAATCTGCATAGTCTCTACCCCAGTTGGCCAGCGGGCGTTTTGCGTCTACACGGTATTAAATGCAAACGGTCGCATACAAATTATTAGATGCAATAAAACGTTTGAAATAAAATACGACCCGCTCTTCGTGATACACAAGTCCAATCTCTTGGCGGCAACGTTGCGGCCGGCCCGACGGACGCTGCTCCTCCGCTGATACTCCTACTCCTACTGCTCCTACTACTCCTACGTGTACTCCCACTCGATCAACGACCGCGACGGCTATAGCGACGCCGTTAAAAAGACTGCTTACACCCAACCGCGGAAGAAACCAGCGCCGACCAAATGGCAAGCGGCTCCAGAGCACAGAGTCGGTGGAAAGCGCTTGTTGTCGCGCGTCAGTGTATATCGAATGCACTTTGGCGTCCCTTTATTTGGTCGGGTCGTCAAGACTGGTTGACCTATCGCTCGGGAGGAGCGATATATACATGATTCTCAAATGCGTTGGGACAGCTCGATTGGGATGCAACCTAGATTTCGTTGGCTCGTCGTCAGGGACGTCTGCAAGCGGCTGACGGTGCGTGCGGTGGCGCGTCAAGGCGAGGTGCCTCCCTTTTCGTTTGAAACGTGCGGCGTAGAGGTCGTCTCGGTGGCTCTTGCGGCTAAAACAGCACGGTCAACAACGAGCGTGGCCACCTGGCTTGGGCGATTGACACACATTGGCCGCCACAACAAAAGCCACCGTTGGGCGTAGCAGCGGAGGCAGAATACCTGTGTCTAATGTATCACCAAAGCTTCAACTTGCTCGACCTTCGTGACGCAGCTCTTTACGGTCGCTGTGTACAAGTTTCTGGCGGTGAGTGTCTGCAACGATGGACGCTGCGGTCGCTCCGAGATCGTGTGCTAACGGTGCTGCCAGCTGCTGCTGCCACGTTCTTGTCCAATGTGTGTGCGTGGCAGCATCGAAATCAGGATCGAAATTCGGACTTTTCGGCGAAATTCGGACGGATCCGAAAGCTAGCGATGGCCTACTTGCTGGAAGCGCTTCCGACCAAGGCCGCGATCGACGATGCGATCCGCGGGACCAAGGACAAGGTGCTGGTCCTGCGCTTCGGTCGCAGCAGCGACGCCGTCTGCCTCCAGATGGACGACATTGTGCGTCATCTCTACGCGATGAAATGGGCTCACCTGCCATGGCGTAGCTCGCCCGCTGCGAGGTCGAGCTCTCCAAGATGGCGCAAGTGTACACGGTCGACACGGACGTGCAGGACGTCGAGGTCTACTGCCAGTACTTTGACTTGAGCTTGATTCCGTCGACCATCTTCTTCTTCAACGGCCAGCACATGAAGGTCGACTTTGGGTACGTCGTCGTCGCCGCTTGCAACTACACCATCGTCATGCGTAGCACGCCCGACCATACCAAGTTTGTCGGCGCCTTTTATACCAAGCAAGACTGTATCGACTTGGTCGAGGTAACAACTTGTTGCCTTCCTTCCTGCAAGTCTTCCTTCCCAGGTCATTTTCCGTGGCGCGATGCATGGCAAGTACATTGTGATCTCGCCGATCCCGCACGAGCGCATTCCACAGTACACTACGATCATTCTGTCGATCGAAAATGGTCAACTTGTCATCGTAGGTACGAGCTCTTGTACAAAGATTTCTAAAACTCTTTATGAACGCAGCTCGCGACAATATTCCTCAAAGGTCGTGGACGGCAGTGGCTGGATCCGGTCTTTGGACGGCGAGGCAAGGTCGGGTCGTTGGTTGAGGAGGGCCTTGTACGCTTTGTCTTTCTGGACGGCGCCGCGCCATGCTCGCTCGACACTTGTCGGCTTGGTCGTTGGCGCCCGTGCGCGGCGTTGGTGCCGTGGCGCGACGACCCCTTCGCTTGCGCCATACTGCGCATATTGCGATACTTTGACCTAGAAAATGATGTCACGTCGACTGGTTGAGGCGGTGCTTGTACCTTGGCCTCGGCGTCGTCCGGTGCCAAGCGTGAGGCCACGAGGTAGTCTTGGTACGCCAGCTGGCTCTGGTCCATGTACCGAAAGCAGTCGCCGCGCCGAATGAAGAACGCAGGCACCTTGTGGTTGTGTCGGATCGCCGACGAAAACTCAATTTCAGCCTTATCAAACGCGGCGCGGTTGAAGAGCTCGAGCCCAAAGTGGTACCGAATCATCGCAATTCGCGTGTGGATCTCCGTGTCGGTTGGCTGGAGCTCCCGCGCCGTGTTGTAGTCGGCAAGCGCCGCTTGGAGCTTCCCAAGCGCGCGGTAGCAGTCGCCGCGGTTGATGTAATACCGGTAGTCGATGGCTTTGCCTTCAAAGCGCGACGACGTTTCAATCTCCGACGCGATCGCCTGTTCCGAATTATGGACAACTTGTCCTCCGGACGACATCGTACCTGGTTCATGGCCGTAAGACCCGCCTCAAAGTCACCAGCCTGAATGTGCATGATGGCCATGTCTAGTTGTACATGTAGTCATCGCCACCGATAACAATCGTCCAGTGCGGCGAGGTAGTGTACCGTTGAGGATGAGGTTGCGCTGCCGGCTAATCTCGGGGTGCTCTTCTGTTGGCAGGACGTGCCGCATGTGCTCGTCAAGCTCGTCGCCAAATTGCTTGCCAAAGAAGGACCGTGATGCCCGCTCGACATCGGTGAGTGCTGCGCGGTAGTCTCGCTAGCAACATACATATTGTCAGCAACAGTGGACAACTTGTCCTATGTCGTACGAGCTCTCGAAAGACCGATGCGCGCAAAATGAGCACTTTGGGGTCTTCCGCATTGAAGTTGATGCACGAATTGAGACAGTCGAGTGCCTTGGCAAAGTCGCGGCCCAAAATGTGGCGGCACGCCAAGTCGTGCAAGTGCTGGGACTGGTACCACATTTTTCGCTCAAAGTCCAGCACCTAGGGTCCAAGGCGTTGTCGCACTCCGACGGGGTCTATAGTCGGACCTCGGGGTGGTTGGGGCAGAGCTTGAACGCCCGGGAGATATCCGTGTTGCCTTTATCAATGAGTCCGAGCTTCCAGTGGAGCTTGGCGCGCAGCACGAGAATGTCGGCGTCGTTGGCGTCAATGCATATTGCGTGGTCAATGTCCTTGAGCGCCTTTGTCCAGAGGGTGAGGCCCAAGTACGCCATGCACCGATGGAGCCAGTAGTTGGCCTGGAGCGCGTCGAGTGCGACTGCATCTGTCAAGTAGACGATCGCCGTCGAGTACTCCTTGTCGAGAAGAAACGAGTAGCCCTAGAGTCCTCCTGTTGCATGCTTGAAACCAATTTGCGACGCTACATGGGCGTTGAAGACAGCTGCGATCTCTTCCTTGATGGCTTGGGGCGGGTTGCTTTGGAGCGAGAGCAGCTTCTTAAAGTTGCCAATGGCCGACTAGATGTGTTGCGACATCGTCGAGTTCATTTGGCGAGAAGGGCGAACCTTGAAGTCGCAGAGCTTGGCGTACGCCGACCCGCGCGACGCGTAGAGAGTATAGTCGTCGGGGCTAATAAAACACGCCTTGTTGTAGCAAATGATCGCCTTCTCATAGTCGCCGTGCCGGACGAGGACGTCGCCCTCCATCTTCTTGGTCATGGCATCTTCATGGAGCAGCGCTTTCGGCGCCTTGACCGTGTCCATCGCAGCGTCTAAACGCACGCAACATACTGGCGGTTTCTCGTGAACCGACAGCCAATTTTTTGAAACCGCAGTAGCCAAGCCAAGAGCACTCGATGGGTCATATTTTTTTACAGGAACCGAGTGTGCAACTGCTAGGGTACTCGAGGTTGATGCTCGTCGCTTAGGTGCGTCGCGACGACTCCGTATTATTGGGTTCATGAATGTATACTGGACTTTTGATAACGTGATGAATATTTTGGGTTTCAAAAACGAGCTTTTGGCGCTCGTTGTCGAAAAGAGCTCGCAATCCGCAGAGCAATGTCGAACATTGAAGAGCAAGAGCATATCAATGTGCATGTTTCATGTACGATGCACGACGCCATGGCTCGTCGAGCGATTGCGCTCTGTCGGATCTTTGGCGCGCGACAACCTCTCGAGATACTTCAAGCGACCGACTGCAGCGACGGGTGATGCCGTCGTTGAGGTGCGAGTCAGCGTATCTAGTAAATCAAAGTACCCGTAGCAATTGCAGGTACCGGTAGACTGCACCGTGAAGAGTAGCTCGACGCCACGCACTGAACAAGGTAGGACTATCCTGGCCCTCTCTTTATGCGATGCTGGAAACCAGCAGTCTTGCTAATAGGCAAGGCACGTGGAACCTTCAAACAGCTCTTCGAACGCAATTGCAGTTGCAAGAAGCTCTGGCTACCGTGCTGGCCTCGACGCCGATCGTTTGGGTGGATGATGTGGTATCCGGATAATCCAGATAGTCGTCCCAAAGCGTCCAAGTGTCCTTGGCTCTCTGGCTCCGCGACGCGATGGCTGGTACCGAGGTCGTATGTACTCGTATTCATAGGGTGCAATTCATAGTACTCGCATGCTAACTCGGCTTGTCGTGTTCCAACCATCCACTAGTCAACGCCGAGCGTGTGTGTTGTCGTGTCGTCGGACGGAGCCATCCAATACGCCTCGTCTGCTGGCGCCAGCGGCACAGACTGGTCTGCGGAAGGCCAAGGTCGCGATCACCTTGTTCAGAGTAGGAGCGATCAATGTCGTGGGTCGGAGGCCCACCTTCGTTCCGCTTCCGCACAGTTCGTCCCATCGAATCTGGGTAGCCAGGCAGCTAATAGCCAGGGCACCCAAACGAGATTTTGAAAAAATTCACCGCCACGACCGACGCTTGCATATACTTATACTCCACAGTGTGTTGATGATCGACGATGCAGCTGGTGATCGTCGGTGGTAGCTGTCGGTGGTATGCACCGCGCAGTGTACCATGCACACTGATTCGCGCGCATAATATTCCGCATATATAAGAGCTGAGCGCAATCATCATCATCAAATAATATTGGCATCGACAAAAATCACACGTCTGAACCTACGGCAACGGACAGAACCTCGTTGAAGGAGCGTGCTGTGCGTGTTTATGGCAAGGACCGTGCGCATCGTTCGTCTTCGCGGCAACTGCGGTCGGTGTCGCGGGTTCTTGAACCTCGTATCTGGCTTGACCGCTCGATCTTTGAGCGTCAACGAACCAAGACGACGACGCACCACGACGCTCTGCATCATGTCCTGGCAATCGTAGCCGTCCACGGCACGGCAAAGCGGCTCGTCGCCACCGCAAAGCGGCCAAGGACGCCACATGGATGCAGCGCCCGCCTCCGCATCTGTCTGCTACGATCACTCGTCGAACGATGCACGGGACGGCGCCACGCGTCCATGGGCCGTCGCCACTCAAACACGCTGCAGCCACTGGACGCTGCGAAAAAAGCGATGTACACGACCCAGCCGGGACCTGCTGCATTGTCTCGTCCGGTATCGTACAATACAATTGTACGTTTTTACTCTATGTTTGTATGCTATGGATACGTTCCGTACGTACACATGTCGGGCCCGAACGAACTTATCTGGACCTATCAGAGGGCGCGGGCAATATACCAGCGCGATCGCACGTTCAGTCGTTCGCCGCCAAACGACACACGCTGGCTCCTGCAGCCGCGCATCCAATTACACCGCAGTCGTGCGGCAAGCCTATCAAACCCGACGCCGACCACCCGCCGGACAACACCCTCGCTTTAGTGACCTCAACTGCAACGCCGCGGCGCCAAACTATGGCATCGCCGCCCTACTGTGTTGGCTCTACACTAGTATGCAGGCCCACCGCCTATACTACAGGTGGTATACGCTCCCGTCTTCTTCTCTGCTAATGAAATGAACGCGCGTCCCAAACATCCCTCTCCGCCCCACGTTTGCATGAAGCGTAGGCTGTGTCGACTGGAGACGATCCACCAGCGCCAAGATACAGTACACCGAGAGCAAGTGGTTCCACGTGCCTACTCCAACCCGTTCGACCCGTTGCTGTGCAGTCGATTGTATCCAGGCTGCGTCGAAGAACGGTACGTTGTTCGCGATGGTGGGGTCGTTCGGCCGAGGGGTTGCGCGATTGAGTGGCAAAGGGCAAACTCGATTAAGTGCGATTGTCAAGCGCGCATGCTGCGAGCGTCATAATTGCAACGTCTGTTCCAGTGACACATGGCCCATTCGTTGACCGAGCGGGCGAGTCGCCACAGCACCAGTAGCCTCCTTGCACCCGTGCGGTTTCTCTCGCGCCGCCTCCTCCCTGCCACGTCTGCAGAAGCACGCGCCGGGTACGTGTCTATGACGACTGCAAAAGACACGAGTCGTTGCACTTTGCTTTACGCATCATGGCGCTCAACCAACTCCTCCATAGAAAGAGCCGCCTTACCCGCCGGCGCGCGTCGAGCATCCGCACCATGCGCAACGTCGAGGTGCCTCGCTACGAGGTGCTCCGGTCGTCCAAAACCACCGTGTACATCACGACCGTCGACAACGGCACCGACTACTGGGAGCTCCCGATCCGGTACTCCAAGTACCACGACTTCTTCACGACACTCTGCAAGACGGACAAGAAGTGGGTCGCCAAGCTCCCGTTTCCCGAAAAGTCGTTTGGGTTTGGGAAGGACTCGCCCGACTTTCGCCGGCGCCAGCTCGACCTCTTCATGCGCCAGCTCAACGCGCTCTTCACGTCGCTCTCGGCCGAGGGCCAAGACGTCGTGATGGACTTTCTCGAAGCCAAGCACCACGTGTACCACTATGAACGCGAAGCCTCGATCTACGACCACTACGACGACGAGAAGGCGTCGCGCCGCGGCTACAAGTCGTCGGTCGCGTCCGAGACCGACTGCGAAGACAACTCGAGCGAGCACAACATTGACGGTCTCTCGTCGCCGTCGTTCCCGGATCGGACTTCGTCGCTCCACCACGCTCGGTCGTCGTCCTTGCATTCGTCGTCGCACTGCTCTTCGATCCATGAAGAAGAGGTCAAGCGCCCGCCAGTTGTCGAGCCCGTGCCCGTCGCACCGACACCAGTGGTCGCACCCACGCCGGTCGTCGCGCCCACGCCGGTCGTTGCACCGACACCGATCGGCGTTGTCGCAGCACCGGCACCGAAACCCAAGCTCCACACGCTTGTGTCGCAGGTCGAAGGCTACGCGCCGATGGCCCCGTCGGCCGCACCGATCTGGCAGCAGCACGAGACGACGCTCTCGACGTACACGCGGCCCGCGCATCTCAACCCCGTTGTCGTCAAGACGTGGGGTGTGCTGTACCCGACGCTGTTCCCGCAGCAGGTCGGCGGGGCCCCCAAGCCGCTTGCGGCCACCACTGCGTCCGACTAAACCCGTATGCTCGCAGTACTTCATCCCTTCCGTCCACGAAGCAATCACCCACCACCAGTTCCTATGTAATGTATATAAGATATGAATCCTCTTCCAACAACGACCGTTGAAATTCGCGTCTCGTCGCCAGCAAGCTCATGCTCATGCTAGCCACACGCGTCAGCTGCCTGCCACACACTCGGTTACATACGCTGGTGTACGCGGCAATGGTATACTGTAGATGGAGATGTGCAAGTGAGGGTCGAGCCCTTCGTCTCGCCTCAACTCGCCACGAGCTGACAAGAGCTGACAAGGGTGGACAAGGGTGATGGGTAGCAAAAGGAATGACCAAGCGACGTGGCAAGCGACTTGGGACCCCGCGGTAAAGACCCGTGGCGCCAAGCTGTGGCGCCACAGCCCGCAACCCGCGATCGCTGCCAAGAGTGCACTGGAGTGCGCTCAGAAATATCAGATCCATATCAAGAAGATGGTGCACTGGTCGGGTGTGATGGCACTCGCCCGACTTTCATTGGCAACATGGCGGGCAACCAGCTGGCGCGCGCTGCCATGCATGGACATACCGGTACGGCATCTACTGTACCGCGATCGGTGCGACCATTTTTTCGGGCCGCTTGCACAGTGATGAGGCGCGACGATGGATTCTCAGAGGAACCGTATCACGGACTACTGCGTTCTACTGCGTTCGCATTCACCGAGTTGCGCGACCCATCGATGACGGCGAGCCTCGATGCCAAGCCCGTGGCACCCACAGGACGCTGGCCGCCGTCCAAGCGATGTACGCTTATCCTGGTCGCCGTCGTTGTTTGCCTCTCTGCAAGCATCGCCACGGTGGTATGCGCGCTCACGACGCCGCGATACTACGCCGTCACCGAGACCGACGTCTCGTACGATGGCCACAATGCGTCCGTGGTCGCGCCCATGACGCTCGACGGTTGCGCCAGCCTCTGCACCCGGCTTGGCACGGCGTGTCAAGTGTACGTGTGGTGCAATAGTTCCAGCAACGCCACGTGCATCATCAAGGACTCGGTCGGTGTCCGCCGCGCCCTGCCCGGCGCCGTCGCGACGCGGCGCTGGCCAACGTCGCTGCGGCGATCGCCGCGCGCCATTCTCTTTGGAACGTCCGAGGGACCGTATCCACTGCCGACAGTCGCCTATAGCTACGTCCGCGGTGCGCTCTGGCTCGACGAGACGAACGCAGCTACCGACACGTGGCCGCAGCACACGTTCACGCACGTCGAGTCGATCGGGGAGTGCGCGCAGCTGGCCACGACGGTGGATCAACCGCTCTTCTCGTACATCACAACAACGCGCCTCTGCTCCGTTTTCGAGTACGACGCAGCAAACCAATCGACGCGTCAGAGCTACATGCGCATGAAGGACGGTCGCGATGTGCTCTTTGAGACCATTCCCGCTGCGTTCCGGATCGCGACGGCGGCGCTGGCGCCGACGCTTTCCGAGTGCGCTACGGCGTGCGCTACCAACCCGTTTGGGTGCGTCGGGTACCATCTCGAGCGCGACGGTCGCTGCCACTTCGTGGCACCGACGGCGCAGCGAGCCAAAAGCAGCATCGCCGGCTGGGTACACGCGCCGCTCCGACACCACGTGACAGACGACCACCGCCGCTACGTGACAATGCGCGGGTACCGTTTGAGCGCACCGCCTGCCGTTGTCGTGCCAGCTGCGTCTCTCGAGGCCTGCGCGGTGGCCACGGCGCGCGCAAATGCCAGCGTCTTTGCCTACACGGCGTCGACGGGATCGTGTGAAGTTGTGCCGTTGCAGCCAAGCACGGCGATCCTCGCGCTGCGCGACTACCCCAAAGTCCCTGCGCAGTTTCTTGACGCAGGGCTTCCGCTCGACACGATCACATCCGTGTCCGTCGACTCGGCGGCGGCGTGCGCAGTCCATGCACTCTGCGTCATCTCGCGCAACGAGTGCGTCGCCACGAGCTTTGAACCGTCGACACGCCGTTGTTCACTGCTCAAAGCAACACGCAGCCTCGACCCGGTCACTACGATCGGGTGGCTACCGCCGGTGGCGCTCCCGACAGCGATGAACTCGGTGACGAAAGCTGCTTTCTTTGTCACGGCCCACCAAGACGACCACGAGCTCTTCATGAGCGGCCCGTTTTTATCGAGCCTCGGCGAACGCAGTACGAAGACGGTTTCTGTGTATTTGACCGCGGGCGATCTCTACACAATGCTCAAGTGGCCGGCGCGGGAACGCGCGACCTTGATGGGGACACAAGCCGCTGTCGAGTACCATGGCCTCTACCACCCGGTCGCCGTGACGACCAACGAGACGATCAGGACGCATGTCGTGACCAAAGTCGTCATCGGCAACGGCGTGCACTACTGCTTGCGCCTGCCCGAGAGTGGTTCCCACCACTTTCTGAACGCGTCGCTGGCAAATACGAGCCGACTATGGCTGTCGCCGGTCGACAAGCAAGACGAGTACTACAGCTCGTACGCCGACGTGCGGGCAGTGGTGCAAACGATCGTGGAGCGCGAGGCGGCGGGCATGACCGAGCTGGCCTTCCACACGTCGGAGCCGCTTCCGTCCAAAGCGGCGGTGCCAGACCATACGTTGCACCGCCTCTCGGGCGAGCTCACCTTGGCGATCGTGTCGAGCCATGTCAACTGGTCGACGTGCGCCCACATGCAGTTTTACTATGGGTACCAGAAATGGGAGGACGCGGCCGATTTGGACCCGACGACAGCGGCGTTCCAGCGACACATGTGGATGCGCGAGTTCGCCGGCGTCATGAACCTCAAAAACACGACCAATGGCTGGGACTTTCACGTCAAGCAGCTCGGGCGACTGTACATCTCGCGGTCGATTCTGCCGACGACTGCTTCGTGCATATAGCCTACGGGACGTCCATGCAGCTAACGTTTATGTATACCTGTCGTGTGCTTGATGCGTGGTTGCGCTTGCTTGGCGTAGGATGCATGCGTTCCCGCTGCACTGTGTCACGTACCCAGGGCAAAGTCAACCGACCGCCTCTGCTCGGCCGGCCACGCACGATGAGCCACCATCCTGTCGTCTTGGACGAGTTGTTGAAGTACTGGTCGCCGTGCCACTGCGTGCCCAGTAGGACCATCCCGGGTGGTGTTGGCCGGCATGGATCGAGCTGGCTCGTTCGCCGTGGTTGAGAGAAGACGCTGCTTCGGGTGCTGCGACGCGGACGCGCTTCAACCCGAGGATCGCGGGATCTTTCGAAGCCGAGCGGACCGAGATTGAAGCGTCCCGGCGCTTCCGAAGCGACAGTCTCGTCCGTCGATCGGGTCGGTCGCACCGTGCTGGGTACTCGTAGTACCCTGGCTGCATGGAGATTCTCATGGAGGAGGATGGGTAGCCCGTCCAAGCAGCCGAGTTCGCTTGGTATCCTGGTCGAGCGCTGCAGCACGGACCCCACTACGTCTCACATACACGACGTCTACCTACGGTCGTACCTCCATCTTCTTCGAATCGAAGCCGGGAAGATGCTGATGTTCACAACGAGGAGATGCACCGCCGGCGCGTATTTAATGCTAAATATCAAATCCACCCCATACTATCTTGAGGTTTGTATGCAGATCGCAAAGATCGCATTCTATTGCCTGATCGGCAATTGTCCAATCAAAGGCGCGGATGTGCGAGTCGAACGGCAGTCTTTATAATTTTGGACCCGTTACGACGGGGCTTGTTTATTTTATTATTGAAGGTTTGTATGAATCGGACGATGTTGGGAATTAAATGCGATCCGGTTTTGCACGATGTCCAATCGGCCGGATTAAAACGACTTCATTTTCGCCCGCGGAAGCAGTATGGACGCCGACGGCAAGATGCACCCGACGCGACGAGGACGAGGCGAGAGCATGAACTACTACGAGCGCAAGCCTTCGGACGCGCCATGGCTCGGCCGCCGGAAGACCCGGCGCGGCCCGCAGCGGTCTTTGTCGCTGCCCAACATGCACCTCCAGGTAGATCGCCCTGCGAAGACGCGTCGATCGATGCGTCACACATGTAGGGTGAACACCCCGTCGTGCCCAACATCTTTCCGGACATGGACGTTCGGTCGCTGCGGCTTGCTGAAGTCAGGAGCTGGCGTTGCCCTTGGATGACCCACGACGTTGCGGGGCCCGCATCCTCGGCGCGGTCGGTCGCGCATGAGCTCGAGCATGTTATCGAAGAGATGCACAGTACCTTTGAGCACGAAGGAGACGTGAGCAAGCCATTGCCCGTGCTCAAACTGGATCGAAGCCAGTCCGAGAAGACGCCGTTGACGATCACGGCGGCGACGCCCACATCGAGCGCTGCGACAGAGAGCCCCCACACGCCCCCACCGCTCACGCCCATCAAAGTGCCCGCCAAGCGACCCGTGCTGCGACTAAAGCTCGACGAGATGCCCACGTCCCAGCAAGCAGAAAATCGCGCCAACCGCGCGGCGAACCAGCTCTTGGCCAAGCGAGACGCGCTCGAGCGCGAGAGCAGTGCATTCGGTGTGCACGCTAGCAACAACCACAACCCGACGAGCCACATGCAGCGCGCCATGATGGACCTCAAGCTCGGCTCCATTGGCTCCAACAGTGATAGCGACACTTTGTCGCCGCATGGTCGGACGGCCCATTGACCTTCTTTGTCTTATATCATCGGTGTAGATGGCGAGGGCGGTCGCTTCAGCCAGGGAAGTGCCTACTCGCCCAATCACGGTATGTTTACCACCAAGTCGGTCTCGGTCTCGGAGGCTGGGATCGCGTCGCCGGACGCAACGCACCTCCATCTGCAAGAGAACCTTGTGCGGGTGCGTGAAGTGGGCCGCGGTGCGTCGGGGATCGTCTTCAAGGCCGTGCACATTCCGACGCTCAAAGTGGTTGCGATCAAGGTACCAGCTTCTTGTGGTCTCCTTGCCCACAATGGTCTAGGACGTGCCCGTCTACGGGAAAGGCCAGCGCCGGCAAATGGTACGGGAGCTCCACGCGCTGTACGCGAATCTCGTGCCGCTCACAGAGTCCCGCACCGCCCCCGTGCGCATGTCCGCTTTGGTTGCATACATCGTCGGAGGATGCTGAGGACGACTCTTGTAGGCCGAGTCCGTACATTGTATCGTTCTACGATGCGTTCGTGGACAAGCCCAAGAACTGCATCTGCCTTGTCATGGAATTCATGGGCGTCGGGTCCCTCCAAGACATGGTCGTCCACGGTGGGTGCAAGTCCGAGGCGATTCTGTGTCGCATTGCGTCCAGCGTCCTTCGCGGTCTCCAGCACATTCACGCCAACCGCATGGTCCATCGCGACATCAAGCCCCACAACTTGCTGCTCAACCACGCGGGCGACATCAAGATCTCGGACTTTGGCCTCGCGCGAACACTCAACGAGCATGCAATGCACACCAAGACGTTCGTCGGGACCTTGCTCTACATGGCGCCCGAGCGCATCGGCGGCGGCGACTACGGCTGTCCCTGTACCTCCCCACGACTACTGCTTGCGCTCATGCTTGCGTGTAGCCGACATTTGGTCGTTTGGCCTCGTCTTACTCTCGGTCGCTCTCGGGCGCTACCCGTTGCCGACGCAAGATGGCTTTTTCGGTCTCTTTGATTCGGTACGCAGTCTGTCGTAGGAAATGTGGTCACGCAAGGCGGGCGTAGGTGGCCAATGAAGACTACCTCAAGCTGCCGCCCGACTTGTTTTCGCCGTCGTTTCAAGACTTTCTTGACAAGGTAGATCCAAGACGAAGAGCGTACAGGGATGCAACGCACCGTCTTAGTGTCTCACGGTCGACCCGGACGAGCGCTGGACCGCTGACCAACTCCTCACGCACCCGTTTGTACATCAGTTTACACCCGACGCGACGCTCGCCGAGGTACATACTGTCGCTTGGAAAATGGCGCGAGATCATCTGATATACCGTGCCTTAGTGGAAGACCTTTGTTGCCGGCATTTCCGAACCGGGAGAAAAGGCGCTGCAGGACATTAGCGACGCCGTCATGCACCGCGTCTACGACCGTGCGGCCAAGTGTTTTGTTCCCCAGGTACATACATCATCCCGATCGGCTTCCCAACCCTCCATGCCAATATACTATGGCTAGTCGGATTATGGCATGTCGATGCTCACGCCGGAAGCTTCGTCCCACAACGTCGTCTTACCGCCCGTGGAGACGAGGTATTGCGCGGTGCTCGTTGCTGCGATAGCTCATACATGCGTAGCTTACAGCTGGGTCTGGCCAACTATCTGGAGCTGCCACCGGCGACGGTCTTCCGAGTCTTTGAGCAGGTACCTCGTCGTCTAGTGGTTCGACTGCATCGATGGGACTCGACGTAGAAACGGATCGAGTACGAAGAGAAGCTGCTCGACGATCACTTGTGCCAATCGCCGCAGAGCTGGGCCAATTCCCCCGGCGACCACCGGCGGCAGTCGCTGTTCGGGTCGTCGACTACGGCCGTCGTCGTCGCCGAGGACGACCCGCGTCCCCACACGCGCCGGCCGTCGTTTTGGAAGCGACTGCACAACAGCGTCAAGAACCTCGGTCGGCGAAAGGACGTGTAATCGATGGCTTTAAAGCGTCTTTCGATGCACAATGGACGCGCCGTGCTCCTCGTACTCTGCCTTGGTGATCCACATGGTCTTGAACGTCGCGAGCGAGGCGAGGATCGAGCCGCCGATCCACGTCGAGTACTGGCGCGCGGGCGGCGCCGAGATGCGAATCTTGATGTCCTTGGGCGCCTTCTTGCGGACTTCGGAGAGCAAGCGGTCGCCAAAACCGGGAAAGAGCGTCGAGCCGCCGCTCAAGACGATCTGCGAAAAGAGCGTCTTGCGCAGATCCATGTCGGAGCGCAGGATTGCATGCACGAGGCAGTCCTGGACGCCTAATGCGGAGAGCGGTCGTCGGCGATGGCTCAAGAAGACCGTTAAATCGTACCTGTGTACTCGGAGCCGATGAGGTCGGGGCGGAAGAGGATCTCGGGCGCTCGGAATTTCTCCGGGCCGAGCTAGACACGCCATGAGAGTCCAGCCAAGTATGGACGACGTACGTTGAGGACACTGCCGTCCGGAAGGCGGTACTCGGACGAGGCTTGGGCGGCCGAGGACGGCGCGTCGCCGGCGGCGTGGGCGAGCTGCTCTTCTTTCGCTGGGTTGAACGCCACGTAGCACAGCTTTTCTTTGATCTCCTTGACAATCTCGAGCTCGGCCGAGGTCTGAAACACATACCCGGCCCGGCGGCAGAGCAGCTGGAGGTAGTTGGTCACGTCCCGCCCGGCCACGTCCATGCGCGTGATGGCATGCGGCAAGGTAAAGCTCTCGTAGACGGGCACGACATGCGTGACGCCATCGCCAACGTCGAGGACGACGCCGGTCGTCCGGCCGGACGCATAGAGCGAGAGGACAGCTTGGGGCGACACAAAGAAGGCGGGCGCGTTGAAGCTCTCAAAGAAGACCTCGGCGGCCTTGACGCGGTTCGCGGCCGGGTTGAGCGGCGCCTCGGTGAGCAGCACCGGGTGCTCTTCGCTCGTAATGTTGAGCATGTCCTTGGAGTACATGTGCTCCCAGATGCGCTGCATGCGGTCCCAGTCGGTGACGATGCCATGCTCCATGGCGTACTTGATGCTGAAGAGCCCGCGGTGCTGCTGCACGCGGCTGCCGACGAACGTGTCGCCGCTCTCGTAGGCGCCGCCCGCCATCATGCGCAGGTGCTTGGTCGTGCCCACGTAGCTCGGGAAGACGGCCTGCGGCAGCTCGCCGCCCGCGAAGCCGGCCTTGAGGATGCCACTGCCGTTGTCGACGACCACGGGCTGGTTGTACTCGGCCATCTCAAAAGCAGGATGCAAAAAGCCCCCGTCCGGACCCGCGTATCCGGACGCACAAGATACGCCAACACTAAAATAGTGTCGCGATCGCCACAAAACGAACGACAATATTGGTTTGTGTACCAGACAGCAAATAGTGTCATGTCTCGCACCAGTCCCAAGCCAAGCGAGTCGAGCTATCCTGTACATTCAATCGCATGCACAGAGCTTGTAGAAGCACGACGTGGCGCTTCTGCGAGACCCACCACGCATGCCAAGGACCCACATGGTATCATTACGATGAAATAGCACTCGCGAGGACGCGGTTAGAGCGCGAGGAGGTCTTGGTTGTGTGTCAAGAGGGCGCCGAGGGCGCCAAAGAAGCCCTCGTGGTGGAAGAACTGCGCTTGCATTTGCGATTTGGACCAGTAGTCGATCGCATAGGCCAGCTGGCGCGACGCGATCTACAGCGAATGATGAACGAGGAACATGAATAATGTACTGTCGACAGGAGGAGGCAGACCTCGTTTTGGCGAAGAAAGTTGCCGCAAAAGTAAATGCGCTGCGTGTCCGAGCGCTGGGCACTGAGGTACGCGACCTAATGTTCATCCTAGCGCATGTGGAAGAGAGGGATATGTACTTGGCCAATGTTGGTGGTGATCATGATCAAGAGCGACCTCGCCACATCTTCGTCACGGACACCGCTCTTGGGCTCGTACTTTGTGCCCTGAAGTGCCCATATACGATGGCAAGCGCGTCGATGATGGAGAAGAGGTACCATTTTGCCAAAGCTGCTCGCAAGCGTATTCGCCGAGAGGTTGAACTGGGTATAATTACCGCCGTAAATGTCACCCACCTAGCAGTATATCTCAATGTTTGCTGCTCCGTCGCCAACGTGTACCGTCATGTCGACCGTGTTGGAGTCGCCGACGATGCTGGCGTCCATGGCTTCGTCAAAGCTTCTGTACTTGGAGAGGAGCTTGCAGAGACCGAGGTACGTGCCACCGCCGAGGCTCGTGCCCGACACGCGCGTGTACTCGGTCTCGCTCGTCACCTTGAGGATGCTCACGCCCGACCCAATGTTGACGAGCAGGAAAGGATACAGCTCCTACAGACTGCTGCACCCTTGTCATATAGGTCGAGACGTACGCTGGTTGGCGTGTGCACGATCGTCTTGGTCGCTTCGCCCATGCCTTGGTGGTTCATGGCCACGTTCTACTACCGACCATCAACGACGCGACGGCAACAGCATGCGGAGGACCTTGAACGTGTAGCACTCGTCGGGCACATGCCGCATGACGAAGCCCAGGCCTTGGATGAGGCACGCGAGCTCGTCACACTTCTCCAGCGTAATGCCCACGTTGTCTTCAAAGAGCTTGCTAAACTTGAAGGCGCCGCCGCCCGTGCAGGGCATCGTGCGGATGTCGCGATGGAAGCAGCGGTGGCGCACAAACTCGACGACCTTCTCGAGCTTGGTTGTCTCAAAGCGCAGAAAGTGGATGCGCCCGGACGCTAGCTGCAGCGCCATGCCATCTTCGCGGTTGGCCGACTTGCCATACGTCGTCGACGCCATTATGTACGTGTGCACGTCGCCGAGCTCGGACGGGTCGCGCTCGAGGTACACGAGCTTCCCGAGCGTCCCGCCGACGTCCATGCCGAAGCGCCGCCCGAGGTCCTTGTCCCGGTGGTAGATGATCCGCGCCTGGAGCCGCTGCAGCTTGCGCTTCCGCAGCACGACGAGGCCGACGACGACGACCGTCGCCAGCGCAAACCGGGCGAGCATCGTGGACTTTCGAGTTGAATTCGGCACATGTGCCGAAAATACATACCAGCCTCCGGTATTCCTAACCGACTTGACCAATGTGAGCCTCGTGTATGAGCTGCTAGCGCCAACACATCTCCGCGCACTGTGCTTTAACCAACACGATCCGATGCTGCGCTTGACGTTCAACGAGAGCCGTGTGCAACGCCCTCGCCAGCGTGTGAGCCTGTTTTGGACCCCCGTTCGATGCCGAATATACGTCATTGCGTTTTCATACCCGACTCCATCAAGCTGGAAACGCAACCGAGAGCAGGAGGAGCGTCGTCGTGATTCCGTGCACCGTTACGCTAGATATACAAACTCGTGCGAGCGATAGGCAAGCGAGCTCTGTTCTCTGTACTGGTTGAATATGATAGGGCACTACGTATTTGATTAGCCAGATCACACTCGGTTTTTTATGTCATTTATGCAAAGGCGTCGGTAGAGAGCGACGGTTGACGGAATGATGACCAGCACCTGTTACGATCCACCGACGAGGGTAATGAAGCAGGCTTAAACGCAGTCGTAGGCGCAAGTTGGAGCCCGGAGAAATGAGCGCTGTTGCGACGTACACAGCCAAATTTTCTGCAGTGCAGGATACTGTCGCCGAGGTCCACGCAGGACGGCTCATCGAGAGCTATGTCGCCTTGAGGAATCTGGCCTTGACTTCACATCTCTTTCATACTGCTTGGACGAGGTGGCCCCAAGCGGCTCGCCCAGCTTGGATGTGCCAAGTTTGCGCGTTGGAAATGGCGAGTCGGTGTGGTAGGAACGCCATTCAGCCATGTACCCGGGATCGCATACATCTTTGCCGCATATCAGCGCCAGGTGGATGGTGTGTCTTCCAGCGTAAGGCTGTCTTCGACATGCCAGGGTCGTGGCGGTCCGGTCGTCGTTCCGTCTTGTGACGGCAAGCGGAAGATCCCTTGGCGCCCGAATTCGAATTCGAAGCGACGATGCCACCAAGTACCTGGAGTATCTACCGACTGCCACCACGACAAGGATGTAGCCGTGTCGAGGTCGGAGGTGTTCCAGGACTTCAGCGCCTTGCTCACCATATTAGTTGGGTCGGAATGTACAATTATGCATTTCTGTTAAATAGGTCGCTGGCGGTTTACTCACGAGAGAAAGTACTCGAGCAGCCATGCGTCGTCGTCGTCCATGAGGTCGTCGTCCGTGATGAGGTCCGTGAGCTGCCAGATGGGAAAGAGAATCTCGTCGGCGCCCACATCCCGTGGGCTATCTTCCTCGAGATCGCCGATGGTGACCTTGAGCGGCGGCACGGGTTGCAGCTTGATGCGCTTGGGCGGTGCTTCGACAACATCGTCGGCAGAGTCGGTGAGCGAGACAAGGAGCACGCGCTTCCCGCTCGCGGACGACGTGACGGCAAAGTTCGAGGTGGCGTGCAGTGTCTCCATGAGGCGGTGGGGTGGACAGAGTGTTTTTTCAAATGACCGCGAACGTAGGAGACCGCGGCAGAATGGCGTCCCCAACAGCCTCTGGGACGACCACTCGATGCCTCGAATTCGAACGGCACGACGACGTGGCACCCCGTTTGTCTCGGTCGTTTCAGAAGCAACCGCGGTGGGACGACTAACGTCGAACTAATCTTTGGAACACTGTTCGCGCTATCTTCCACCTGACAGAGCTGCGGAAACCCGCACGATATCCTGTCGCACAAAGCAGAGACTACAATGGTTGGCCTATCCTTGTACTGAAATATAGGACCGAACTCAGGACAATATCCTGTCGCACAAAGCAGAGACTACAATGGTAGACCTATCCTTGTACTGGAACATAGGACCGAACTCAGGACGAAGGTGGTTCATAAAAAGGTTGCCAAGAGCGGTAGCAAGTGCAACGTCCCTCGGTGAGAAACCCGCCGATGCGTTGAGTTGATAGAGATGCCGTTGCGGCCGTGGGACGACGGCCAAGAGGCGACGCGATCACTCGCGGCACGGGAGCTTGATTCGATTGGATAGCACCATGCATGGTGCCTTTTCTAGATGCGTCGATGGGGCTAATTACAAGGCACGTTGACGAGTTGCGACTTCAGATTGGGACTCATGCCAACGGTGATTTCACCGTCCGGAAGGACGTGCGGTCGCTCGTTCGTGCAAGAGGCTTCGACGTTGTTTGGGAAGACGACGACGGCAACCTCCGTCCATACGATGGTTTTTCCATTCGATTTTCCACCGACTCGCGAGATAGGGATCCTGTCCTGCGGGCGTTTGGCGTTGCATCGACCACCTGTGACGCGGGACGTTGTTTGCGAGGGGTAGGTGGTGCCGATCCAAAGATATATATACGTGGACGTCGTCTTTTTCTCGGGGATTAAATAGAATATCGTGGTGGCGCGTTGTTCTTACGACAGAAAATACTGCAAGAGCCATAAATCGTCCAACAATTGGTCTCTGCTGGGCTCGCCGTCGCTCCAAGGCGGGTACTCGTCGAGCATGGTGGTACTCTCGTGGATGGGCGTTGATTTTGGGTCGGGGTACACCTGTCGGCGCACGTCCGAGTCGTTTGTTGGTACCAACGACGGCGTCTCGAGCGCCTTCTTGAGCGGTGAAATCGAGCACAGCGCCATGATCTAGCAAATTTCGCAATGATCGGTTTGTTCGATGGGATGCGGCGGGTTATTTAAAGCCGTGGGACGAACCCGCGGAAGTGCCACGTTACGCGGCCGATTCTCTCTCAAAATCCAGTTACAACGGCTGCCGTCGTCGATCGATACACCCGCGAAGATGCGTGCGCTTCGTCCCACGAGTCTTGTCCTGCTCGCGCTCCTCCGACGGCTTCTCGCCGACGACCACGCCAGCAACTGGTGTGCGGGGTTTGACGAGGTCGTCTTGACTTTCGACGGTCCGTCGCCCGAGTCCCGCGTCGGGGGGAGCCGGCTATCGCCCAACATGACCTTTAACAGCAGCGTCCTCGAAGATGCGTATGCCTTCTACCAAGTGTGTATCGCCCGCCATACACACGAGCACGCGATCGAGGTCGACGTCGTCGCCGTCACGGGCGACACGACGCTTTTCCTATCGGCCGAGAACCCGCTACCGCAGCGCGGCCACTCGTCGTGGATTGCACAACAGCGAGGCAACGACCACGTATCGCTGCCAACGTACTTGCCTGAATTTCCCCGTGACGGCCCCCGCATGGCCCTCTATATTGGCGTCCTGGGGGCCGCCCCCGGGGTGTCCAACTTTACGCTGACCGTGGCGATCAAAGACTTGCCCGAGAACGCCGACGTTCGATCGCGGCAAGAGTACTACGACAAATCGCGCCGGGTGCTGCTCGAAACACGACGTCTCCGCCGTCGCGGCGCCTAGCAGTTTGCATTCCGTAAAAATGTACGTTGCGCTATTTCTCTGATTCGGGCAGAGAGCTCTATTGGCGGCTTGTTATCACGGCCAGTCTCGTTGAAGATCTATGCTACTCCGCCTCTTCTATTTCGAGGGCGGAGACGCAAGCGAAAGGCGTTGTGCACCGCTCTCGTCCCATCGAATGGGCGAGATGGCCTTCGACAAAAATCGCAACTGCATCTTGGCCGAGCGACGGGGCAGCGATGTCCAAATTTTATCTTGTGAACGAATTCCGCCGAGAGATCAGCTTTTGGCGATAGATAGATCGGCGGGTCCCGTTCCGCTGAGAACTGAAATAGCAGCATATAGATTACCTAGAATCGACGTTGTCGTACCGGTAGAAGAAATGGAAGACGTCGAAGTCGAAGCTCGAGCACTCTCACCCTCGTCACGAGACGCGCTTTGAGATCCGCATGGTGCTTCCCAACGAAATCAACCTCATGAAACGCAAAAGCGCGCCTCGCCGACGACGCGGATTGGCTGCCACGATAAATGCCGGCGTGTGATTGGCGGAGTTCGTATCTGGCTTGTGATTGGCGGAGCTCGTATCTGGCTTGTGATTGGCGGAGCGCCCGTGGGTCTGGCACCAATGAAATTATCGTTCCGAGTTGGTGCGACTGCGTCAAAGCGAGAGCATGAGCAAGCAGAGCAATCCGGCCAAGCGGGGCGGGTTCGCGTCCTCCTTTGCGACGTCCGGCGGGACGCTCAAGTTCCAGGGCTGCGCCCACTTTCGCCAGCGTTTGGTGTGTGCGACGCTTAGCGGCCGCCGCATTCTCATCCAAAACATCCGCGCCGAGAGCGACGAGCCGGGCATCACGGAGTTTGAAGCCAACTTTTTGCGGCTCCTCGACAACCTCACCAACGGCAGCCAGATCGAAATCAACGAAACCGGTACGTCGCTCAAGTACACGCCCGGCTTTATCGTTGGCGGGACGATCGACCACGACTGTGGCACGAAGCGCGCGATCGGCTGGTTCCTCGAACCGCTTGTCGCGCTCGCGCCCTTTGCCAAGAAGCCGCTCGTTGCGACGCTGCGCGGTATCACAAACGACGACGTGGATGTCTCGGTCGACTCGTTCAAGGCGATCACATTGCCGCTGATCAAGGTAGCAAATCTGGGCCGACTCGCTCGATCTCATCACTTGCTAGCACTTTGGCCTTGACGAAGGCCTCGATTTCAAGGTCAAGAAGCGCGGTGCCCCGCCGCTCGGTGGCGGCGAAGTCATCTTTCGCTGCCCGATCGTGCGCCAGCTTCGGTCGGTGCACCTCATCGACGACGGCTTTATCAAGCGGATCCGCGGCGTGGCCTACTGCACGCGCGTGTCGCCGCAGACCGCCAACCGCATCGTCGACACGGGCCGTGGCATCTTCAACAAGCTGCTGCCGGATGTGTACATTTACTCGGACCACTACAAGGGCGCCGAGTCGGGTCTTTCGCCTGGCTTTGGCCTCTCGCTCGTTGCCGAGACGACGACCGGTATCGTGTTGGGGGCCGAAGCCGCGGCCACGAGTGGCAGTCTCCCCGAAGACGTGGCCAAGACCGCGTCGCACTTGCTCTGCGAAGAGATTCAAAAGGGCGGCTGCGTCGACACGACCAACCAGTGCCTCACGCTCCTCCTCATGACGCTGTCGCCCGAAGACGTATCGAAAGTTCGCTTTGGCAAGCTCACGCCGCACAGGTATCTATTGATTCTTGCCATGTTGTTTGGCGCCGAGATTGAAGCGTCCATTTCTAGCATTCAATTCCTGCGTCATTTGCGCGACTTCTTCGGTGTCACGTTCAAGATCAAGGCCGAGAACGAGACCAAGACCGTGCTGCTCTCGTGCCTGGGCCTGGGCTTCAAAAATTTGTCGAAAAAAGTTACTTAAACCCACTACAATATATACAACCGACCACACGCACACAATGGAACAAGTCTGCTAAACTACGCATTGCGACACGCTACATTATACGCGGGCAACATACACCAATGGTGTCCGCACCACAAAAGGTGGCCATGGAGCCGCCCGAGCCACAAGCACTCCGGACCGTCCGTTTGGAATCAGATGCGACTCAGATGCAGGCCGCCAATCCAATGTCGTCGTTACAACATGTGCTTTTCGCACCACAACATGGATGTCCGCTCGTGGAATTTGGAATTGGAAATACATACATTGAGGAAATTCGCGACTATTATTTGCGGCGAGATTTCGCCTTCTCAATGTCCTTGCTCTTGGTCGGTGGCTTCTTGCGCTTGGGTTTGGGCGCGGCCTCGAGGGGTTGAATCTTCTTCCCGCCCATCTTGGATTTGATCGCAGTGCGCCCGGCCACAAGCCACTTGATAGCGATCGCCGTCGAAGCGGCATTGAGGAAGACTGGTTGGTTGGCCCACTTGGCGCCCCGGAGCGCCGCGTCCTCTTCGTCGTCGCTGACGTTGGCGACCGCGCGGCGCTTGCCGGTTTTGCCAAACACGCGGTCCTGGCCAAGCTTGTACCACTTGAGTAGAATTGCGCGCGACGCCGCGTTGAGGTGGACGCTCCCAAAGCCGAGGGCGGCTGCGGTCTCGGCGTCGGCCATCGTTTGGTCGTTGGCACCGAGCCCGAGGGGCTGCATGCGTGCCTCTTGCTTCTGCTTGGCGAGGCAGTTGAGGCAGAGCGTCCGAAACTTCTCGTGCTTGATGAAGAACGCCTTCCACTCGGCCACGTTGAACTCGTCACTCGGGTACACCTTGTCAAACTTGTCGCCCATGACTTCGAGCGGAATCATGAGCTCGACTTGGAGCTGGCGGCGACTGAGGCAGCTCTCGCACTCGACCTTGCGCGCGGCGTTGATGATGGGCTGCACCGCTTCGCGAAGCCGGAGGCGGCGGCGCGCTTTGGCCAGCCAGAGCCGAATGATGTCGCGGGACGGCGCCGTGAGCGAAACGGGCCCGAAATGCGGCCGGCCACCTAGTTGCAATAATGAACCTCAAGATATTGCATACGATGCAATCGTCATACTGTCGTCGTCATCGTCGTCCGACACTTGGGGGTTGAGACTGCTAATGATCTTTGAAAACTGCGTGATCAAGTACGGCCGCGCCCGCCGCAGCGTTCGGGGCGTGAGAATGTTGGGCAGCTGCTCGATGATCCACGCGCGGTTGTAGTTGAGGAACTTGTACCGAAACGTCTCGGACGTCAGACGTTGGTTCATCAAGAACGCTTCGTGCGACGCGCCTTTGAGTCGCTCGAGCTCCTCCCAGTTGGGTACGTCCATGTTCTCGTCTTCCGGGTTGGCAATCCACATGGTCGACTCGTGCCGGAGCTTGTACAAGGCGAGCTTCCGGATCAAGTAGAGGCAGATGCGGCGCACGCAGTAGCACGTTAGTGCCATGTACGGCACAAGCGCCAGCACCGCGGGGTCGGCAAACATATTGTATTTGTTGCGCACCTAAACAAAAAATATCAATGTATCAGTGTATCAGTCGTGACATGTCAGGATGACATACCATGATTTCGATCGCGACCACGAGCGCGAGGATCGCGAGGGTTTGGACACCGCACATGAAATGGTACTGGGACGAAAAGCAAATCTGGTCGAGGTGCCGAAGGCCTTCTTCAATGCACTCGTCGAGGTTGTGCTCGAGGCCCTTCCAGCGCTTCTCGCGCTGGATGTAGCGGTACCGGCAGTAGACAAAGTAGTCGTAGAGCTTCCAGCCCTTGAAGAGCTCGAGCGAGTGCAAGATGAAGACGTCCGCGAGCAGGTGGTACGAGATGATGACGATGAAAAAGTAACAGTAGTACTCGAGGTCTTGGACGCGGATGCTGTAATTGTCGGCAATGCCCGTCTCGGCCCGAAACACAATCATGATGATGACCATGGTCGGCTGGAAGAAGAATGCGAGCGTTTCCATGGCGTACTCCATGGCGAAGTCAATGATCGGCTCGACCGTGTCCGCGTCCTCTTCACTCGCTTTGTCGCTTGCCGCCTTGTCCGAAAGCGCCTTCTTGGCGTCTTCTTCCTTCTTCTTGTTGGCTTCGTCTTCGTCGTTGTCGATCGGCTTGCCGTCGGGCCCGAGCTTCTTCGGCTTGCGCTTCTTCTTTTTCCGGACCAGAAAAATCTTGGCCAAGCGCACGACTTCCTTCCCGGCTCTCTGAAGCAGCCGGAAACATGCGCGCAGATGGCCAAAGATCGCGTCCAAAACCACATCAAAGTAGAGCCGATGGAGGAACGCGACGCCAAACAAAATGTAAAACGCAATCATGAACCCAAGCAAGTCGGGCGCCGCCATTGTGATCGTAGCAAAGACGACGTTGGTCGCACACTTGAGCGGACTGAGAAGGAGTCGGTCGTGCAGCATGGCCTCGCCCGCCATGTCGATGATAGGCACGAGCAGCTTGGTCATAAAGAGAATGTACCAGAGGTAATTCGGAAAGTCCTTCCAAAACGAAAACTCGACCACGACCGTGAGGAAGAGCGCTTGGAGCACACTCGCAAAGATGAAGCTCGTCCGGAGCCACGGCGTTGGTTTCCACAGCGAGTCGTCTTCTTCTGGCAAGAGCGCGTCGCTTGTCTCGGTCTTTTCTTCGGCCGCGCGCTCTGAAATCGAAATGGTCTTGGGCACGAAAATGACGGCCGCTTCGCTCATCAAGTAGCACCCGAGCAGGAGAAAACAAAAGCCCGTCCGCCCATGACGCATCGTCGTCACGAGCGCCGGGTCGAGCAAAGCAGCGTTGTACTGACTCTTGACGTTGTCGAGGAGCCAGTACGGGTACGCCCCCGGGTAGTTGTTGGAAATCGAAAACGCAAGGTCGCCGTTGAGCAAGAGGTAGAACGACCCGATGATTGCCGAGAGTGGCAGTGTCGCTAAAATCGCACCGATCGTTGGCGGCGGCGCAATCAGCGAAAGATAGCTCAAGTAGTAGAGCTTGGGCGGGTCTCGAATGCGCGTCATGAGCCTACAAAGTATCGCAACATGACAGACTGTCTTGCCCATTTCAGACAGTGTACCGATTGATGATCCACGCCATCGCACAGCCAACCCATGCGACGAGCCCCATGACGTTGAAGAGCGTGATGTACATGGACGGCTCGAACGCAAAGTTGATGAGGAGCTCGAGGTACCCAAGCGGGTGGTACTCGACGTGCAGTGCATAGTCGGTCCGCGTCGTGTCCACATCAAAGTTGTCGAAAATGAGCTTGACAAAAATGAGCCGCTTGAGCTGGAGCGTCACTTGGTAGTATGCAATCTCGAGTGTCATTTTGCGTGGAAAGCACTGGATCGTGCAGCCGCCTTCGATCACGTCGGCCGCCGATCGGTCGATGAGGACAGGAACAAAGATATCGCTGTTGCCCGCCGCCAGCAGTGTCCCGTAGAGCGCGCTGCCCGTCGAGTACGCTTGGTACGTGACCGGCTCGTTGACCATTTCGAAAAGCGACGTGAGCGTGCTGGCTTCAAACCAGCGCGGGTTCACGGCGACCGAGCGCAAGTCTTCTTCGTATTCGCAGGCGACGTCGCGGTAGCAGTAGTCGGCGATCGGGTCTTGCAGAATATCGACCGGCCCCACGACGACCACGTCGTCTTGGTTGAGCAGTGGCGGGAGGGTGCGGCGAGACCACGTTGCCGGCTGCTCGGTGAGCGCGGGAAGCTGACAATGCTCGTCGCTCTCGAGCAAGTCGAAGATCGTCATGTACCGGCCATATCCACGGCAGTGCGAAAAGTATGGCAAGTACGGTAGCATAACCTAGACATCGCCTGAATCCAATACCGATGGTCGAGACGACGAACGTACGTTGGTCATGTCGTACGAAGAATTGTCGGAGGCGAGGCCCTGGAACGTCTCGCGGTACTTGGCGACCATATCGATGGTGGTCGCGAGCGTCGAGAAGGGCGAGCTCCAGTACGCGTCCGTGGTCACCCCCGGCACTGGCGTGTCGAGCAAGTTGAGCTGTGGACTCTTCTCGCTGACCACGTTGGTTTGGAGCACTCGACCGCGCTCGAGCTGGCTAAAGCGCGGCGGGAGGTTCATCGGGTACGGTACATTCAAGCCAATCGCGCGTCGATAGACGGCCAGGAATGCGTAATCCCGCGGCACGAGCTCCTCCTCGAACGAAATAATGGGCGAGAGCGGGCGGCTGTCGGCCACGATGCCAGCTGTGTTGTTGGCGCGACTTGGCGACCGAATCTCAACCGACGTGGAGTTCACAAACAGGTCGGCCGCCGACGCAAAGAGACCGTACGTGATGTGAATCTCGGGCTTGATGAGCATGTCTTCCAGCGCCAAAAGGGTCAGGTTGAGCACATCGTGCTGTTGAAACGCTGTCGACGTCAAGGACGATGGCAGAAGTAGCGGCTGACGACACGGTGACGTCTCGGTCGCTGCCCCCAACGGCAGCCGCACGCGCTTGGCATTGCACACGGCATTGTTGCAGAGGCTCGGGGCGACGTAGATGGCAATTTTGAAGTGCTCGTCGTACAGCATGTCGACAGGAATGTGGCGCAGATCGAACGACAAGAGAATCTCCGAGAGCCCACGCAGCGCAAACCACCCGAGCTCCGGCGGCCACGGCCCTTCTTCCGACGCACGATACCCGCAGGGACTCGCGCTCGGTGGCGACGATGCGTACGTGAGATCCGCGCCGGTCGACGATATATGCACACCGTAGTTGGACACGTGCACTTTGGCGGCGACGGACGCCGCGCCGTTGAGCGCCATTGGCGGCGTGCGGCACTGCACACGGCTGCCGTTGACGTACGTGGCGGGGACTGACAAGAAGACGATCGAGTCGACGAGCCGGAACTCGCATGTGAGCTCATTCGTATCGAGAAAGTTCCGCCCGATGACAGTGAGCAACTCGCCGCCAGTCGCCGAGAGCTGAGACGGGCACGCTCGCATGACGTCGATCGTACCGTTGTGCCACCCTAAGGCACTGGCCGACGCGTTCACCGGGAGCACTTTGGTGACAACTTCGACTTCGCCCGTCGGATTCGACGTCGCCCACGAGTTGAAGATCTTGGTCTCGCCTTGAAACGTATACGTAAACTGCGGGTAGTACGACTTGGCCGGGTCCTTGTCGCAGACGCTGATTTCCGTAATACTGCAGTCGATCTGTGCGTTCGAGCCCGGGAGCGACGTGGTGCGCGACGGGCACTGGCACTCTTTCGCAGTGCCGTCGGCCGTACCTAGAGGGCAAAATGCACCGACAGGGCACATGTACCGCGTCCGCTCCGTGTCTTTGGTGCCCCGGAGACACGTGCTGCCCGGCGGACACAGATTGTCAAATGCTGTGGCGAGCGTCGTCTCGGCACCGCAAAAGTACCCCGCGGGGCACTCGTGCATGTATTGCATATCGAGCGTCGTGGCTTCGCCGCACACGTACCCGGACGGACAAATGATGCTCTGCGTCAGGTTGTTCATGCCTAGTTGCATACATGCCATTAGACAACTTGTCCATCAATCGCGTTGTACCTTGGACGCCGCAGACGCGCCCGGCGGGGCACGGTTCACAGTACGAAATATCGGCGACGCCAGAGTTGGGCGACCACGTGCCGGCGGGGCACAGGCGGCACGTGATCGAGTCGGCGATCGACCGGTACGACCCTGGTGGGCAAATCTTTGGAATGTAGTTCCCGTACCCCGGGCACGTGTACCCCGCGGGGCACACTTGGCAGTTGGTGCTCGATGCAAAGACGGCAAACGTGCCGGGAAAACACAGCATTGGCGCGATCGCACCGTCCTCCCCCGAGAAAGTACCCGGGGGGGTGATGACGGGAAACGTCGTCCCTGGTGGACAGTAGTGCCCTGGATAGCACAACGTCGCTTCCGTGGTGCCCTCGAGGCAGAACGCGCCTTCGGTGCACGTTTGACGCGACGTCGCCCCCGCTGGGACATTGGGCAGCCAATCGATCGTGAGCGGCGCTTCGATCCCCGCAAGGCAAAACGTGCCTGTCGCGCACGGGTACGGGCGGAGGGGCGAGAGCTCGGACGGGTCGAGCGTCCACGTGCCTTCGTTGCAGTAAAAGCCGGCGGGGCACAGCTGCACCGGGTGGGACAAGCCGACGGCCGAGCACACAAAGCCGGCCGGACACAGCGTTGGCGCGGTGTTGTTCCAGCCAGGACAAATCGAGCCAATCGGACAGAGCACGCACGTGGGCTGGCCCGTCGCCGGTTGATATGTGCCTGGGTAACACGCTATCGGCTTGGTGTTGCCGACGCCCGGGCAGTACATGCCACAAGGGCAGAGCAGCGCGTCTGTCGGGTTGGGGCAGAAGTAGCCTGTCGGGCACGGCCCCGTGCCTTCGGGCGTAAAGCTGCCGCGCGGACAGAAGAAGCCAGCATAGCAGGTCTGCGGTGTGCTAAAGTTGTTGGCCATTGGCGACAGTGTCGTCGCGCCCTTGAAACAGTACATGCCAAGGGGGCACACGTAGGGCTTTTCGGGCACAAGGACGCTGCTGCCGATGACGCAGTTGCGCACGAGACATCCCGGGTCCTCCAACACCGGTGGATGGTTCAGTCGCCGCGCGCCGGTTGCCGGGAGCACGCGCGCCACGATCGGCCACGTCATGGAGCTGTCGTTGAAGACAAGGAGGCCCGTCTCGTTGTTCCACAAATAGTTGTTGCTGGCCTCCCACTCGTGAACGTTCATCGTCTTGGTCCCACGACTGCAGTAGTGTCCTTGGTTGCACAATATTGTCGGCGTCGAGAGCGCTTGGCGGTCGCAAATGTAGCCGGCAGGACACAGCACGGGGTGCGAGAGACCAAAATCCGGGCAGAAATAACCTACGGGGCACGGAAGGCAGGCAGTTTGGCCGGCGCGCGGCTGGAACGTGCCAGGCGTGCAAAGCGTAAAGTTCTGTGCATCCGCGCCGATGTACGTGCCATTGGGCGACGCAGAGACGTCGTGGCCCCAGCAGTACGCCCCGCGCGGACATGAACTGCGGTACTCAAAGGGCACGCCGCTAGTGGAGAAGGCAATACCGTCGACTGTCACTTCGATCGTCACAGTGGTGGCAGGCGCCACAAGGTTGCCGACACGGGACGGTGCCACGCAGAGCAGCAGCTCCGGTGAGAGATACGTGGCTTGAGCAAACCGCTCGCCAAAGCGGCACCCGAGCGTCGAGATGTTTTGAAAATGTCGGCCCTGCACAAAGACCGGTGTTTGGCCTGGTAGAAGCGTAAACGTCGGTCGGACCCGGGCGACGCGAACATCCGGCACGAACGAAAATGCCACTGGCGAGGCAAACTCGATGCCATTGGTCGTCACACTGAGGGCGACGCGCCCAATGGGATGCGGCGGCAACAAACATTGCACAGTCGTCGAGTTGACGTAGATCGCCGGTACGAGTGTCGTATCCACTTGACAGCTGAGCTCGATCGTCGAGCGAAAGCTCGTGCCGTACACATGTACGAGCGTCGTATTGGCCAAAGACGGTGCGGACGCCGGCGCGACACCGACGAGCGTCACCGCTGCTGCGAACGTTACGGTCGTCGTCGGCGGGGATGGATCGAGACCGTTCAAGATGCTAAGTTGCAGCGTCGCCTGTCCGACGGCTAGCGACGGCGGTACGGCGCACTGCAGCAGCGTACTCGAGTGCACGGTCGCCGGCACCACCACGAGCCGGTTCCATACACACGACACCGGGTAGGGTCGAAAGTGGTAGCCTCGCACCGTGACCGACCCCGTGCCAACCTGCGACACGATGGGTGGCCACGATGACGTCACGAGTGGTGTCGGCGCGTATGTGAAGAAGCTGCCGTGGGACGTGAACGATGCATTGTTGTTGGACGTGTGGACGACGACGACGTCACGTCCGTTGCTCAGCGAGACAGTGGTCGGGTCGGGAGCGACGCAAGTCACTTCGGTTCGCGACACAAACGTGGCGGACACCACCGCGAGGCCAAACCGGCATACGAGCAGAGGCGACTGGCTAAAATGGTTGCCAAATACCCGCACCCGCGTGCCAACGTTGCCAAACTCGGGCGAGATCGCGCGCTGCACGGCGTCGTTGGCGACCATTACATGTCGTGCCGATATGGAAGCGAGAATGCCGTCGTTCGACACCTCGACCAGCAGTTGCATCGGAACGTGCCGGGGAGATACGCACACAAGCGACGTCGGTGACCGGTACGACGCCGGCACAACAACCGTGCCAAACATACACTGCAACGTCGGGATGTTTTGAAACAAAGACCCGATGACGGTGACCACGGTGCCGCCGCTGGACGACACGGTTGGTGGAAAGAGCGATGTAATCGTGGGTCGATCGGTGCGCACCGTCGACTCGACAAACGCGGGGACCGGCGGTGGTACCGGTATCGGTACATACGTCACATTCCACGGTGTCGCCAGTGTCGCAAAATACGACTGCAGCGACACGACGTAGGTACCTGGCGACGGTTGCGGCGGGGTGACACAGCGCAGTCGCGTGGACGTAGCGTAGGCGGGCACAACAGCACTGCCGATGCGGCAATGCGACACCGACTCCAAGTGATTGCCATAGAGCGTCACGTCGCTGCCGCCGTCGACAAATGCCGTCACCACCGGCATGGCCGTCACCACTGGCGTCGGTAGAATCTCAAACGAAAACGGGTCCACAGAAGCCGGCGCAGATGCCGTTGACGAGACTGCGAACGCCAACGACGTCGGCGACGCCTGCGGACTTGCGCACACCATCGTCGAGGCCGTCACTTTGGAGGCTTGGACGGCGGTCGCGCCAAACCAGCACGTCGCGTTCGAAGAGACGCGGACGTTTTGCGTCGCCACGGTAACAACGGTACCACCGATGCTCCACGCTCGCCCCGGTGTCACCGACAGAATGCGCTCCAACGCCACGTAAGTGAAGGCAACGACGGCTTTTGGCGCTTGGTTGACCAGACCGACGGCGAAACGCACGGTGCGCGACGTATAGTTGTCGGTTGTTGCTGGCGCCACGCACATGGCAGCCGTTGGGGACACAAACGTGGCCAACACAGTGGTTGTGTCAAACGTGCATTCGAGTTGCATCGCCGGAAAGAAGCTGGCGCCTGAAATGCGCACCGTCGTCGACCCGGTGGTTACGCCCGTTGTCGGCGCCACGGACGCCACGTACACTGGTGCACGAAAGGTAAAGTTGCCGTGCCACACGACATCGAAGCCGTTGTTGGTGAGCCCGATAGCTACGGTGCCAGGCACATGCACCGGTGTCCGGCAGGTAGCAAACGAAGCGTTCTCGAATGCTGCGGGGACGCGGGATGCGTTAAAGACGCAAGCCAGCGCACTTGACGGGTAAAACTTGGCGCCACGGAATGCTACAATGGTACTGCCGCTGTTGTCCGCTTCACGCGGCTCCACAACTTGAAGTTGAAGCGGTGGCAGCGCTGTAAAGACACCAGAAAGCTGCGTCACCGGGGTGCCAAAATGATACACATCGACGCGCAGCGACGTGGGCGACGAGACATGCGGGACCTGCGGCGAGACGCACGACGCCTCGGACGGCGAGACAAAGATGGCAGGTGTCGTCTGGCGCCACCCGCTGTCGTCGCTAAACACGCACTCTAGTGCCCTCGACTGATTGAAGCCCGTGCCGTGAAGACGCAGATGTCCACCGCCATCGCTCGAACCGAACGGCGGAACGATGGACCACACTTCGGTCGGGGCCAGGTACGGTAGCGAGAGCACGTTGGACCGTCCACTGAGCGCGTCAACAAACAGCGTCGCGACACTTGCAGTGGCACGGGGCGGCACGACGCACGTCACTGTCGTCGACGATAGAACCATGCCTGGGCCAGACGCTCGCCCGTCGTCAAAAATGCAGGTGACCGGCCCCTCGAAGGATGTACCGACAATCGCTACGACATCACCACCGAGCGGACTGACCGCGGTGCGATTCGAAAGAGCACTCAGCACCGGTAACGCACGGTAGGCAAACACGACTGACGACGGAGACACCTCGAGGCCACCGTTGCTCAACGTGACGTCGACGGTACCGGCAGCGTGCGCCGGCGCCACGCACGAGACACATGACGCGTTGATGTACACGGCAGGCACCGTTGTTGCGTTGAATCGGCACGCCAGCGTCGTTGAAAAACCAATGTGGCGGCCAAGGACCGAAACGATGGTACCACCGGTGGTCGCGCCAGCCGACGGCACGATCGTATCGAGAAGCGTCGCGTATGTGAATTCAAAGGTCAAAGTGGCTGGCAACGCCGTGAGGGCGTCCGATTCATCGAGGAGGCCAACTGGAACGACGCCCGTCGTGTGAGCAAGCGTGACGCACTGCAGCTCGGTTGGCGACACATACACGGCCGGCACCACAGCAGAGCCAAACGTGCACGCAAGTTGTTTGGCTTGGTGAAAGCCATGGCCCAAGAGGCGGACACGGGTGCCCCCAAGCGCCGATCCGGTGCGTGGTCGCAGCGATCGCACGTGATAGGCATCCAGCACCTCGAACGTCACGCCGTTCGCCGAGTAGTCGACACCGTTGTTGAGGGACACTTCGACTTGCAATGCTCGCTGCAAACGCCCGTCGACGATCGTCAAAGGCACATCGGGTACAACACACTCGAGTCGCGTAGTCGAGCTCACGTGGGCGAGTACAAGTGCGCGTTTTCCGAAGCGACAGTAGACGTTACCGCGGTCGACAAACCCCGACCCCAGAACGACGATTCGGGACGCCACTTGACCGCGCGGTGGCTCGACGGCCACCACCGACGGCACCACGAGGTACTCGTAGCTCACGCTGGCCAGGACGTAGCCAGCGGCATTGCTTGAAAGTTCGACGGTGACGACACCGCGCGAATGCGGCGGCGCGATGCATGCCACCATTGTCGCGTTGATCTTGCGGGTGGGCACGATGACGCGATCGATGCGGCAGTGCGAAGCCTGGCCGACGTTGGCGCCTTGGAGGTATAGAGTCGTGCCACCCGAGATAGGACCGTTGTTTGGCGAGATCATCGTTGCGTTCAAGGGTGGATCCACCGGCAAAATAGTCGCCAGAACGAAGTCGAGGCCGTTGTTGGCGACCTCAAGAACGACGATCGACGTCGACGCCAGCGCCGGGACTGCACAGCGCGCATGGCTCTCCGACATGAAAAACGCCGGTGCCGTCGTCGCCTGGTTGATGCGGCAGACGATGGACGGACGCAAAAAGACGCCATGCACATCGACCAGCATCGCGACACCCGCGATACCGCGAGCCGGAAACGTCGAAAGCACTTGCATTGGGGGCACATAGGCGTAGCTCATTGGGAACGACGCCAGTCGCACGCCATCGGCGCTTGTGTAGAGTGAGATCGTGACGGTCTCGGGCCAAGCCGCCGGCGGCGCGGCACACGACACGGTGTGGTGCGCTGCATCGAACGTCGCCGGCACCAACGCGTCACCGGTGCCGAGCTCAAACGCACATTGCAGGTGCCACGACGCGCGAAGCCCAGTGGCCGAGAGAACGACCGGCGTGTGTCCGCCAAGCGGTCCATTCGGCGGCGTAACATCTAGAATGCGGACGTCGTCGACGTACTCGATCGACATATTGAGCCAGTTGACGAGTGCACCGGAATAGACAATACCGAGAGATACATTTGTCGGCAAGGGCGATGGCGGCGCCGTGCATTCGACTTGATGTACCGATACAAAGCGTGCCGGCGTGGACTGCGTTGCACCAAACTGACACGCGAGATCCGGCGTCGCGAGAAATCGACGACCGTAGAGGCGCACGACAGCGCCACCGTTGAGAAGCGACACAGCCGGCTGCATGCCGACGCCTTCGGGTGGCAAGTAGACGGCAAGCACGAGTCGATTGTCCGTGTACGTCTGCCCGTGGAGCTCCAGCCAAATGTCGAGAACACTTGCGACCGTCACGTGCGGCGTGAGGCAGTCGAACGCGCGGGGGGCCACTGTCCGCGCGGGGGCTTGCCACGTCCGGTTGGTCGCCGCTTGGTAAAAGACGCAAGAGAGCTCGACGTCAAGCGCATCATAGTGTAAGTGCATCGTGATTGGGACACGTGCATTTGTTGGCACGTACGACGGCAGGACGGAGCGTAGCGTGTTGCCATCGATGACGTCCATGGACCACCCCGTCCAGATGTCGTGTTGGTCGTTGAGTACCAAGTCGACCGTGGCGACACCGGCGACCATCTGTGTCGGTACAGAGCAGGTGATCGTCAGTGTCGTCGACGTCATCGCTACAACGAGCCCCTTGGAGGCAACCTCGCGGTCAAAGAGGCAGTCCATCGCTTGCTCTTGAAACGTCGTCGGCACTGACGACGTCAGCGTGAGCGACACGGAGGCATTTGGGTGCATGGCAACCATCGATGGCCACAGCGCCGTGACCAAAGGCGCCTCGAGGTACTTGAACGTGAGCTGCGGGGCCGACACAAAGTTGGGCTGGAGCTCGGTCGTGATGACGATCGTTACCGTCGCCGGCGGTGCGCCTTGCGGGGGTAGAGTACACACAAGATAAGTCGCGTTCAGCACCATGGCAGGCAAAAACACTCGAGCGTCGAGCCAGCACCCAAGCGCGGGGTAGAACCCGAGACCCGACACCGACACGATGGTCCCGCCCGTGGCCAAGCCTGCCGTCGGCGCGGCCGCTGCAACCGCAACGTCGCCGGCAACGTGCATCGTTCGACTGGATCGTGTCAGCGGAATGTACTCGGAACCGTTGGCGCTGAGTGAGAACGGTACGGCTGCCAGTAGCGCCGGGATCGGGCAGTGCACACGCACGGAAGAAACGTATGTGACCTTGGTCGCTTCTGCGCCAAAGACACAGACGCAATCAACACCTTGAAGCATCGGATCGCAGATACCGAGCCCGGCGCCGTGCACCGACGCCGTGAGCGCGGGTGCATTCATCGGGACAAACGCCGGCTCGACAAAGTCCACAAACACAGCTTGCAACACGGCCGCGATGTCCAGCATTAGGGCACTCGGCTCAAAGTCCACGCCATTCACCGAGACAAAGAGGCGGGCAGTCGGCGTGGACGGCGTCGGTGCTCCAAGAACACAACCAAATGTTTGGGTGCCCGACAAGACGGCCAGGCATTGCATATCCGGTGTCTTCAGCCAGAGACGCTGGGCGCTCGTAGGCGACGTCGTCACGACTACATGCCACTGCTCCGTAGCATCGAGGCTTTGCTGCACCGAGAGCAGCGTCGGCACTGCCAAGTACGCATACGTCAAGTTCGTCGCGAACGTCTGGTGGTTCACCACGAGCGCTACGGACACGACACCCGAGGTCGCCTGCGGTGGCGCCTTGCAGAGAACGTGGCGCGTCACGTGGTCGTAGCTGCCAGCGTGCCACTGTGATCCAAAAATGCATGTGATGTTGCGCGCTTGCGCCAGCCCACGGGTCTGCACGCGGACAACGGTGCCACCCGCACTCGGTCCCTCGCTGGGGACCAACGACGGGAACGCGAGCGGTGGCAGAGTCGAAAACACCAGTTGCGGGCCAGGAATCACGTTGGCGCTGTCCCAGAGCACAGCGATTGGTGTTGAGCCCAGTGGCAGCACCGGAATACCACACGTGAGCTCAGAAGTCGATACAAGCGACGCAACTGTCGTGGTAGATACGCCGAATCGGCACTGGTACGACGTGATTGCTGAGCTGAAGTTGCCGTACAACGACAGCGTGCTGGAGCGATCGACGATGGCAAGGGCTGTCGGGTGGATGGAAGATATTGTCATCGACGCAACATACTGAAAGTGCCATGGTACACTCGGTACCGGCTCGTCTCCCACCAATAACGTTACGTTGACCGTGCCAGAGCCCGGTGGCGCCGCGCAAGAGACGTTGTAGGCCGAGCTAATGGCGGGCACCAACGCGGTACCAACGCGGCAGCTCGTCACAGATGTCAAATGCACGCCTTCCACGATGAGGTTCGCACCGCGCCAGCCAAATAGAGTGCGTGGGGCAGCAAGCGCCGGCGCCGGCGCCACCACGATGATCGTTTCGTAGTAAATGCGGTCGTGGCCGAGGACCCGCAGCGTGAGGTTGCCTGCGACCAGTGCCGGCGCCTGACATGCGAGGCGCTGGGGCGAGAGATGGACGGCTGCGACACGATCAGTCCCGAAGATGCACTCCCAGCGCTGTGCAAAGTTGAGCGCTGCACCGTGCACTTGCGCCCACATCTGAAACGAGGCGACCCAGGCCAAGCTTGGCTGGACTGTGAACACCACCGGAGGCGTCGTGAACGTAAAAACGAGTGCAGTCTTGACAACTGCGGGGCCAAAGACAAGGGAGAGCGGCACCATGGGCTGCACAGTTGTACGTGGTACCTGGCATAGCACGCGCTCTGGCGACACGACTATACCCGGAACGATGGCCGTGCCAAACATGCATTGCACCGAGATGCCGGCGGGAAAGCCGCGGCCACGGATGGCCACCGTGTAGTTGCCCCCGAGGGGTCCCGTCGCGGGCTCGAGCTGCCACTGCGTCGTGTTCCACTCTGGCAGCACTGTGATTGGCACCACATTAGAGTAGACAACCCCGTCAATGGCGACACCTAGATGAACCGTCGAGACGAATGGCAGCGGAGGCAACGCACAGAGGACACGGCGACTCGTGACGTTGGTGGCAGCTACGGTAGTGACGACCTTGTCGACCACTTGAATCACGCACATGAGCGGGACGGATTCGTTTGGAAAGGCCCAGCCGGAGACGACGACAGTACTTGGTGTCGACGATGCGATAACAACTGGCTCGACATGAACGATCGCGGGCTCTTGAATGTACTGTATAGAAAAGGGACCATCGTGCGAGACGGGAACGTCGACGTCGAGGTACAATGCCGCCGGAAGGCTGCCCGAGGGCTGCGCAGGCGCCATGCAAAACACGCAGGACGCATTGGCTACTGAGACAGCAGCGGTGGCCGCACCAAAGAGACAGTGCATTCGAGGACTGTAGGGCAACGACGGCGCCCCGCAAAACGTGACCCGCGTCGACCCATCCAAATTGGCAACCAATGGCGTCATCGAGATGCGCCGTGGGGCCGCCACCACATGAAGCTCGAAGACGGTATCGGCAAAGATGGGCACCACCGAGACGTTGTAAACAACCACCGAGACGTTGTAAACACCGGGTTGGACAATGAAGACGCTGCAGGCAATGCGATCTTGCGAGTCGAGAATCGCGGCCACGTACATCTCGACGGGGCCTTGGAGGCGGCACTGCATTCGGGGTCCTCTCGGTCCTGCCAGCAGCTTCATTGTGGCCAATAAAGAGCCTTCAAACACAAGCGACGTTGTCTGGTTGGCTACTTGCAACGTTGGCGTCATGGTCGTCACGACGCCCGTGCTTGTCAGGACGGTGACGACAACGTCTGCGATAGGTTGGAACTGAAACCCATCTGTGGTGGACAAGGCGATCGCAAACGTCCCTGGTGTCGTCGGCACGGGGCATTCTGCGACGGAGTCCGACACCACGGCGCATGACAAGCTGGACGACGACGCACCATACATCACAAGCAGCGTCGGACCGAGGTGGCTGCCCGATATATGGATCAAGGACCCCATCGGCACGACTTGCGGCGAGACACTTACCACCACGGGCGGTGCCACGACGGTCCAGGAGTGGTCCGCCAGAAGAGCTCCCGACGCCGTCTCGAGTGTCAATGAGACGTGACCTAGCGTCGAAAGCACGGGTACTTGACACTGCGCCGTGTTCTCCGAGCTGGCAACAACGGGCATCGACATGGTGCGGTTGAAGTTGCAGAAGACGGGCGACGCAGTTGCGAGCCGCACGCCTCGCAGCAAGAGCACACTCCCAGTGTAATTGACGTACGACGCTGTCACGTTGGGGGACACGGAGAGAATCGAGGCTGGGAGCGATCGCGCTACGGTTTTGGTGTGCACTGGTCGGTCGTTGCACCATAACGTCAGCGTCACATTCGGCGATATCATCGTGGACGGTAAGACACATTGCACCGACGTCGCATCGACGCTGATGGCTGGTACGCGGTCGGCATCGTTGACGGCGCACAACAGTGGCACCGATGCACCGTACTGCCCATAGAACGTCACGAGAGGGTCGTCCACAGTGACCATCGAGTCGCTTACAACGATTCTCTGGCACGGATCGGTCATGAGCACCACTGTCGACGGCAACGGCGCGCCGTTGTACCACAAAGTCAAGGCGCTGGGCGCATCGAGACCGGCGCTCGGACAGCGCAGCACGCTCGGTCGGTCGTACGTCGAGGTTACCATCGTCGGCGTGGTTGCAGTTGACGAAGCAATGGCGCACTCATACGCACGCACCGACGCATTGACATCCAAAGCGATTGTCCACCCGCTTGGTCCCGACGGCACCGCCTGTACTTGCGTAGGAAAGGCGAGGACCTCGAATGCAAGCAAGGTGGAGGCGCGTTCGTCGTCGTTCCAGCTCACACTGACTCGGACGCTGGCTTCGTGCAGGAGCGGCGGTGCCGTGCACTGCAGCGCCGAGCTGTTGAGCACGCGAGCACGGACGACTGTAGCGTCAAAGTGACAGCACCAGCTCGTCGCATCCACAAAGTTGGTGCCGCGCACGACAACGTCTTGGTACTGCGCCACGAGACCAAAAGACGGTGCAATCGAATGCAGCTGCACACGTGCGAGGTACGTTAATGGTCGTGGAGCGCTTGACGAAGCAAAGCCATCGAAACTGACGTCGACGAACACGACACCGGGCGCATGCGGTGGGGCCGCGCAGACAAAGGTTCCATCGGGTCGTCGATGACCCGACACGATCTCGCCATCGATGCGACACGACAGTTGTGGCGGCGCTGGGGTGGCTGTGATGCGCAGCAAGGTGCCGCCAGCTTCGCCAATCAAGTTTGGACCAACGTCAAATGATGCGATTGGGCGCAGCACCGTGACACTGAAGCTTGCTATGCTTTCGAAGTTCTTGGCAAGCCACAGCTCGTGGGATCCCAGCAGCTGACCAAAGGATAAGTTGGAGCAGCCACCAGTGCTGTTGCTTAACACGACGAGCGGTACGTCGTTCGGGCATGTTAGCCCGTATGCTGATACATCCTTGTCGAACGTCAAGACCACCGACACTGGCGATACGGCCGACGACGACACAAAAGCCGGGTACGTCGCAAGGACCGAGACGGAGGGAAGGATCGTCAACACAGTAGGCGACGGAATGACCCGCCCTTCGTAGACAAGCGAGACCGCGACCGTTGTCGCCGTTGCAACGGCTGGGGCAACACACTGCAACGCGGATGGGTTGAGCACTAGCGCCGGCGAGAGCGCACCTTGAAAGCTACAGGCGAGCGTCGACGCGCGCAACGCCGTCGGGAAATAACCCTCGAGACGCACGGTCGTTCGGTGCCCGACGACGCCGTCGCGAGGCGCGATACCGTGCACCCGGGCATCCGGTGCGTACAAGAAGGACACGGCATTTGAAAACGTCACGCGGTTGCTCGTCAGCAGGATCGCAACGTTTGACGGACCAGAGTTCCATCGTACGCTGCACGACACGGCGGTCGCATTGAGCACCGTCCCGATGACGTACATGCCTTGGTAGAAGCACTCGACCGGGTCTTGTCGCCGAAACGGACCACCGAGAAGCGTGAGGACTTCGGTTGCTGTAAAGCCGACGGCCGGAACGACGGCACGCAGCGTCATCGGTTGTACTACCTCGAGGGGCACCGACGACGACGCATCAACGCCATTCCATAGCACCCATAGGTCGTACGCGCCGGCGATCGGCACAGCGGGGAGGTGGCACACGAGTGTCGACACATTGATGTACGCAGCTGGTATCGTTGATGGTGGCTGCGTCCCGAGACCGCACGCCACGCTTGAGGACTGGGCCACGGGGAAGGCGTCGCCCAGAATCAGTACGGAGGTCGACACGTTTGTTGTCACTGGACGCAACGGTTGACGGCTGGCGATGCGTGGGACGTCGTAGTACGTGTAGCGCCAGCCGTCTTGGACACGCTGGTCGCCCCACGTGATTGCAAGCGATACCGTCTGTGGCGCCGAGATAGCCGGTGCCAAACAGCTCAGAGTCATATCGTCCACGATCGTTGCAGAAGTCGTCAGCTCGCCAAACCGACATTTCCAAAAGCCAGCCGAGAGTGTTCGAAAGCCGGCGCCGCGAACGACGACGGGTGTTGACCCTCGCACGTCTCCACCGGTCGGGCTCGCAACGTCAACGCTTGGCGACGACGCGATGACAAAGCCGAGCTCATTGGCTGACAAGAGCGTGCCGTCGGCGCTCGTCAATGCAACACTGTACGTGTCAGGTACAAGCTGTGGCGGAATAGGGCAGTCGAGTGCCGTTGTCGAGTACGTCACGGCTGCCACGAGGGTGCTGCCGCCCGTGCTGGCTGCTTGAAACGCGCAGCTAAACGCTTGAAGCGAAAAGCCAAAGACGCGGACCATCGCCGTGGGCGGGAGCGGGTACAACGCGGTGGTCGGCGCCAAATGCGACAAGAGCATCGGCGGCGCAACGTCGAACGCCAGCGGCAAACTCCAGTCGTGGGAGTTCCACGACAAGGCGAGCTCTAAACGACCGGGATGACTTTGCTGCTCAGAAAACGGACACGACACGGTCGTTGCGCCTTCGATGACACCGACAACCGTCCAGGCGACGGAATCTGCGTGGTACCGGCAGAGCACCGTGTCAAGTGGGCTCACCTCGGCCACTCGCACCCGAATCGGACCTGGAAACGTACGGGGCACAACCACGGGCGACACGAGGTGTATCAAGATGGGCGGGTCCGTGTACGTGTAGTAGAGAGCTGCGCTCACGAGGACACCGTTCAATGCCACGGCGACTGCCACCGTAGTGGGTGACGCAACCATGGGTGAGGTACACGCTAAATACGTGGCATTCTGCGACGTCGGGACAACCGTGCGATGGCCAAAGAGGCATGTGGCGGTAGGCGGGAATGCGCTGCCACGTAGCTCGATCGTCGTTCCGCCTTGCAGAGCGCCGTTGACGGGGGTGAGTTCGGAGAGCGTTGACGCCGGCAGAACGCTATACGTTATCGTGTTTGGGCCTGCGACACGTTCGCCGCTAAACCATAGCTGCAGTTCGAACTCGCCAAGCGACAGTTGCAACGGGACGGGACAGTCGACAAGGGTCGTCGACTGCCAGCGCCCCATCGACGAATAGCGCTCGCCAAAGTAGCAGACGTAGTCTCCGACGTCGACAAACCCGGTACCCGATACGTGAAGCACGGAGGATGCACCGGTATTGACGCCGACGACGGGCGCAATGGCCGCCACGGATGGCGGCGGGACAAGCCAGTACAAGAGCGCGTTCGAGACGAGCACATCCGTTGCTATAGCAATCTTATGGCTCGTTGCAACTGCCGTCGTTGGCACAATGCACGTGCCTGTCGTGGCGTTGAGTACTGTTAGCGGAAGCGAGAGGGTAGCATCCACGTCACACGTGTACACCATCGAGCGGTTGAAGGTCGAGTGCAGAGTGACAAGCCCCGCGCTTCCATACGGAGCAACACGTGGCTGCAGCGTCGCCAGCCTTAGTGTGGACGCAGCAATGTCGACTGGCGGCGAGAACTCGCGGCCGTTGTTCGAGACGGCGACGGTCGTGACCGACACGAGTGGTCGGGGGCAGACCACATGCGAGCGGTTCACCACCAAGCCAGGCACAAGGCGAGTCGCGTCAAAGAGACACGTTAGGTCGTCGCTTCCGAGATACGAGTCAAGCACGAGTACTAGGCCTGTGCCGCCCGTGGCGACCACTGGCGCGACAATGGTCGGCACCGCAGCGTACGTGTACGAGATGCTCGACACGAGAGCGTCGACACCATTGAGACGAAGCGCAATCAAAACGGTAGCCGACCCTGCGTCCAGCATCGAGGGAGCGACGCAAGCAATGGTCGTCGGCGACACCCACTGTGCTGGCACAACCGCGGATCCAAAGACGCACTGCAAAAGATGCGTGTCAATAAACCCGGTGCCGTAAAGCGTGACGAGAGTGCCGCCTCGAGGTACGCCGTTCGTCGGCACGATAGCAACTACATTGGGATCGATTACGTACCGAAACGCGACTGAGCTCGATACACCAGCGACACTGACGCTGGCAACGGTTGGTTGCGACGCCGGTGCGGGCGGCGCGACACACGAGACAACCGACTTGTTCCAGAAATGGCCCGGCACCTCGAGAACCTGGTAGCCAAAATCAAAAGTACAGTTGCCAGGTGCCGTGGGCAGCGACGTGCCATGAAGAAAGAGTTGGGTGCCCCCAGCGACGCTACCGCTGAGAGGGACCGTTCGCACGATGGCACCCGGGACAGTCGTTGAAAACAAGCATGGCGTCGACACCACGGTCGAATCGTCGAGCAAGAGCGACAGACGCGCCGTGACACCCAATGGCAGACGCGGTGCAGTGCACACGAGGAGCGTCCCATTGGCTCGTGCGGCGGGCGATACGACCGAGATATTGGCCGCGTCAAACTGACACGCGGTTCGGAATGCAGATGCTTCCGCCAAGTGCAACTCGAGAGCAGAGCCTTCCACACCGGACGAAAGAGGGCAGCGCGCTAGCGTCGGTGGCACGGCGACGACAATCGGATGCGGCGCTTCAAAGCCCTCGTGGCCGTTGATCGTGATGCGCAGCGTCACACGTTGCGGTGGCGAGAGAGGCGGGAAGATGCAGAGGATGCTGGAGCTGTTGAGCCACTGTGTGACAAGTGGTTGTGCCACCGCAGCATCCGAGATGGCCACGCACTGCAAGACCGACGCGTCTCGAAACCCAGTGCCCGAGACGACCACTGGCGTAGAGTGGTTGGTGGCGACTACGCGTGGCGAGATGTTTGCTACGATCGGCACCGGTACCAGTTCGAACCCGACGCTGTTGGTCGCCATATCATCGTTCTCACTCGACAGCCATTCTAGCGAGAGGGCGGCGACACCAGGCTTGGCAGTCAGCGGCGTCGAGCACAGAACGGCAGTCGTTCCGTTCATTATGCCTTGGGTACGGACATCACCAAAGCGGCACGACACGTTCACAATTGATTCGGGAAAGCCAGTGCCGACCACCGACACGAGAGCTCCGCCACGGGTGGTTGCAAAGCTCGGGACGACGGCCGAAATGCGCGCCGCGGCCGCCACCGACACGACAAGGTTGGACGCCAGTAGCGACACACCGCCGTCCAAACTGATGGTGACAGACACATTCTGCAGCGACGTCGACGTGTTGGGCGCCTGGCAGAGGACCCGCGACGGAGACTCAATGATCGCTGATGTGCGAAAGGCACCGATCCAGCACACTGCGGCACCCGGTGGTGCCATTCCCGCGCCCGTCATTGAAAACCAATGTCCAGCGGCGACGCGCGTCGCAGAGAGCTCGAGGAGGCGTGGGGCCGACCATGCAAACCCCGAGCTCCACTCTTGGCCGTTCCAGCTCAGCAGGACGGATGTAATCGCTGTCAGCTGCCCAGCATCGAGAAGAGGACATGCCACCGTGCCCGCCGCGTGCCACGATCCGACGACTTGCGTCGTGGCATTGTTGAAGCCGCAGAAGATACGGGAGGACGGTACGGGGTCCGGAACACTGCATTTGACAAACACGACGTCTTGGGACGCTTGCACGGCGGTCACGCGTGGCGGTGATACAACTGTGAACCCGCCCGGTGCGAGCACCGACTCGTTCGTCCTCGTGTCCAAGATGGCGAGTGACGAGTCCGTGCTCACGCCCGCCGATGGCCAACACGACATTTCGGATGCACTGAAGACAATTGCACGCGTCGCGCCCGTAGCAAAGACGCAGTCGTAAGCACCGTCGAGTTGAAAACCTGAGCCATAGACGCGGAGAAGCGTCGAGACGGACCCACACGATGGAGACACCTCGAGGACGATCAATGGTGCGACGATCGTATACTGCGTGGACAAGACAATCACGCCGAGCGCTTGGACGACGACCGGGGTCGTTACGGGCGCGACGACTGTCGGTGGCAGCGTCGGCACCTCGCATTTCATAGTCGTGTCGTTGAACGCTGCGATTGGTCGCACGATGTCCCCCGATACAAACTGAAAGACGCAGGCATACACGCTCGCATTCCCAGGTGACGGACGTTGAAACAAGAGACTGGCGCCCGGACGCCCGGACGATGGCGAAACGAGCGTGACCGTCGCATTGGTGATGTTCATAAATACCAATGGAAACGCGCCCAAGGTGACATTTTGCAGCATAAGAGACACCGACACCGTCCCAGTCGTTGGCCACGATGGCGCGACGCACGCGACATTAGTTGGGGACAAGGCCTCGACGCTCGTGGTGACGCCAGGCGCGTCCCCAAATCGACACGCAAGCTGGTTGGTTGGCGGAGGGATATCCACCACGTCGATCGTAAAAATGATACGACGACCACCCAATGTCGGCACAACGGTAGGAGCCATCGCCGTTGCCGTCCACCCGGCGCTGGAGTGAATCGCCAAAGTGTTGAGACTGTAGACGGCGCCGTTGAGACTCAACGCGATCCTTGCGAGTAGCGTCGTTCTGCGTGAAGCGATGTTGAGGACAGGAACAGTACACGTTACCGAGGTTGCATTGAGCACCGTTGTCGTCGCCGGAACGCCGTTGAAGAGGACGACGGTGCCGGGCGAGATGGTCGTTGCTTGCAGAACGACGTGTGCACCAGCCGTTCCAACAGCCGGCTGCAACGACGTGATCAACGACGGTGCCTGGTACGTAAAAAACGTCGGCGCCAGCGTCGCCTGCTGCCCTTGAACGAGCAACGTCACAGCCTGCGACATGACGGCGGCGACCGGCGGCGCCACGCACTCGACGGTCGTCGCATTGGTGAGATGCGCAGCTACCACCATCGATCCAAAAAGGCACTGGAGAGACGTCAGCGGCATCAATGTCGACTCGAGCTGCAGCGTCACCCGAGTCCCCGCAAGGCCCGTCGTCGGCGTCATGGTGCGAATGACGAGGGGCCGATACACGGCGCACGGGACGGACCACAAGGCTGGACCTTGCCCAAGCTGAATTTGGAGCGTGCTTGCCTGTGCGTCTGTCGATGTGTTGATCGGGACTGGGCATGAAAGCGTCGATGACGTCCGCAGCGTCGCCGTCGTGACACCGATGCCCGAATAGTTGCAGAGAAGTGGCATGGTACTGTCAACAACGTCAAAGCCAAAGCCGGTGACCGTCATCACGGCGTCCGCCCGAGAAACAACCCCCGTTGGCGTCGCTTGCCAGGGCGTGTCGGTGCCGACGATGGCTACGCGATGTCCGTCCTGCGTTGCGTCAACAGTGTTGAAAGACAACTCGAGTCGCGCCTGCACCGACGTCGTCCACGCCCCGGGAACGTTGCACCTCGTGAGATTGGCATGGATCCAAGTAGCGGGCACGCGGGCCGTGACACCCAAGTCGGTTGCCCAGACACACTCAGCACCACTGGCCAAAAAGTATACCCCGATAACGTCGACACCTTGATTCCTTGCAGCAGCCACCAGGGCCGGCTGTAGGCTGAGAATGCGTGGTGTCTCTATACAGTGTTCATCAGCTTGCTGCCTTTAGCATCGTAGCGTCCACAGTAGAACGTACCGTACACCGTAAACGGTACCGAAACGCGGATAGTGTCGAGCTCGTCCAAGACGATAGCAACATGGACTGGGCCAGCTAAGTCGAAGAAGGGCGTGGGGCACGAGATACGGAGCACCGACGCCGTCAACGACGCGGACGCTGGCACGACCCACGAAGTGTTGGCGCCAGAGAATGCACACCGCACCGGCACCACTGGTGGCGCCCCGATGAGCCGCAAGGTGACTTGAAGGTTGGTGTTGCCGCTCGCGGGCCCTCGCTGTGGCGTCATCGAGAGAAAGGACGCTACGACGAAGGTTCACTTATATGCAGCAGTAAAAATGCATACCTCGCGTGCGCGCCAAAGATAATGAAGTCGACAAGTCTTGGCCGTTGGAGGCGACGGCGACGGTCGTCGCATTTTCTGGCGCAGAGCACGCAATCACCGATGCGGTTTTATAGGTCGCAGGGACAATATGGCGAGCATCAAAGTTGCACGTCCAGTCCACCGACGGCGGCAAGTTTACGCCGGCTACCAACACCATTGTGCCGTTGTTGTGCAGCGTGGCTTCGGTGGCGCTCCACGGTGCTAATTGCAATATTGGTGTTAGAAAATCGCAAGTGAAGTAAGCATACCGTCGTATGTAAAGCGGAGAAGGTTCGACCATTGATCATAGCCATTGGTCACAACAAAGAGTGTCTCGCCTGATGCCCCAGGTGGCGAAATGCACGATACGACTCCGCCGTCGACGCGCAATGGTACGCGGGCGGCAGGACCAAACTGACAATACCACGCCGATGCATCGCTCAAGCCGGTCGTCGCGACCACCACCCGGGTCCCACCCTCCGCCTGGCCGTGGGTGGGTGCAAGCGACGACACAAGAAGCGGTGCATCTACTCAGCAAGCGTCAGCGCCGGCGATAGGATGCACTCGCACGTACCGATGCGCGACGCATTGGCCATGCTTAGCTGCAAAAAGGTCACGTGTCGCACGCCAAACGCGGCGTCCGTGCTCGCTTCGACCGAGATGATCTCGGAGCCAAAGTAGAACACATCCCGACGATAGACCAAGGACGCCATCGTTGCGCTGACCGACATCGACGTACCCGACACGCGCAACGCCCGTGCCGACGATGTGACGACGGTGGCACCGGGCGCCGCCTCGAGCTGCAGTTGGCCCCATTCCGAGAAGGCTTGGAGACGAAGGTATAGTAGAGTTGCCGTGTCTGCGTACGTGACGAGGTACCCTTGCAGTTGAGCCTGCAACTGGCTCACGTCAATGCTTGGGCGATCGTTGACGGCGGTGACAGTGATGGGCCAAGCCGCGGTGGCGAGAAGCCCCGACGCCACGTTTTCAACGACAACGTCGAGGCTCTCGGCGTGCTGGAGCGAGTTGAAGTCGTCATCGGGCGTGTACACAAGTACTGCGAGTGCGCGGTTGACATCCTGGAGCGACCCTGTGAAGTGCATCATGGCGTCCTTTCGACCCGAACCTCTCGCAAATGACAAGTTGCTTGTCGAAGAAAGCGAGACGAGACCGCTGGCGACACGCAAGGCGACCGCAATGGTTTGTGGTACAAGCCCGAGTACCGAGTACGAGACCTCGTCACCGACGATGCGCAGCCCAGTGATCGCACCCGTCGCACCTTCTGCGATGGCCGTTTGGCCCAGCGGCAGCGTAATCGTCGGCGCGACCGGCGTGTAGTGCATCGCTACGACCACGGTCGTGGGCGCTGGAAACGTCGGCTCGATCAAGTACATGGTCTGGTCTTGGACCGCCATCGTAAGCGTTGCATTGCCAAACCAGTTGGTCGGCGGTGTGTACACTATATTCGAGAGCACGCGATTCACATCCAGCAGCGGACCCTTGAGCAGCGTTGTCGTTGCCGAGGGCGTCGATACCGTGACCGTCGACGGCGCGGGAGGCAGAGCAATCGTGCCATGGTCGACGCTACACGAAACGACAATCGGGTAGTTGAACGACGTGTTGGTGTGGTCGACAACCGCGATCGCGTCCGGCGGCAGCCGTAGTGCTTGGTTCTGGTGCCCCAAAAGGACCGGTGCCGAGGCCACCACCGTCGGTGTGTTGATCCACGAGTCCATGTGCACGCGAAGCGAGAAGCTTTCGTGGCCTTCGGTGATCGCGTTCATGATCGTGATGATGTCGCCAGGCTCGAGCCCGTCTTGGTACATCCATTGAAGCTTGACCGTGTGCGGACCCGGAAACAGCTGCAGCGCCAGCGACGCCTGCGCAATCTGGTTGCCACGGGCTGCCCCCGCGACCCGGGCCGCGCTGCTCGTGTACGGAATCGAGTCGACGAGGAGACGTGCGCTCACGGCGCCCGCGTCAAACTGCGAGAACGAGTTGAAATACGGGTTGTTGAGCATCTGGATTGGAAGCAAGTACGTGAGGAGGACGGTCGTGACGGCCCCCACAACGTTGAACGGGACGGCCGACCCGACGTCGAACCACTTTGTGCGCGGTACCGACAGCACGGTCGTGTCGACTTGGTAGGATTCGATCGTCGTCGGCGCTTGCGCAATGACCGCGAGGAGCCGCCCCATGAGAAAGCCGTCGCCGGTCGTCGGAAGCGACCGCCAAGACCGCCCGGACGGTGACTGGAGGCGCAAAAGCAGCTGCACCGAGTACTCGCCGGCAGGTAGCGTGAGTGCGACATCGGAGAGGAGCGCGTTGGGTTGGGTAAACTTGGCTTGGGTCGAATACGTAGCGCGCGTTGCGTCGTTCAGTACGTTGTTGATCGACAAGATCGTGTCGACGCGATCGATGTCCGACCCGACTACATACGTCACTAGACTCAAACCTAGATCTTGGATTCAGCATGGTACCGCCGGTGAGGGGCATCGCATCCGGTCGCAGCGGCAGATTGTAGAGAAAGCGTAGTGGCGTCGGCGTCGGCAGCGACACTGAGAGAGACATGCCCGGGACGCTGACATATGCTGCAGTCGGCTCCATTGCTATCGAATACAGCGGCTGCGTATACCACACGTACGAGTGCTGCGCCGCCGCAATGAGCGAGCACGCGCCCGAGAAGCCCGTGTCGACCGTCGGGTCGATGCGCCATGAGGTCACAAAGGTGCCGGTCTTCTTCCATTGCAGCTCGAGTGTATGGTTGCCGGCGGCGAGCGAAACGACGAGGTAGCCTCCAACGAGCGATGACGCGCCTTGGTAATATCCCGACGATGCGCCCGACGCTCGCATCGGCGCCCCGTCGACAAGGACGCGGAACGAGACGAGGTCGTCGGCGCCGGGCGGGCGGCTCTTGTCGATGATGGCGACGGGCGGCTGCACTGAATCCGGGTACACGGTCGCCGAGTATGTAACAAGCAGCGTCATGGGCAGCGCGAGAAAAGCCGGGATGCTCGCGCCGGGCACGTCGACCCAGCGCCCGGGCGTCTCGAGCGTCGTCGTCGCCGTCGTCGTCGCACTCCACATCGAGTGCAGAAGGACGTCCGGGACCGTCGCCTCAATGAGCGCTACGAGAAGGAGAACGAGGAGCGCGCTGTAGGAGGCGCCATGGTACGCGTCCATGGTGGCGCGGTCGCAAAGTCGTTCGATCTTTCACGCGACCTTTCGACCGCCTCGCATGTGCACATTGATTGGGCAATGCGAATAAAATATATACATTTCATCCAATGAAGAGCCGCAAGACACTTGGCGTTTGGTGTTGACATGGGAATCTTGATCGTACAACAGTACCTGCATCGCCCGAGCACGATTGTGGTTGGCCACAACAATCAGTGCACCTAAGGACATGGCGACACGAGATAAGGGGTGGAAGCGAGATCTCTATTTATGCGGAGCCTCAAGCCGACGACGCAAGATACCAATGCGGCCTTTTTTGGAACGGTCGCAGTTTCAGAGCCGACCGATGGCCTCAATTCCGCTCGACGACGCCATCTTGCAGAAGATCTACGCGTGGATCGACGAGGTTCCGCTCTCGCGGCCCAAGAAGAACATGGGCCGCGACTTTAGCGATGGCATCTTGGCCGCCGAAGTCATTGCGTACTACTTTCCACGGCTCGTTCAAATGCACAACTACAGCGCCGCCAACTCGGTGACCCAAAAACAGTACAACTGGAACACGCTCAACAGTGCGTTGGCGCGATATTGTACAAGGTGCTCACATTGAAGCTAGCCAAAGTCCTTCGAAAGCTCGGGTTCCAGCTCACCAAGCGCGAAATGGACGACATCGTTCAGTGCAAGCCTGGTGCTGTGGAAGAGTTCCTCACCAGACTCCAGATCAAGGTCGACTCGTGCTACACAAGGTGTACACATGACGAGTGAATGCGTCATTAGATCGCCAACTATCGGCTCAAGCGCAGTAGCCAGTATGACCCCGACACGGACGGCCCCCCGGAGGCACCAAGCCCCCTCGATCGGAAGCGCTCCGAGGTCCGCGACGTCGAGAGCAAGGACCACTACCACGACGAAGCACTGGCCGCCGACAAACTCGCCTCACCTGTCTCGATGGACGAGTACCCGTCGAGCATTGCGGGTCTGGCAAGGTACATTTTTCAGATCTGGTAAAGCTCTAAAATTATCTAGAGCGTTCAAGCCAGAGGGCGAGCTTCAAGCGCAGCTGCAAGAAAAGAACAGCGTCATAGAAGAGCAAAAGGAGACGATCCAGGTGATCGTAATCTCCTTTTCGCACGTCAGCTCACGCGTTTCGAAACTAGATTCTGGAGCAGAAGATCCAGAAACTGGAGCAGCTCGTGCGGCTCAAAGATGGAAAAATTCAGACGCTCGTCGCCAAATTGCGGACGCAAACCAAGTCGTAAGTGCAAAAACAAAGGTCGCCGAGGTATCCAACACCGTATTTTCTTCGACGTCGATTCATGGATGGACCGCAAAATTTGGATCTGGATCTGGTACCATCGTCCAGATGTTCCAACTCACTTCCATTCCAGTGACGCAGCCATCCGAGGTGATCGAAAAACGAGCACACGATATATCTTGATTTCATTATGCTACATGGGAGATCGGGACGACGGGAAGCACGGTTGCGGCCCAGCTCCTGGCACATGATCGTGGTCTGCGCCTCGATCGCATCGACGCGACGCTTCGCCATTCTCTTGTCTCGCGGTGGTTACTTCGTGGGACAGAACACCTCGGTGGCTCGGTGGGACGACACGTCGACACGTTGGCTTTTTGGGCTAAATCCCATAGAAATTCGAACTGTCCGGAGGGCGCGCCACGTCATAAGTTCGAATATCCACGGATCGCCCGTTTCAGATTTGAGCAAATAATGTTCCCTGAGACCTTGGACCACCCGATTTGCAGTTTGGATTTGCGGCTCTCATGGCATCGACCAAGCTGCACCGTCGCGTCTTGCGCAAGTCGGTCGAGCTCTACCGACCGGAATTGCTCCCGCTCTTTCTCCTCTTTCACAAGTCGGAGACGTCGCACGAATGGCAGGTACGCTGCCTCCTACGCCTCGCAACGTCCAACACGAGGCATGTAGATCCAGCACATGGCCGACGCGGTCAAGCTCTCGACGTTTCTGCACTCGAAAATGCTCTTGTCGCCCGAGCTCAACCGCAACTCGCCGTGCTACATTGCGCGCCGCATTGTGCAACTGTACATCAAGCTCAAGTACATTGCGACGTTCCCTGCCCACGAAATCGACGAGTATGCTGCGATTGGCGACCAAGAGTACGACGAAGTGCGCATGATGCACCACTTGGTGCACAACAGCAGCAATGCGACCACCGAGACCGAGCACGTGTACCGGCTTGCGGCCATGCTCGGCATCTCGTACCACGGGGACTCGTGGCAAGAAATCCTCACCTTTGTGCGGTGCGCACTGCCGTTCGCCGAGCAGACCGAGACGCTTCTCATTCGCGGCTCGGACGACCGGTCGATCTTGGACAACGCCACGCAAACCAACAAGTACAACACGACCACGATCCCATGTGCTGTGCCGCAGCACGCGTGGATCTCACGGGCGAGTTGCACGAGCTCGAGTGTCGCCCTCGATGCCTACACGGTCTGCGAGCGCATTCGCCAAGAGCTCCTCCTCTCGTCGCTCTCGATCAACAATGAAAACATCCGCGAGGTCTTTGACCGCAAAATGCAGTCGATTCGAGACCGTGTCGCTGACTGCCTCGGGCTCAAAGCGCTCTATGACGACGGCGCTTTTGAGTGCGTCATTTCGCCCTCCGGCACCGACGCCGAGCTCCTCGCCACGTCGGTGGCCCTCGCCCGACTGGCCAGCGTCGCCTCCGAGACGACGACGACCGGCCGCATGACGCTCATCGTGACCGCGGGTGGTGAAACCGGAAGCGGGTCCGTCGCAGCCTCCAATGGCAAGCACTTTAGCAAGCTCTCGCCGAGTGGCGACGCTGTCGAGCCTGGCAAGCTCCTGCGCGGGTTTCCAACCGCCAAGGTCCACTGCGTGCAGATTCCCGCGCGCCAAGACGACGGGCACGTCGAGAACGCCGACGCGACCGTGCGCGCGAGCGTCATTGAAGCACTCTCAACGTCGCCGACCGCCGCCCACAACGTGGTCTTATTGCACGTTGTCATGGGCTCCAAAACCGGGCTGAGTTGCCCGAGCTTGTCGCTTGTGGACGAGCTCTCGGCTATCTACACGACCCGACTCCTCGTCGTCATTGACGCGTGCCAGATGCGCCTCGACAAGCTCTCGCTCGCCGAGTACATGGCGCGCGGGTACCTCGTGCTCATCACCGGATCCAAGTTCTTTGCCGGCGTTCCGTTCTGCGGCGGTGTCCTCATCCCATCCGTCTACATCGACGAGCTCGAGGGGAGCGAGGACCTTGGCAGCATCTTCCCGATCGGGTACACCGACTACTTTTCCAAGTATGAGTTTCCGCCGCTAAGCATGCCGCTCACCCGCGCCCGCTTTGCCTCGCGCATGAACGTCGGGCTGCTCCTGCGGTGGGAGACGGCGCTCGTCAACATGGAGCTGTACGCGTCGATCCCGTCGGCGATGGTTGGGCAAATCTGCTACGAGTACATTGCCCGGTCGAAAGCCATGATGGCCACGCACGCCCACGTCTCGCTGCTCGAGCCGCCGCGTGACGTGCGCAAGCCGTCGATGGCGGCCGACGGCACGTTATTGCGGCCCCTCGACACGATCATCTCGTTCCACGTGGTGGAGCACGGCGTGTGCCTTAGCGTCGACCGTCTCAAGCTCGTGCACATGTTCCTCTCCAAGGACATTTCGAGCGTCATCACCGAGACGTGCCCGCTCGAGGTCGCGCTCGCGAGCAAAAAGTGCCTTGTCGGACAACCCGTGACGCTCGGGAAGCTCGCACACGGCGTGTTGCGCATCGCGCTCGGCGCCGACATGGTCAACCACATCTACCGCGGCACCAAGACCATGGTGGAGCTCGTCTTGGAGGACGCCATCATCTTGCGCAAGCTCGCGCTCATCCTCAACCACTGGGACCCGCTCTGCGCCAAGTTTGTCGACGTGCCGGTGACGCACCACCTGCCCTCGACACCGCCCAAGCCCGAGAGCAAGAGCATTTGGGACTTTGGTGTCAAAGCTGCGGGGCGAAGCCCGGCGCTGCGGTCGCTTTTGGCGTCCGGGCACGAGCTCTTTCCGCGCATGGTCCTCTATGACCTCGACGGCGTTGATGTCGCGTTTCAGTCGCTCGTGGCGCCGTTCCCAGCGCACTTTGAGCACCGCTTCCACGTCTCGTCGTGCCCGTTAGCCTTCTTCCTGCGGCGCGCGATTGAGAACGACATTGGCTTGACCTGCGCGTCGATCGTCGAGGTGCAGCACGCGCTCCGCCTCGGCTGCGCGCCGCACAAGATTGCGTTTACAAGCCCCGTGAAAACGCGCCGCGAGCTGGCTTATGCCATTGACATGGGTGTCGAGGTCAATGCCGACTCGTTTGAAGAGCTCGAGATCATCAAGGAGCACGCGCAGATGCGGTTTCAGAGCAGCTTCCCCGAGTGCACGCCCCGGTACGCCGGCGAGCTGCCCCGCATCGGTGTCCGCGTTCACGTCTGTCACGAAGCCGCCCACACGTGGATGGCTGGGATTTCGCTCACGAACGACAACCGCGCCAAGCTCCTCGGAATGTTCAAGGAGCACCCGTGGCTCACGGGCCTCGTCCTTGCCACGTGCCCAAAGCGCGCTGACGGCAACAAGGCGCTCCTGCGTGAGATAGCGGACGGCGCCAACCAGCTCTGCGACCTTGCGAATGACATTGACGCCGTCGCCGGCGAGACACGCGTCAAGGTGCTGAACGTCGGTGGCGACCTTGATGCGCGCTATGACGCCGACGATGTCGGCTTGACGTTTGCGGACGTCGTCGAAGTGCTGCATGCCGAGGTGCCCAAGATATTTGAGCGCAACGGCCGCACTGTGGTCACCGAGCACGGCGACTACGTTAGCGCCAAGGTGGGGTGGACCGTGAGCGAGGTCGAATACATCCGGTTCCACGGTGCTCCCGACGACCGGTCGACCCCGACGCAAACCGCCGTCATTGACGCCGGCGCCGACGTGCACACGCGGCTACCAAACGGCAGTTACAAGCACCGCGTCTCGGTCTACAAGTACGATGACAGAATGTAAAGCTCACGACGCTAACGATGAGGATTTAGGGCCAACGGGCAGCTCTCGGCGGCACCCAAAGAGCTCCAATCGGCCATTTGCCTCGGGGAGCCTCTGCACCACGAGTGGAGCGCACGGACCATGACCGTCCCTCGGCTCGAGCGCGGCGACTACGTTGCTCTGCACGACACGGGGGCCAACATGACGACGATGGGCCACGGCGCCAACGGGCAGCCAGCGCCGCCCGTGTACGGCTACCGCCGCCATGACGACGGCGTCCACGTTGTCCTGCTCAAGGCAGCCGAAACCCCCGAACAAGTCATGCAGCTCTGGGGCTAACCACTCTCTTTCCCTTGCTTTTCAGTACAGTGTATGTAGATGAATACAAATTGGTTTCTCAAATTGTGTTCTGGCCTCGGACAACTTGAATCAAGTGCACATGAGGCGATCGGTCACTTCGATCATCCTAAGCTCCGTGCACAGTGGTCGGTCCAGTGTGTCGCGCTGTCGAAGTTGAAGCTGACCTTTGCCCTACCCCTTGGCTCGCATGGAGCGCACGAGTTGGACGCACGGTCTACGCGGTCGAAGACCTCGGTTGCTCTTTGCTAGCGTGCTAGTCAAGTCTGTATTCGAGATTCTCGTTATACGCTATCTGGCGCCGGACAGCTCTGGACGAACGAGATGTGTGGTGTCAAGTGGTCGGAGGACTCGAACGGTCCCAGCCCCTTCCGACGTCACTTTGCGTCAACACGGTACTATTCCAGTTTGGGATTTGCGGTATGGCGCGTGCGTACGCAACGCTGGTTTGTACGGACGCGTACGCTATCGGGGCGCAGGTGTTGCGCGCGAGCCTCCACCGCGTTGGGTCGACGCTGCCGCTTGTCGTGCTCGTCACGCCCAATGTCTCGGCCTCTGTGCGGATGCAATTGACGACATCGCTCGAGAATGCGCTTTTGTACGACGTGGCGCCGATTCCGCTGCGGTCCGACCAAGCGACGCGCTACGCATTTGCGCGCTTCCAGCACGCGTGGGCCAAGCTGCGCGTGTTTGAGCTCGAGATGTTTGACACCATTGTCTTCCTCGACGCCGACATGCTGTGCGTGCGCAACATGGACGACCTCTTTGACGCGATCGCACCGGACGCGACCACCATCGCCGCGAGCCGCGCGTGCACGTGCAACCCGCAGCGCATCACCCATTATCCCCCGTATGTTTTTGTGTTGTTATAAAAATGCAAGATCTGTCGTGTAGGTCGTGGACGCCAGCATCCTGCGCGTATTCCGAGACAACGAATAACGTCCGTCGGTACTTCAACTCGGGCATGTTGGTGTTGCATCCTAGTAGGTTATTCCACATCGATTTAGTATGTGCTTATGCTTGCTGCGCTGTGTACTAGGCTGCGCAACGCTCGAGTCGCTGCTCGCAAAACTTCAGGGCGAACGCAGCGTCGAGCGGTTTGTGTTTTCGGATCAATGCTTCCTCAACGAAGCGTTTCCCGACTTTATCGACGTGCCGTATGTGTTTAACGCGCTCAAGACACTGCCGATCGCGCACCCGCGCCTGTGGCAACTCGAGGTATCCACCATAGTGGAACCCTACCCCTAGTATCAAGTTTACGTATAGGATGTCAAGGCGATTCACTACATTTTGGAAAAGCCGTGGCATGTCGAAGTACTCGCGGGCGGACCGTACGACGACTTGTACGCACTGTGGTGGGAGGTTGCTTCGCACGTGAAGGATCGCTTGCAACCTTGCTTCAACGCACCGTAATACTAGACACGTGTTTGTGGCGCAGCCGACTATAAACTACAGTGGGGTAGTTCGTGTGACGAGCCTTGTCAAATGCACAGTCATGAACAAAATCGTTGTCGCTGGTGACGACGTCGTTGCAGTTGATAAAGGGAGCTGTTTTGGTGCTCACGAGTTTTCAACCATTTTATGACACATCAAACCTTGATATATGTATGGTATAAAATACACTGGTTTAATGTTGTGAGTGGCCAAATCATTTCGATTTTAAGCCAATGGGATGCGAGGCCCTGCCTGCGCTGCCGCGCGCGGACGCTCTTGGTGCGCCATTTGAAGTCGAAACAAAAAGTCGCCAAAAGTTGGCACATCGATAGAAGGCATGTTGGAGAGCGTATCGCGCTGCGTCGCTTCACCGCGCGAGGTGTACAACCCGAGCTATTGCCCAAGCCATTCAATGTGGCAAACGCCATATATAGACCCAAAATGCCACATTTAGTATGCAATCCATCCAAGGCATTGTCGAGTTCCTGCAGACATTTTTGAGGCCGCTGACGTGTCAGTGTCATGACGACTACCAGGACTCACTGCTCTACAAGCCACTATACCTCAATGACTTTACAGTGTGCATGGTCGAAGGCAACCCGCTGCGTGTGCTCCATCGCACGACTACATAGGGCGATGCCTAGTTTGCTCGGGGTAGTATGAGACATGATTACCAAACGCACTTGAGTACAAGTATTTAGTGGGGCCTTAGAGCTCTTTGGTCGGCGGGTCGTCGCAGCTACCGCGGTGCAAGAGAGTCAAGGCGTGGTTACCGCACTGCGCGTTCTCAAAGAGGCACATGTTGTTGTACGTCTTGTTGTCCGAGCCGCAGACGGGAGCAAACATGCGGTTGCACGGGCGGTCACGGCAATCGCCCTTCGGAATGACAACACTTGCAGGCGAATCGTCGCAGGCGCCGCGATGGACGATGCGCATGTCGTCGTTGCCGCAGTGGATCTTCTTAAAGCTGCATTCGTTGACGTACGTGCGCCCGTCCGAGCCGCACACGGGCGCGTGCTTGTCATTGCACGATGTCGGGCAGGCTTCGAGGTGGCGGACCGACGCAGTGTCGTCGCACGGACCCTCGTGGGCGATGCGGAGCGTCGACTTTGGCCCGCCGCGGCAGCGCGCAACTTCGAGCTTGCACTTGTTGCTGTACGTTGTCCTATCAGTCCCGCAAACGGGCGCATACTCCATGGTGCAGATACTGGGACACTCGAGTGTCTGCCGCGCGGGGCAGCGGCCGGCGTGGTCGAGCGTCACTGTCGGGTTGGCGCAGTGGGCCTTCTTGAACTCGCACAAGTTGGCATACGTCATGCCGTTCGAACCGCACTGCGGATCGTATGAGACTGGGCACTCCATGGCACAAATGTGCATCGGCGACGTGCACACTCCAGTGCTTGCGAGGCCAAGGCTCGCGTTGATGCAGTTGGCCTTGGTCAAGCCGCAAGCGTTCGTGTAGGTGACGCCGTTGGTTGCGCACACGGGGCTCCCGCCCTTGGGGCAAGGCGCCGAGTCCTCGCACAAGTTCGTGGACGCGGTGGTGAGCGCGGCGAGGAGGGCGGCGACGGCGACGATGTAGCGCAGCAGCATGGTGTTGTTGCTTGTCGAACCAGGATCTGGGAGTCGGTAGCGCAGGCAAATGCCATTGGTCAAAACAAGTAAGATGCTCGATTTGGATTGGCTGTTTTTTAGAAGGATGTTGAACCAGATCCCTCGAGGCAACTGCACATTGCAAGCTTGCGACGACACATACCGAGGGATGCTGGTACAATGCTTGAGGTATGCTTAAATCGGCAGGTAGCTCTACCAGCTACCCAGTTCTTGCATCCAAGCGTTTGTGCAAGGTCCAGGGATGTTGACAGCAGGCGACGTTTGATTGGCTTAAAAGAAACGAATCCCAACGCGCTATTGATTGAATTGTCGCCCAATGGCATCGAGCCGAGCTGCTGAATTCGAAAATGGCAGCGTCGCACACCGAGGTGACGGGCTGGCAGCGCGTCTTGGCGCAGTACGCGCCGCAGGAAGAGGCGTGGAAGGGCGCCGAGGCCAAGATGCGGGCGTATGCACAGCAGGTGCTGCGTGACATCAAGGGCACGGATGCCCAGAAGCGGTCCGCGACCATTGACTTTGTCAAGGATCTCGTGCCCGAGGACGTCAAGCCCGAAGTCGAGAGTTTGCCTGTCGAGCAGTTTGCGCTGGGCCTCATCTTTTACGGCCCGTTCCAGGTCTACGATCGCGTGTACCGCCACATTTCGTCTGACGTACGCAAGCTGCTGCAATCGCGCGGCTTTGAACTTCATCATTCTCGTCTTAGTATGGAAAGGAAATGTCCATGCAAGCGCGCAAGGGCACCGAGCACGACACGACGGGCCACGTACTATTTCAATGCAACGCCTTGCATGCTATATTGTCTGTAGGTCTACGGCGAAATCGCCTTCTTCCCGTTCGCAGACATTTTGCTGTCGATCGCGCCCGAGCTGCCGCAGAACAACGCCATCTTCTACGACTTGGTGCGATACCATCACGCTCGTACCATGGCCCTCATGCGTAAGGATCTAGGGCTCGGGTGTCGGCAAGGCGGTCGTTGCGGCCGCGCTTTTGCATCCGTTTCACAAATCCGTGGGCATCGAGGTGTTGCAGGTTGATTCTCATCGTGCATTGAAGACACGTCGTCTCAGTTTGCTGCGATAGCCGCTTGTGGACTTTTCCCTTGCACGCGTCGACAAGCTCGGCCAAGACTATGACGGCATTGCGCAGTCGATCTCGTTTGTATCGGGCAGCTTCTTGGACCATCCGTGGAGCGACGGCGACCTCGTCTTTAGCCACAGCACGTGCTTCTCGCCCGGGTACCGCACTCGCTTCATGAACGCTACGTGGATCATGATCATGGATGCTAGGACTTGGGAACGCATCTCCAAGCAGGCCGAGCAGCTGAAGCAAGGCGCGTACTTTGTGTCGGTGTCGCACGTTCTCTTGTCGCCGCTCTTTGAGGTAGAGATAGATACCCGGCGTATACCCCACTCAACGATATGTCTTAGGTACTGCGCACGATGGTCGTCACGATGAGCTGGGGAAGCTGCACCGTCTACGTCCACGTACTCGACTCGCTTTGAACGCGAAGGATCTCACATCCTACGTAGCGTCGCATGCGAATTGGCCGCTGGGCGACCAAGCTGTTGCAAGGCGGTAGCGCGATTCGCACGGACCTCCAGCGAACCCGGGAGCCCGCGACGCCCAAGGAGAACGAAGTTCGCAAGCAGTAGATAGAAGGTCGTTTTGGCTTCGATTTTTGATTCGAAATTTCACCGCCGCTGATTGGCTACTTTTACAGGCCTTTTTGGAATTCCAACGAGAGCGACGACGTCCGTTCCAGTGCTGCCACGCAGGAGCGCAGTGATAGATTGACTAATGGGGGCGCAAAGCTCGAGCCCGGCGCCGATGCCATCCGTGCCGTTCAACCTCCCCGACGGCGAATGGCGGGCCAAGCTCAACCCCGAGCAGTACCGTGTTCTGCGCCAGAAAGGCACCGAGCGCCCGGGCACCGGCGCCTTCAACAAGCACACCGCGCTTGGCACGTACCTCTGCGCGGGCTGCGACGCGCCGCTGTACACGTCGGCGCAAAAGTTCAACTCGGGCTGCGGGTGGCCAGCGTTCTTTGATGCGATTCCTGGTGCGATCAAGGCGCTCCCAGACGCCGACGGTAGCCGCATCGAGATCATCTGCGCCAACTGCGGCGGGCACATGGGCCACGTCTTCAAGGGTGAGGGCTTCAAGACACCGACCGACGAGCGCCATTGTGTGAATAGCGTTTCGCTCAAGTTTACGGCCTCGCCTGCGCCATGAGCAGGCATGTAAACTTCGAGCAACAATACTTTGCATCATTACGAGGTTCTAGCATCAACACACATCTCGATGTACAGAGGTGGGCACAGTAGTGTCAGTCTCTCTGGCGTACGGAGTCTTCATTCTGTGGGCCTCGTCACTGTTGTCACGTTGCCGGTGTTGCACATGCGCCCTCGCACGGACCGCACGTCAGCCTGCTCCATACAAAGCGCGTCGTGGTCCGCTCCATCCGACGGTCGAAGGGGCACCGCTCGCTGTATTTAGGGGTTATACGACGTGGATGTCCTCTTGCTTGGGTACATGCTTCTCCACCGACCACCCGCCTTCGAGAATGACCTTTTCAGTTGTCGTCTCGGCGCCGTCGGGCACGGACGGGTCGAGGAACGCAGCCGCCTCGTCGACGTCGTCCTGCACCCGTGCCGACTCGAGCGCGTAGCCGAGCAACTGCTCCTTGATCGACCTACGCCATGCATGAGGCTACGACAACGATACGAGGCGTACTCGGGGAACCAAATGTTGACGGGTAGGAACCAGTGCAGCGCGATCTTGTTGTTGACGCCGCCAAAGACCTCGCGGATCCCGAGGTTCTCGCTTGTCTCGCCTTTGAGCCGGTCGATCTGCGTCGTGCCCGTCGTAATGACGCTGTACTGGTCGCACATCATGCACATGGTGAAGAGGCCGAAAAGAACGGCCTCGAGGCAGAGGCAGATGACGTGAACGGCGCCCGTGCTCGCGCACCTAGAGTTCAAACGTGATGCATGAACGCGAGCAAGAGACCTACGTTTCGTGCATGCAGTGCGAGTAGCGGGCGACGACGAGCGCCATGGCGTACAGCGAGAGGAGAAAGACGTAAAAGATGAAGAGGAGGAAGAACTTGTGGTTCCCGAGCCCGACGCAGTTGTTTACCCACGGGCAGTGGTGGTCCATCTTGACGACGCAGCGCTCGCAGATGCTGCAGTGGTGCGCCCGCGCCGGCTTGTAGATCTTGCACCGCCGGCACGTCCGGTACCGCTGCTCTTCCAAGCTACGCGCCATGCTTCATCTATCACGGCGTCAAGTCGGTGTCATTACCGATTCATCTCTTCACGCGGCGCGTACTTGAGCGCGACAGGGATCGCATCGTCGGGCACGGAGCCCGGGTCCGTCATCATGGCTAGTGGAATGCAAAGTCGGCGCAGCGACCACGCGTAAGATGTACCTTTGCCATGCGAGACGAGCGCCATAAAGCACAGCAGCGTGAAGACAGAGATGTGCAAGAGGCCAAGCAGGCTGGCGCCCATCCAGGGCACGAGCACGACGCCCTAGCCCATGTGTCGTCACGGCGAGAGTGGCATGGCACCTACCACGACGACGTACTCGGCGTAGACGATGAGGAACCACGAGATGGCGGCGCAGACGAGGCCGCAGCAGTCCCAGTTGAGCCACACGGTCGAGCGGAAGCCCGTGCCACAGCGGTCGGGCTGGCGTCGCTTCTCGAACTCGTGGCGCATCGGCGGTCGACCTTCGAACCTCGTTTTTAAAGGCAGTCGGCGGTTCGGATACGATGGCACATGTGTATCCGGACGATCCAGAAATAGCCGTATCACGGTCTTTCTACGCGACACAATGTCCGTAAACAGGTATTTGTACCCGACTGCGCACGCTGCATTTGTGGGACAACTAAATCGTTCATGCACTTGATCTCCAACTGTGTTACCGGTACCTTTGATGCAGTGATGAATTGTACATCTTTCGTATACAAACATCGCAGTTATTACGAATCTTGCACTCTACTTGGGACCCCGACTAGGACTCAAATGCATCAGCGGTGGACAATGCGGGCCACCTCAATAGTAGTACTTTCTACGTACTAGCAACCTTTGTGGACTAACGTTGGCCATGCTCTGTGGCAACTCTGTAGAAATGACTTTGCACGGAATGCAAATAATGAATGGTTATCGGTACAACAACTGTAAGACAGGGTTTCCACTGCTAGAGCGTCAACGAACATCTCCTTCTGAGACGAAGTTTGAGGTCCGGTGGCGGTAGAGACCGCAACGCCTTGCACGAGCATTGCAGTCGGCGCGTTGCAACCGTCCAAATTAGCCGCAAGACAGAGGACTGGAGTTATGCTACGCGCCACATGGAAGAGGACCCCCGTAAGTGATCGGCGTCATCACACCACGACGCGTGCATACAAAGGACTGCAAGGTCTCGTCGGCTTCGGACACAAGTTTGTACGCTGCAAGTATTACGCCGTACCAACAGCGCCCCAGCCAACGCATTGGTGTCGTCCAGTCTTTCGCAGTACCCAATAAGAACATATACGCGTACCCTACACCGTGCATGGGTCCCTACACTTTCTCGCAGTGCATGCACCCAACGGTGTGAGCCCGCGTCGCAGCCGCAAAGCCACACGGCGCATAAGACCAACCCTAGCAGCACAAGCACTGTTGCTTTGCTCGCCTTGACTTGCCATTGCCAAGCTAACAACGAATGGCTTCCTCAGCTTCCGCGTCATTCGACTTTCGACGTGGCGCCAACTTCTGTGGTTCACACTGGGCCAAGGTGATCCAAAGGAGGGTTGTACTACTCTTCCCAGCGTCGCTGCGTGCACTCGGTGACAAAACTGTGGTGCTCACACCGAGAGAGGCCACTGCATCATCATCCGCACCCGCCTTGTAGCGTCGTCGTCGTGCATGGCCAGGGCGAGTGCGTGCAGTGTGGTACCAACCTTGGCCGCCAACGGCAACTTGACGACCCGACCAGGCCGTCGCCGAGTGTCTCGCCGTGTGACCGACGCCGTTGCATGGATGAGGGGGCTCAACGACTGGCATCGTCACCCGCGTCGTGCAAATTACGTGGCTGCCATCGAACGCACGTGGCGTCTGTATCTTGGGGCGCCGCGATCTTGCTGGCCAACTGTTTGCATGACATACGGACCCACGGCGCGGTCGCCGCCATCGGATTGGTGCAGACCTACTCAAATCACCAACTCACCGCTCCCGTCGCGCTGTGACACACTACAATAGTACGCCGCCGTCGTCCAAGTTTTCCAATTCTGAAGAGCTTTTCACTTTTGCATTTGCCTTCAAGCCTTCAAGTCAACATGCAACTTGCCGTGCTCTTCTCGCTTGCCGCGAGCGTCCTTGGCGCCAACTGCGCCAACAGCTCCGTGGTGACGCGCCCCCCGACCGCGTCGCTTCAGATCCTCTCGTACAACGACGTGTACGAGATGAAGCCGGAGGACGATGCGACCCAGCACGGTGTGCTCGTCGGCGGCCCGTCCCGCGTTGTGCCGCTCGTCCACACCATGCGCAAGAACTTTGAGAACAGTTTGGTCATCTTTGCGGGCGACACCATGTCGCCGTCGCTCTGGTCCGGTCAGTTCAAGGGTCTCCAGATGATCGAGGCTCACAATGCGCTCGGTGTCGACTTTGCGTGCCTCGGCAACCACGAGTTTGACTTTGGCATTGACGCTTTCCTCAACGTCTCAAAGGCCTCCAAGTTTCCTTGGCTCAACGCCAACGCGTTCGAAAAGTCGACCGGCAAGCTCCTCCGCGAGACGATCCCGAACGCCGTCAAGACGCTGACGTCGCCGACGATGGGCACGATCAAGATCGGCGCGTTCGGCGTCATGTACGACATGAAGGACAGCTCCAAGGGCATGTACTGGACCGACCCGATCGCGGCGGCGAAGGAGCAGGTCAAGTACCTTCGCGAAGTCGAGAAGGTTGACATGGTCATCGCGCTCACGCACCAGCTCTGGGACGACGACAACCGCTTCTCGCAGGACGTCAAGGGCGTCGACATCATCTACGGCGGCCACGACCACTCGGCGATGCTGCAGTCGACCTTTGGCGCGTGGTACCTCAAGTCGGATTTGAACTTCCGCTCCGTGTGGGTCTCGGACATCAAGTACTACAGCCCGTCGACCGAAGGCAAGAACAAGTACGCGCCGTTCATCAAGCAGAGCCACAAGAACCTTGCGATCACCGGCGATATGCCGACGGACGAAGCGTTCGAAGGCGTCATTGCGAATTACGAAACCAAGATCGCTGCGCTCTTCAACCGTGTGATTGGCTCGCTCTGCGCCGAGACCGACCTCACCAAGAAGGCCGTTCGGTTCGGGGAAGCGCCGATTGGCAACTTTTTCGCCGACGCGTACAAGTCGTTCTACGGCAAGGTCGATGTCGAAGTCGGCGTCATGAACGGCGGTGGCATCCGCACTGACAAGGTCTGGGAAGCCAAGCCGCTCACGCTCGGTGACGTTGTGTCGTGGTCGCCCTTTGGTGACATGATGGTCGCTATCAAGACGGACGGCGCCAACTTTAAGACGTTCCTCAAGTTTATCATGAATGGCAGCTGCGGCGAGCGCACCGTCGCTGAGAACGGGTACTTTGCGCACGTCGCGGGTCTGTCGTACAAGATCAAGTGCCTTGGCGCCAAGAACGCTGAAGTCTCGGAGCTCAAGTGGATGTCGGCCAAGCGCAGCGGCGACGTCAAGGACGACGACGTGTTCCATGTCGTCACGTCCGAGAACGTCAAGGGCCAGTTTGACCAGTCGGGCGCCAAGAGCACCTTTGTCGTGTCGCCCAACGAAGCCTCGCGCGTTGATATGCTCTTGGAAGAGTACATTGCGGCGCTTCCGGATCGCAGCGTGTGCCCCAAGGCCGAAGGCCGCGCCGAAGTCATTCCGTTCACCAACTAAGTCAACACGAAACGCAGTGTACCATACATGCATTTTGTGTCGTTACCAGCGCATCTTTAGTCAGCACTGCTGACAAAAGAATGCTCTGCGCAAGGATGGCCGAATTGGAACTGTGGTGGAGGCTCAATCCTCACAATTCACCGTCCTGTGTTTGTCGTTTGTCGTGCTGAAGTTGCTCTGGAGATCGATAGGAAGAGGGTCTTTGAACTCTGGACAAGCATTGCTGGACGAGTGGCTCGTGGCCGATTACTACATTACCATGGATGATATTAGACGGGCCGTGCGGTGCCCCATGGACCAAAGACACGCGACAGCCGATGCGAATCCTGCCTCGTGGTCTTCACACGCCGCACTCTTATTCGACCAGCACAGATGGAGCCTTCGGCAAAGACCAAAGCGCTAGTGTGCCCCTATATGCCAAAATGCTGGCTACGAGAACACCGTGGCGAGCATCGCAATCGTTCTCATTCGAGCGATTTCCACGTACCGCTGAAACGGGTGTTACGGCTTGTTGAAAACATGTGCTAACGGGCTCAAGCTGCATGTCACATGTTGAGCGGTGGAGATATGGATGGACCGCGTCACTGGACCGCCACACGAACGAGACAGTGGCCAATTCATATAGTTTCAAGTCCGCGAGTAGTATAACCTGGTACCGAGGGCGTACGTCCCGACGCAGTAAACGCGTGCTGCTGCGTTTTATAGCATTCCAACGCTCCAGATTGCACCACGCGCCAATGATACATGTACGGCCGCCTGTTGCGATCACTCGTAGCGCGTCTCGCGTCATATGGCTCGAAACGCAAGTGCATGCAAGATCGCGCACAACCGGCGCACTGGACGTTGAAGTGTCGGCTGACGTAAATACGCGCCGCAACATCGCAAGGAGCAAGGAAGCCACCCAACACGAATCCACATACCTCCACGACGCCCAGCTGCACGACGCCTTCTCTTGCAAGTCATAATGTGAGTGCAGTGACGGGCTCCCGACGCTGACGCGCCGACCTACGGCCGTGCTGATGTGGGTGCCTCGGGCGGTGTACTGCGGTCCGTCGTCACGCGTCGCGGCTCCTGTCCGTAGACATCGAATTACGGCATGAATGCTCATTGGTCCATGGCCGCGTTTTCCTCGTGTCGAAGCCCGCACCTAGCTGGACAAGCAGCGCCGACGTGTCCCAGCACTCGGTGTAATTGAATATGTCTCGGTACACGCTGGATCTACTTGGTCCATCGACTGTGCGTATGCCTCTACCGACATCAACGCCGTCGGCGAAACCAGTTTTTGTATCGCCCTATGCAGCACGTAGCGTTCGAGTGTTCGCCGTTGGGCCCGACAGCCACCGACCACTGGAACGACGCCAGCGTTGAAGCGTGCGTCGAGACCATCCAGGCCGTTGAAGCCGTCCGCGCATACCCCGTCTACGGCGTCTACACGGACCCCAAATCCGGCGCGAGCATGACGCTGCACGCGGGCCACGAGCCGGGCAACGACGCCAACTACTCCATGTGCGGCCACACACAGCTCCGCGCGTCGCTCGCCGAGGCCGCAGCGTGCTTCCAGCGCCTCAATTCGCACGAAGCCGAGTCGTTTGTCGCGATGCTGGGGCGCCCTATTCTCGGCAGCACGACGCTGTACACGCTCATGGAGCCGAGCGAAGAGAGCCCGATGCAGTACACGGGTATCGAGTGGACAGCGTTCGAGGCGCCGCGGCTCGGCGACTCGACACCGATCCGGGACCTTTGCTACCTCGAGAGCCAAAACCAGTTTTTCCACCAAGGCGAGCAGCGCCACGGGTGGGTCCGGTCGCTCCACTCGATCGACGTCGACGCGTGTCCGCCGTTTGCAGAAAACATTTACCGCGCCGAGATCTACCAGTCGGGCCAAGTGTTTGTGCAGTCGGGCACGCCCGGCGTCCTCGACTGCTACTCGCTGTGCTCGATCGACCTCAAGTACACGCTGCCCGAGCCCGATCACATGACGTACCTCACCAAGTGGGTCACGCAGATGCTCCAACTGCATACGCACATTGCGATGCAGCGCGCCGCGTGCGCCCGCGCCGTGCACTCGGCCGTCCAAGACGCTACGAACCATCACTTTGTCTGCCCGACGTGCGACGAGACGCTTGCGCTCTCGAAAGCGACTTGTCGCGAGTGCGCCCGCCCGATTTGCGAAAAGTGCCACCCGAAATGGAGCCTCACGAGCATGTGGCGGCGCCTCAACAAGAGCCAAGTGTGCGTCGAGTGCAGTGAAGAGCTGCGCGGCGTGAGTCTCCTCGAGCGCAACACAACGTCCGAGTCGTGGGAGTGCACGACGCGGTCCACGATTGGGAGCGCGGCGAGCACCGAGACGACTCTGCGAAAGCGCCCGAGCAGTTTGGTCGCCAACTACGTGGCATCCGCCCGGGACCTCGAGACAGTCTGGATCGACGTCTCGTCGATCGACTCGTCTGCCGCCCAGACGCCAACCGGCGATGACATTCCAGTCGCCCGCGCCGCCAAGCCCCGCGACGAAGTCAAGCTACACGAACTCCTCGACAGCTATCACGCCAAAAAGCTGATCGAAGACCCGCGCGTGCAGCAGCTATATAAGGACCTCCTGGCCCTCGACAGGTCATAGTCTATCGACTACATACATATATAACTATACCCGCCAACTCGATTGTGGTGACAAACAATGTCGTGACCGAACGTCGAGGAAGACTCGCAGAGCACAATGGCGCGACCTTTCATTGTAGAGACGATGTGTCCTCCCTCTTGCCATTTGCCGCTGCTCAACAACCCGACGCTGGAAGTACAACATGCAATTTGGCTTAACAATAGAGAAAGTAGTGGATAAAGGGATCCCTGGATCGACACGCTCGTCAGTACACTGGTAGTACCTCGCGTGCGCTCGAGTTGGCGCCTACTTCTTGCAGACGCCAATGCTGCGGAACGTGAGCTCGGGCTGCTTGCACACGGCCTTGCTAAACTCGCACCAGTTGCTGTACGTGCGCTTGTCGGACGCGCAGATCGGGTCGTAGCTGCGCATGCACGCGTAGTTGCACTTGCAGTCGCCGGTCGCCGCGAGGAGAATGCTCGGGTTGCGGCACTGCGCGGCTTCGAGGAGGCACTTGTTGGCGTACGTGACCCAGTTGGAGCCGCACACGGGCTCGTACATCTTGTTGCATGCATCCGAACACGATGGCTTGGGCGTCGGCGTCGGCAGCTTGCACGGTCCGTCGCGCGCGCGCGTCAGCGACGGGTTCTTGCACGCGGCAATGTTGAGCTCACACTCGTTCGAGTACGTCTTGCCGTCCGAGCCGCACACGGGGCGGTAGATCTCGAGGCAGTAGCGCGGGCACTCGGCCGTCTCCCATCCGCACGCCGTCGCGTTGGCCATCGTGAGACCCGGGATCTTGCACGCCGCGACGTCGAGCTCGCACTTGTTGGAGTACGTCACACGGTCCGAGCCACACACGGGCTGGTAGTACATCGGGCACACCGCGATGGGGCAGTCGGTCGGCGCGCTCAGCGACACGACAGTCGAAGCAGCGAGCATGGTCAAGTAGATGGAAGCCACCATGGTTTGGAGAAGAGGCAAATTGAAAAGTGAGTCGAGAGGGCCGTCGCGATCGAAAAAACGTGGCGCAACGACAGCACAGTAGCCCTCGGCCATCCACCTCATGCGACAGAGCTCTTGAGTGATCACATACGCGTCCACGCCGGCTGGTGCACATCGTGCGGAGGACACCGTCCCATGCGTCTCTCTGCGCCTCGATCGCGCGTTGTGCGCTCTCGTCGAGCAACGTCGTGTCTCGGGCGTCTCTACGACACGGGAGAGGTATCTCCGCGGTAGGAACTGCGTCTCGTGTTTTCCCAGTTGCACCCAAAGCTCCTAGAGAGCGCTAGAAACAACTAGTCCTTTGACGCGACAGCCTCCAGAAGAGCACGCGTAAACCAAGCACGCAAGTGTCATTGCTTTGGCGCTGGGACATCGCTTGGAAGGGGTGACCAGATTTGATAGGCATGATAGTCGTCAACGAGTCGCAGGTTGCGCCGGCGTACTACATGAGACAAGCGACGGCCTTTCCTGCAGCCAACGCG